CTTGACGGATTCGATTCCGACGTCCGCCAAATCAATCTTGGTCTTAGCCTCCCTTAACACCTCCGGGTAGGTGAGACCTCTTCCTTCGGCCTCTTTGGAGACCGATATCACGACGGCCGAAGACCTCGGAACCTTTAACCGAGGCTTGGGCGCCGTCTTCTTCTGGGCAGACTCGCGTGTCTCTCGCGTCTGAGGCGGCTGAGGAGTCCTAGCCGCTTGAGCCTGCGATGTCTTTGGAGCAGACTTTCGTCCTTTCCTCGTCACTGTCGCCCAAGTTTCCTGAACAGGAACGGACGCCGGGTCCTGAGTCTGAGCGCGGGAGGTTGATGGTAGGACCGGTGCCGAGGTCGATGCCACGACGCTTGGAGCTTCCTCCACTTCCCTGTCCTCTCCCTTCCCCTTACTCTTGCTCTTCTTCTTTTTCTTCTTCTCCTCCTTTCTCTTGTCTTCCTTTCGAGTTTCTCCTGCCGTTGCAGCAGGAGTATCTTTTCCCTTAAGGAAGCCCTCCTGGCGAGAAATCCTCTTTTCTGTGTCCGCTTCCTTATTTAGCTTGTCGCGGAGTCTCCCCTTGAGCGCGGGCCTGTAGCTCGGCTCTGGGTTCAGACGATCTTCAAGCCCTTCAATACGAGCGTTGATTCTGTCGGTCACCCGTTGCATCATTCTCGACTCCAGCTCCTCCAAGTTGTTGGCGGAAGTCTGTCCTGACTGCCCCTTCTGGACAAGAGCTTTCAGCTCCGCCATCTCCTTCTGCATCGCTCCAATCTGGCGACGGAGCCGTGCGTTGTCCTCCCTAAGCGCTTGCGTTTCTTCAGAGAGGGTACGCTGTGCGAGCACCGCCGTGTCCTCCTTTAGCTCCGCAACCGCCTTCTTTAAAACTTTGACAAAAGTCCCTTTCAGATTAGAGGACTTTTGGGCCACTTGCTCTACGAGACCGATGCTTGCCTCTATCCTCTCTTGGATATCGATCGGGAGCTCGCGTCCGGGCATATCGGGCACTTCTAGCGACATGGAGCGCGTCTTTTTCGCCTCGATAGCCGAAGCAAGCAGCTCAGCCTCAGCTTGAGCCTCCATCTCCTCTCTCTGGGCTTTAAGATAAGCCCTTTTGGCTTCGGCCAGTCCTATATATTCGCCCGTTGTGGGCGGACGGCCTCTGCCTCTCTTTTTCCCCGCTTTGCTAGGCGTGTCGGTGGAGCTGTCATCGTCCTCCGACAGCCTACTCCGCTTTCTAGTCTCCCAGAATCTAGACTTATCCCTGTCCAGAAATTCTGTACTCACAGATTCGAACAGGCGGCCCGAAGAGCAAGATGGTACACTTACCATCGAGCCGTCGTCCGAATCTGACAACGCTAGATCCGTCATCTGACGGTTAGCATCCTCCACTACTGAAGAGGGTCTTGGCGTCGGCGTACGCACGAGGGACACTCTCAGTTCTTTTCTCTCCTCCTTCTTCGTCTTCTCCCTTTCACATCTTTCAACTCCTTTCCCTTTTACGTCTGTTTGTTTGTTTTTTGGTTCCATAATCATTCTTTTGGGTGTCACTCTTCTAAGTCCGAAAATAAACGGAGCATATCCGAGTAACTTGATGTGTTTATTGGGGAAATAAAAAGTCCATCTAGGCGGAGCCCCACGCCTAGATAACCCTAATACGCCGCGGGGGCGGGAGGTACCGCGGGTCGGCCGCTAATTGCCCGACATGACGCGGGGGGGGGGGGGGGGGGGGGGGGGGGGGGGGGGGGGGGGGGGGGGGGGGGGGGTGGTTGTGTGTGGGGGGGGGGGGGGGGGGGGGGGGGGGGGGGGGGTGTTTTGGTGGGTGGGGGGGTTTGTTGTTGGGGTAGATATATTTTATATAAAAAATAAAAAAAAGGGGGGAGAAAAAGGGGGGGGGGGGGGGGGGGGGGGGAGGGGGGGGGGGAAAATTTTTTCCTTTTAAAAGGGGGGAAAGCCACGGGGGGGGGGGGGGGGGGGGGGGGGGGGGGGGGGGGGGGGGGGGGGGGGGGGGGGGGGTGTTTTTGGGGGGGGGGGGGTTTTTTTTAAACACCCTTTTTTCCGGCCCGGGGGCGGCCGGGGGGGGCCAAAAACTTTTTAATTAAGGTAATTAAAAAGGGAGGTTTACATTATTTAAAATTTAAAAATATAATTTTGTATGTTTGTTCTCCAAAAAATTTTACTAAAGTACAGCTGTTAAATAAATATTTTAAAAATATTGCTTTTGGCACATTTTTGTTTCAATTAGAACCGTTTTAAACTAAGAACCGTTGGAAACTTTTTAAGTAGCAACTTTACAGATTATACTTATAAAATGTTTAAACGTTATTTAAAAGATTAGAATTGATGGATTTTGATTTAATTTAAAAATCGAAAATAAATTGAAAAAATTTTCGACTCGGGCAGGATGGGGGGGGGGGGGGGGGGGGGGGGGCCCCGGGGGGGGGGCTCGTCGCTTTAAATTTCGAGCCGCATTCACTTTTAGTTTTTCACTTCACAATATTCACTATATCTTCTGACTCGAAAGTCGTAGAAAAGAACTAAAATAAACTTAAGGTTATTACTTAAACTTAAAGTTCTTTTCTACGATTTTTGTTCTTTAGAAATTATAGCGCCTGATAAAAATATATATCAAAAGTGCATGTAATTTGTTGCTTTTTAGTAGTATAGAAAAATCTTAATTTAAACCTTAAGTTTATTTTAGTTCTAGAGAATAAAGCTACATAAATAAGATTAGCTTTTTTAGAAAGTTCGGTTTGATATACCACTTTTTACAGCTAAACATAATTTTTAAACGATTTTTGTTCTTTAGAAATTATAGCGCCTGATAAAAATATATGGCAAAAGTGCATGTAATTTGTTGCTTTTTAGTAGTATAGAAAAATCTTAATTTAAACCTTAAGTTTATTTTAGTTCTAGAGAATAAAGCTACATAAATAAGATTAGCTTTTTTAAAAAGTTCGGTTTGATATACCACTTTTTACAGCTAAACATAATTTTTAAACGATTTTTGTTCTTTAGAAATTATAGCGCCTGATAAAAATATATAGCAAAAGTGCATGTAATTTGTTGCTTTTTAGTAGTATAGAAAAATCTTAATTTAAACCTTAAGTTTATTTTAGTTCTAGAGAATAAAGCTACATAAATAAGATTAGCTTTTTTAAAAAGTTCGGTTTGATATACCACTTTTTACAGCTAAACACAATTTTTAAACGATTTTTGTTCTTTAGAAATTATAGCGCCTGATAAAAATATATAGCAAAAGTGCATGTAATTTGTTGCTTTTTAGTAGTATAGAAAAATCTTAATTTAAACCTTAAGTTTATTTTAGTTCTAGAGAATAAAGCTACATAAATAAGATTAGCTTTTTTAGAAAGTTCGGTTTGATATACCACTTTTTACAGCTAAACACAATTTTTAAACGATTTTTGTTCTTTAAAAATTATAGCGCCTGATAAAAATATTAAGCAAAAGTGCATGTTATCGAATTTTCTTTGTGAATTTGTAGCTTTTTAGTTAAAATGAATGCAAAACCTTTAGTTTATTTTATTTCTAGAGAATGAAGCTTTGAACATTAAATTAGCTGTTTTAAAAAGTTTACTTTGATATGACACTTTTATAATTATAATAATAATAACTCCTAAAACAGGAGTCACTGAGCATAATGTTACGAACACACTTGTGTTGCAACAAAAACAAGCTAAATTAAAATTATAAAAAAAATTACATTAAAAATTTACGTACAAGTAGGTACTGAGGCGCCTTGGACAAGATGACGTCATAGAGTAGGGCAGCAATATGCAAACGTCTCCTGTTTTCCATGTTGAGTATGTTCGCCTTGACAATATATGCAGTTATATGGCTTGGGGGGGTATACCCCAACGAAATCGGATGCAAGCATTTTATACCCTGTGTATGGCCTGCTTTGACCGCGCGAAGAGTCTAAGCCCATATACAGCATCCTCATAATTAAATTTGGTTTTCAAATCGAAGATTTTCGTCAAAAAGTATACGCAGACTTCAATACTCATGGCCACGTTCACATTGGCTTGGCTATTTATGGAAATGGATAATGATAGGCGAAATATTTTGGATCTTGTGATCCCAACGCCATCAATTTTTGTTTTTGTGGGATTTAGAATAAGAGAATTCGACGAATCCGAATTAACGTCAGAAATAGCTTTTGAAGTAGAAAGAGTAATAGAGCTGTATATCATCAGGATACATATGGAAACGACAGTGTATTAAGTGTGACTCAATATCTGCTGAGTAGAGAATAAATATAAAAGGTTCCAAAATAGAGAGAGAAATCGTAGTCGTACCGTATCTTCTCGTATTACAGCGACAGTACTAAACCAATTGGCTGCATCTGGTGAAAAACCATAAAATTAAATTAAATTAGGAGGTTTAATTCGTGCGTGAGCCTTAATGTGTATCCATAGGTTTTTTGGTTGGTTAATGGAGTTATTTACATATTTATCGAAGTAAAGTTTATTTTCGATAAATAGCGCCACATTCACGTGTTTTTTGCGGTCTTTATAATGATTAATATGTGATTCTCATTTACTCTTCCTAGCCCTAATGTATGCTTCATCGCGGGTCTTCATCATACATTTTAAATTATATGTCACCCATGGATAGTGACGTTGTCTAGCAAAAACCCATTTACGAGGTGCATAAAAATCGAATAATGTGCTGAGATAAGACGTAAAAAGATAATAGATCTTACTGTCCACGTCTGCTAAATGCCGAATTGTCTCCCGAGAAGTAGCTAAAAGCGTATTATTACAACTCTCCATATTAATATCCTTTAAAGCGCGGAACGAGATCCCACTAGGTTTAAATTTTTGCTTAATTATGTTAAAAGTACAAAATACAAACGCAAGCAGTCATGCTTAAATCTCTTATGTGATCGACTGCCACTTCCGACACCGGAGCATTTTTTATTTTTATTAAGAAATAGCTGTCCATCGAACCAAGGCGGTCTATATGCAGTTTGCCCCGAATGGTAGTTCTCACCCACATCTGTTATCACACACAACTAGATTTACAGCAGGATGTGACAATAAACGAACAGACATCATTTTATTAATGTAAAAACCTACGCCTCCACCGCGAGTGCGAACCGACGGTGGGCGGGGAATATGTCGAAGCCTGTAACCCGTCACCTGAGGAGCGCGTCCCGTCTCTCCCTCCCGAAGCCACGTCTCCTTTACGGCTAGTATGTCCACCTTCCTAGTGACCCTGGATTCAAGAGTCCAACCTTTAACCTTTCTCTACTATTTACCATATTGTCTTACAAAGTAATTCACAAACAGGTCTTTCACATAAGCAATTCTTTTTTTATACACGAGACGTTCAAATAATTCTAATATTTGAGCCAATGAAATCGCGACGTGCTCAGTATTTTCGCCGTTCGCCTCGAATCCCACATCATTCATGAGGCATTGCTGTTCAGACTGATTCAGGCGTCTCTTCAATAGTTCTACTTCACCGTTTACTTCTCAGCTATGCTGATTATTAGCCCCCAGCTGAAGCACGCTCTCTTCCAGTTTAGATATTCTAGATTCCATATTATCTTGCTTCATACTTGTGAAGGAGGCAATTGCTCTAGTGAGTTAAGATTATATCTGACTTGAAGTCGATAATAATCGTGCGAAGGGATAAGATTTGATCTTTTAACTCCTCGAACGATGAAGCGACGACGTCACTTGATAATGCTAAAGAACCAATATGACATTGTATAACAGGCAAAACTTAATAGCAGCAATTGTACTAAATATAAGCTCAGTTCTCTCGTGTATTAAACGTACGTTAAGTAAGTTTATTCGTCACAATCATTGTAAAGTAAAAGAAAAAATTACGTTTTTAGTTACAGCCTTTATTGAAATTAGATGCTATTATTGTATACATTTTGTGACTCACTTGTTAAAATTTAACTCGAAACCACCACATACTAACCAATACATATATCTATTAAACACTTATAACTATTTTCCTCCCTCTAATAACGATTTCCAAGAGACATATAAATGCACCCAGCCTGATGCAAATAATAATTACGTTACTGGTATCTACAAACCCTACCTACTACTCTATATATTATACAGTATTAAACAACTCAAGAGTGAACACTTCCACTTAACTATCTGTCTTAACCTATTGTACTATTTTATAATAACATAGCGGACCTTCAAAGGGATATTGACAATTCATTTCCCGTTGCTTGTCACTCTTTTGATACCCTTGAACAATGTAAAAGCTTTTTTGTATACTCAAACGGCTTTAAATTACTGACAGTAAACATCAGAAGCCTTAAAAAAAATTTTGACAGTCTTCTTGTAACTTTGCAATGCCTGGAAACTTCATTTGATATCATAGTGTTAACTGAATGCTGGTTGAGTGATCTCACTCTCTTAAGACAAATACCTGGCTATACTTCACATAGAACACATAAATATATTAATAAAAACGGGGGCGTGGTTGTTTACACAAAATCGTCCTATGACATTTCGGTACAAGAACCAGACCTGGAAAATGCAAATGGTCTTTTATTGGGCCTAGGGAAGTCTACTACAATATTAGGAATATACCGATCGCCGTCTTTCAGAGATCCTACTGCGTTTCTCCAATCACTAAACTCGTTGCTTAGTAAAATTAACACTTTTTCATTAATTGTAGCGGGAGATATGAATATAAACATATTAGCAGAAGATTTCACAGGACACTGTAACGAATATTTATGTGTGATGGCACGATATGGGCTACTTCCAGTGATTAACACTCCAACCCGAGGCGAAAATTGCATAGATCATATATTTGTTAAATCTAAATCGGCCCCAACTGGTTTGGTAAGTAGTCACTCACTTACAGATCATAATTTATGTATGGCCATTATTCCACTTGACACTGTCATAAGAAAGGGACAGAACACACAGATAACAAAGACAAACTTTAGGGAAGTGGCCAAATCATTAGCAACACAAGATTGGCATACGGTAACTAGTGCAATAACTACAAATGCTGCTGCAGATATATTCAGAAAAATACTGAACTCAATAATTGAACGGCACACTAATACCGTGAATTTAGGAAGAAAATATGTCTTATTGTGTCCATGGATGACACCGGGGCTAAATCGATGTATACTGCACCGGGACAAATTACATAGGGCGTTAAGAAATTCTCCAGATGACAAAAATCTAGAAACAACATACAAAAGGTACAGAAATTTTTGTAACAAGATTATAAGAGACACTCGTGACGCATATAACAACAAAAAACTGATGCAGAATAAAGACAATCCAAAAAAGCTGTGGAAAACTATTAATGAATTATGTGACAGAAACCCAAAAACAAAGGTAACTTGTGACCCCGTTGAACGCCGTAATAAAGCGAATTCATTTAATAAACATTTCGTCAGTATTCCAGACGCATTAACCAGAACCATTTTAAATAACCTTAGTACAAATAAAGGAAATCATATACGCAACACAACATCTAGAAACAATATTCCTGACTCTCTCTTTCTGAATCCAACTACGCCAGACGAAATTCTATCTCTCATAAATAATTTAAAAAATGGCAGTGCTCCTGGTTCTGATTCCTGTACTCCGGAGCTAATTAAATCTGTCAAAACTCATATAATAGTACCACTTACACATATTTTCAACCTTAGCTTAAGCGAAGGTGTATTTCCGGAGTGCTGGAAGCACTCCATTGTGATTCCAATCCACAAATCAGGAGATACAGATAATCCAAACAATTATAGACCCATATCTCTCCTTTCTATGTTTTCTAAACTGCTAGAAAAAATTGTAAATAAAAGACTTACGGCATTTTTCTCAATGCATAAAATATTCTCTCCCAATCAATTCGGTTTCCGCCAAGGTAAGTCAACAGAAGACGCCACAGTTAAGCTTACAGACACAGTACATGACTATTTGGACAAGTACAAATGTTGTGTTGGTGTGTTTTTAGACATTTCTAAAGCTTTTGATACGGTTTCGACAGACATGCTTTTAAACAAACTTGAAAGGGCTGGGGTTCGAGGATCGGCCTTAAACTGGTTTGCTACATACCTTCAGGGTAGAGTTCAAAATACTAAGCTGTTGGACACAATCAGCGACAAACTTCAGATTAACTATGGTGTGCCACAGGGAAGCGTCTTGGGTCCCACGCTATTCACGCTCTACATAAATGATCTGTTACTTCTTGACATAAAAAATGGTGAACTTATATGCTATGCTGATGATACTGCTATACTCTTTCGGGGAAATTCATGGAAAGAAATTGTTGAAACGGCAGAACAAGGATTACGTACAGTACAAAATTGGTTGCAGGGAAATCTTCTAACGTTAAATCTAGAAAAAACAAAATTTTTAAATTTTCACAAACTTAAAGCAAAGACTCCAATGTTACCCCCAAAATTGAAAATTCACTCTTGCTTACTTAGTCCACAGTCACCCGATTGTGATTGCCATGAAATTAAAGCTGTCAATAGCATAACTTACCTGGGTGTGGTTGTTGATGATAGGCTGAGGTTTAAAGATCACATTTTAAAGCTGACGGCCAGAGTAAGGAAATTTTTATACATTTACAGGAAAATAAGTAGATGTGCACCATGGAATATCATTAAGGTGGTCTACTTTTCCTTGTGTCAGTCTATCATAACATATTGCATCGCAGTCTGGGGCGGAAGTGCTAAAACATACATGATAAACCTTGAAAGAGCACAAAGAGGAGTTATTAAAGCAATGCTGAAACAACCAGTAATGACGCCTACCGAACTCATTTACAAGGAAGCGGGGTTGCTCAGTGTCAGACAGCTATATGTACTAAAATCTGCAACTATAACTCACACATCAGTAAGGAGTTCAGCTGAATATGAAAACCTTTTATCAAAACGAGTGTACCAAGTGTGCCTTCCTACAATCAAATCATACAAAGTCATACGGCCTCCTAAATTCTTACATATTCAAATATACAACAAGGTAGTCAAGTCCTGCAATATAAAACATTTGCATCACAACGCTGCATATAACATAGTAAAAAAATGGCTCCATACATTAACATACGACGAAACAGAAAAAATCTTACATACTCTCCAGTAATCTTACACTTTAAAACATACTCCCTCCATATGTATAACCAGAAACACTATATATTCTCACGTCATACATTGTTTAACAAATAATGCTTACAATATAAAATAAACATATAATCTAGGGACTGTATATCTATTTTTTAATATAACTCGTCTATCCTATAGCTAACACGGTTTTGAGTGGTTCCCATAAGACAGGCATTGCCTAGTTTGGGATCACATTAAAAACAAATTAAATATACATCCACTTGCACAAGTAGCACATATGTTTCTAGTATCACATACTCTTTAGATATACTGTACTACACTTTTTTATATATAGTGAGTCTATAAGACAATGTTTATTGTGATTAAAATAGATAAATCTTTATACCACTATCACTAGTTTGTATAGATTTTAGTTTTAACAGATGTGTATTAAATATGTAAAACCTGTGTGTAAAATAAAATAAAATAAATATCACCGGCCGTAGTCGCATCGTTATGAGGTATGCTGCTAGCAGCAACATAATCTCGATTACTCTTCGAGCGAGCTATCAGACACGGCTTGTAGCATTTTTTCGAACTTGGACTTACTGCTTTTGGGCAATTTTTATGCAAGTAAAAATTACAGTCTTTGTCATCGAACGCCATCTGGAGCAATCGCAAAGAACTTCGCACACATTAGATAAATTTATTTAATTGATCGGGCATGTCGTTGGAATAATTTATTTCGTTTTATACACTTTTTGTTAGATTTTAACTTTGCTTTAGAAAGTTGCCCAAACACTTGCACTATCTTTAGTGATTTTTTGCGGATTTCACTCGAACGCCAAGATAATTTAAGTCCAAACTGTTTGTCTTGCTATAAACCTTTTTCCTCTCCGATACCAACAATACGGGTAGTACACATCAACCAAAGGCACTTGTTGTCAAACACGAAACAGCTGATTTCAATATAGTCTCTTATCTCACACAAAACAACGAGTTACGTGTTACTAACACTCACTACAAAAATATAAGCTGTATAAAGCTACATTATGCACTTTGCTTATAGAATAACTAGCTGTCCCGGCGACTTCGTCCGCGTGGAATAGTGACTTGGGGCAGAATTTTTAATTATTCAAGCTGTTTATTAATTTATGTAAGGGCGCATTTAAGGCAGCTAATCTATGTTGTAAGTGCAACTCTGCCGCTACACTCCCACTCCCACTGCCGTTCTGTGTTCCAAATTTCATTTAAATCAGTTCAGCAATTTCGGGTTAAAGCCGCACTGACAGACAGACAGACAGAGTTACTTTCGCATTTATAATATTAGTATAGATTTATTTAAATAAAAATGTATAAATGGTATAGATGATAAAGAGATAAATGTAAAAAAAGTAGTTATAGTGATGTAAGTACAATAGTTAGACTAATAAGTCTCGCGATGTTTTTTGTAGATATTGATATATTCTTTAATATTGTCAAACATTTTTATGTCCTATCGTTAATACTAGTATGCGATGAAAGACATTTTATGGCATGGCATTTTTTACACCTCCCGTTGCTTTTAATAGTAATATCTGAAGATTTCTATCGTAATGTACTACTAAGTATAGTCTATTTCAGTGATAATGTAGCTTTCTAATGAAAAAAGAAATATTAAAATCGGTCCAGTACTTTTGAGTTTATCCGTTACATACAAAAATACAAATATTTCCTCTTTATAATATTAGTATCGTTCGGGTCATTATTGCCAGTTAATCTTAAAAGATAGACATATATCATTTAAAGGGGAATGATTCTTTTTTACACAATTTTTAGGTATCTCGAACCGTTTTCGCAGCGTACGCATCTGAAACCTAGAGAGATGAGAAATTTCCCCCGTTTTGTTCACATTTCTCGCTGTATCTTCGCTCCTATTACTCACATCGCGATGTGTTATAGCCTATACCTTCCTCGATAATTGCTCTAACCAACACAACAATAATTTTAATTCGAACCCAAACTTCCTGAAATTAGCGCGTTCAAACAAAAAGACTCTTCATTTTTATAGATTAGTATAGATATAGATGTAATTGCGGATTTATCGCAGCCAATCTTTGTTGTAAGTGCTACTTTGCCGCAACAGTATTACCTCACATCACTCCTACTCTAACTCCCACTCCCACTCCTATTCGCAAAAAGCCAAAGAAGAAAGTTTCATTGTTCTAGCTTCAAAAACCCCGAATTTCCATACAAACTAAATAAAATTAGCTGTTTTAGAAAGTTCGGTGTGATATAACACTTTTCATAGCTAAACACACAATTTTTAAAGGATTTTTGTTTTTTTTTTTTTTTTTTTTTTAATTTAAGCGCCTGATAAAATAATATAGCAAAAGTGCTATTATAATCGAATTTGCTTTTTGAATTAGTTGCTTTCTAGTACTATAGAAAAATCTTAATTTAAACCTTTACTTCTAGATAATAAGGCTACATAATTAAGATTAGCTGTTTTAGAAAATTCGGTTTAATATAACAATATTGACAGGTAAACATAATCTTTAAACGATTCTTTTGTCTTTAGAAATTATAGCGCCTGATAAAAATGTATAGCAAAACTGCATGTAATGGAATTTGCTTAGTGAATTTGTTGATTATTAGTTAAAATGAAAGGAAAATCTCAATTTAAACCTTTAGTATATGTTAATGTCAGTGTCAAAATTAAATTATTCTTTCCGAAAGGTTTAATTACACAATCGAGTTGCTTTTTTAAGCTGAGTAAAGAAAGTGTTCATAACTCACACGCTTTAAAATAACCTTTTAAAGAAAGAAAATGAAAGTCGCTACAAAACACATTTATGTATTTTAATTTATTTATCAAAGTCCGTCCGTAACGCGATGTTACACACATTAATATAAGTGTTCATATTGTGTTGCCTTGGAAATGTAAAAGAAATGATATTAGAAACACAACGCTATCTTATTACTATTGTATTGTTTGGGCGTGGATAGATCATTAGATTAAGTTTACATAAATAATTTAATGATGAAAAATTTTACGACACGGGCTTACACACTTACGTTTTAAGTATTGTATTTTGATCTAGGATTGTACCTTAATATGTAAACGATAGTTGCTATATGCAAAATTCGATGATTTCGTATGAGACACGAAAGCCCAATTGGTTAGAGCGGGAGCACGGAACGCTGTAGATGCTGGTTCAACTTTTCCATCATGTGCAATATCATATGAAAAATTATAAAGTTTTCAACATTTAATTAGTAATGATCAAACGATTTAACAATCTGTAAGGCTAAATCTATTAAAATAGATCAATTTGAGCATGTTTAGCTCTATAGTATGTATCATCGCGTACGCACGGTCGATGTCGACAATAAAATAGTAATAAATATACATAATCTTAAAAATGTCAATCAGTTATAATCCGTTAGAGACTGTAAAACAACCAATTATCTGTCACGTTTTGAGAACATCGCGATATATCTAAGAGTCAAACTCTTATTCTTCTTAACCAATAAAAATAGATTGAGAGCAAACGCTCGCTCTTTCTTACGAGAGACACCTAAACGTCGTTGAGCAATATTTCTTAACAATGTTAAAATGCAACTCTGTCTTAGCGGCGGTCAACAGCGGACGCGACCCAGTAACGAAGGCAGCGCGAGCAGCATCAGGACGCCCCCACTGCTTCTAGCCGTCGAAGAGCCGAGCGCCATTGCGTCATTTGCGCTCCGTGTCAACGTCGCCGCCATCTTGTCGCCTGAAATGGGCATTAAAGCAGCTTTACTATAGATTTATCGCGACTATTTTGCTTAACAACAGACACAACGCAACTAGAGTTCAGAGACCCGTTGGACACGACAATAAACTGAACAGAGCATTTTCCGGACATCGTTAGTACCCAAAATGGGGCTTGAATGATTGAAATCTCGGATGTTACTGACTGCCCTCCGAGACGTAGACGGAGATGTGGGCGGGCTGTGTGGCGGGCGCGCGGCACGAGTAGTTCCCGGAGTGGTGCGGCTTCGCAAATCGCACCGTCAAGGCCGAGTGAGTGCGCGCGCCCGGGGACGTCGCTACGGCCACACCGCGCGAAGCATCGTAGTTTATCATGCGCCCGTTGTGGTACCAGAACACGTACTGCGGCGGCACCGGGCTCTGCGAAACGATAAACGCATAGCAGTGAGGAGAGAATCGCAGACGAGGCTCAAACGGAAACCGATTCGATTGAAAAACGAACCTTTTCAATGATGCACACTAGGTTGATGGTGGAGCCGGCATCCACGTGGTACTCCTCCGCGCCCAGGATGAACGCCTCGGGGACGACCACTCGCAAGTATACGAGCCGCGACAGCGCGCCACGGCCCGTCGACACCTGGCACTCGTACGTGCCGTTGTCACGCTTCTGCACGTATTTAATCTGCAGGACCCAATCGTCGGAGCCCTCCGCATGCAGCACCTGCAAAGGTAACAATCATCGGCGATCGAGAAGTCGGCGCTCACAGAAGTCGCGGGGAGGGGGTTACCTGGAAGCGCTCATCGTTAGTGTAAAGGAAGAGGCCGGAGCTGATAATGTGCCAGTCGCGGCGACGCACCCAGGAGACCTGGCGCTCAGCTAGATGGCGCACGGGGCAGTGCAGAAAGGCCACGCCACCGAGCTGCACGACCTCCTCGCCGGGAGTGGCGTTGAGCGCCGGCTCGCGCCGCAGCGCCTCCAACGACGCCTCCCACAGCTCCTTCCACGCGGGTACGTTTTCGGCCGCCTCCACGGCTTCGCTAGCCACTGCGCCCGCGTCGGAATCTTCGTCCGGCTCTCTCTCGCCGATGTCTCGCCCCGCGACGGCATTCTCTGGAAAAGGCGACCGCCGGCCTGACTTAATTCGCTTCACCGAGGACACAGATAACAGTCGCGGGCGACACTCATACGTACGCCTGGAGCCCGAGGGTGCAAAAAGCGCGACGAACAGTGCGAGGAGCAAAGCGGCCGCCATCACCCGCCTCCGCTCTCTTCACTCGGTCGTCTCGGCCATTCTAGAAATCCTGCAAATATAACATTATTCTATTAATAGTGCTCAGCGCATCGTACCCGTGTTATTTCTTACGTTATAGATATCCGAGTGGGTCCCGGTGTGAGTTTCACTAGCCGTGAGGTAAAGGCAGCTTTGAAAAGCATATTGCAATTATTTGGGCAAACATATATCCCCACTCTATTAAATTGCTGAACCGTTTGTCATTTCATACTATCATTGTTATATCTACACGTATGTAGTTGCCGGCACTCAGTATTCGAGTCGGGCAGAGTGAGTGCTTACTCTCTATTAATCGAAAGCATAGAGTAAATTTATGATGAAGACGTACCTTTCAAAATAAATCCAAAGTACCGTCGTCGTAACGCAATTTTTAAAATTCACTTTAGCGTCGCATTAACCACAGCAGGTCGTGGATTCGATTCTCGGAATCTTGTACTAAGTGTATCAATGTTGTCGATACACGGGGTCTTTAGAAATCCAATTAGTCTAGATTCTGAAACTTGTTCGATCGGTATAAATTGCAATTGTCATTAGATACTTTTCAGCGAATTAATCTTTTAATTGGTCGTCTACTTCACGTCGTTTCGCTGTATATTTTGATATTATTGCGTGCCTCGTTTCGATTAGTTTGCAAAGTTCAGCGAGATGTCACTTATCGTTCGAGCACGAGCGTTCACAAAACTACATCGAAGGCTACGCTTGTGTGACGCCAACATCCTTTATCGAATTAAAGTGCGCTGAATGGCTTACGCTTAGGTGGTTCGGTGGACCGGCGAGCGGCGAGGGTCGACCATTACGTCTCTCGCGGATGTCACTCGCTCTGAACACTCGTAGGGCGATGGATCTTCGCGGGCGCCGGCAGCACGCGCCCGCAACGGCTGCTTCGAGCGACTGCCGCGCGGCGCACCCCGCGGGCCAGTCGCCTCCTTGCCTCCGGCGGTCTGAACCGACGCCGAGATGTATCTTTACTCTTCGGGGTTCATGCTACATTAGAGTTATGGCGCTTATCTATCACGTCGTCGGCCGAAACATTCGGTAATGATTGCATCGCTCGTGGGTTTGCAGTGCTAACGCTGCAATAAACATCCCTTCGTACTTTTTTATATAACAAAATTTATAACTAACTATTATTAAATAAATTAAAAAGTATTTAATTACCGCACCTTCTCTGTTTACTTGTCCATCTTCCAATCGAGGCCTAAAGACTACATACGTCGCGCGGCCACGCGTGCATCGATAGTAGATAGAAAGGATTCGAAATGGGTGTGTGATAAAACAGGGGGTTTCGGGGTGAGAGGGGACTCTGATGAAATTTCATTAGAGCGATGTTCGCGACCTCCATGCTCCGTCATTTATCGCGAGAGGCGACACATTAATATGTCCGTCGGCGTCGCTCGCGACACATCAACTATGCCCCGAAGGCCAATGTGCCAAATTAGTCGTGACTCGAGCGCGGAGACCAACTCTATATTCTAGCATTAAACGGAAGTTCGTCATATTGGAGAGTCATCTTCCTAAAAGATCGTCTGGAAGGTATTAGAGTATACGCGTTTCAATCGCGAGCCAGAGAACCTATCGTCAAATGTTCAGTTTCGTCTTGGAGAACAAAATGGAAGATCGTCGCAGCGACATCGGCGAAAAGGATCTAGGAATTCGCGATCGCGTGCACGGGACACTAACACTGAACGCTCGCAGCGGCTCCTGAACCAGTGAGATAGACCACGGCCGCTAACAGTTAGGGCGCGCAATTAAATTATTTTCTTTTCGAGTGGTTCATCGTTGTTTTAATTATCACGCTTATAACTTAAATATATCTGTACCCATTTAAGTCTACCTGTGCGAAGTCGGGACGGTCCGCTAGTAATAGATAAACGCAAAAACTAAACCTTGAAAAAGATTAGGGATCCTTACTTAAACTGCAGTAAGGTAATCTAAGGTGTAAAAAGGCCATAAAAAGTATATTCCTCAATCTTAAAGAATGCGTGGAAAACTATAAAAGCTAGCACTACCATATGTCCAACTAATCACAATGGCGACTTTTTAGTATAGAAATACAAAGCTTAATTAGACTATATTATTAATACTATAATACAACACATACAAATCTTATATAGAAAAGGCCTCGCCTCGCCGCACCGCATCGTAGCTCTCTACGCTACGGAATAAATAAGAGTAACAACAAATATAAAAATAAAATAACAATAACATTAAGTTTTATAATAATCACTCAAGCCAAAGGACGTATGCGATACTGAATATTGTTTATCGACGACCATTGTTTAACTTTGGCAAATACATTTAATGAATGAGTTTAAACGCGGGTATTTATTGCACCGCGTCCACCTGCGTGGGAGGTGGACGCGGTTTAACTAGAACTTTGAACGCATCGACGTTGTTATTGAAACTGAAATCCGATCTGATGAAATGGATCGAAGTCACAAAAGTGATGCTCGCCGCATAATTGTTACGGGAGATACGTTAATATTATTACATTTTTATTTCTTTTTCATCTAACAATGTGCCTACAAGTTTAATATAAGGTCGGATGCACGATACATTTTAATGTCACATTAAATTTTAGGAAAAATAAAACACTTTTAAAGGTTTTATTTTTCCTAAAAAAAGAGCCAATTATGTATATTACGATAAATTGAGAGGAAGCTTTTAACAACACAATAGTCAAAGAGCAAAGGCCTCGTATTCCAGGAGACTTGCACCATAGCTACTATAACAATTTTGTTTGGCTCTGTTCGTAGCTGCCGCGTAGCGTCTCTTCTACGTGTACCCGCGCTACGATGCGTCGGGTCCCCTGCAATAATGAGACGGCGTCGGGAGCGGGATAAACGCGGTTTAAACAAATAATACTCGACGAGTGAAAAAGCCAAACAAATATTGAATCGCTCTTTCGCCCTCCGCCCTCCGCCCCTCCGCGCCGCCCTCTCCAGCGCTCTGTGCGCGCAATCGATACGTGAAGAGTCATTTTAATTAGGCTAACTTACACGGTGTTACTACTTTCAATGGGAAGCGGAAAGCGAAATACACAACTTGCATAAAGTAGACCCGTGAAGACTTCTTCTAAAGAGAAAACCTTCAGGTGTCAAAATATTTTCATATTTATCTCTATAAATGTAATACATAGTTATAATAAACAATTGTATTATTAAGACTATTTTCAAGATTACACTTTTATACACTTTGTGTGTTGCAACAAACATAAAGCATAAAGCTCAATGTGGGTTTTTTTTAGACATTTATTAAAGAATGTATACATTCACTTATTACTAAGTAAACTAAATATTACATTGGAATTTGGACAGTATTTTTATTAAACACAACTATAAAAAGGAGGTAGTTATGAACAGTATATCATTGTATTATTATCTAGCTTTGACGTTGTCGGCGCGAACGCAGCTGATCGAGTAAACATACAAAGATAAGCGATACTAGATGGTGCATTCGCACATCACATTAAGTTTATTATTATTTTCTGTATTATTTTATTTTGTGTTATTATATAAATGTACGTGTTGTTTGCTAGTTTTATATTTTGATGAGTTTGATTTATTTATAGTTTTTGCTCTCGATATATTTTTTTTTATTCGTTGTAGGTTGTATGTATGTGCAAATTTTTACTTTTATATTTTTATGTTTTTTAATATATGTTCTTTTATTCTTTGTTTGAATAATTTGTAGGAGTTTATTTGTTTAACTAATTTTGGTATATTGTTATATATTTTGGCGCCCTCGTGCAAAATATTATTTTTTCCATAATTTGTACGCGGTGCATATACTATTAGGTCGTTAGCATTTCTAAGTTTTATTTTTTGAACTTGTTGTTTTTTTGTAAACTTGATTTGAGTTAGAATTTCTTTATTTAATATTTTACGGATTAATAAACAGTTATTCAAAATGTATGTTTGTTTAATAGTCATGATTTTTGTTTCGTTATATAACGTATTGGTTGGTGTAAGATAGTCATAGTTAAATAGTCTTTTTAATAGTTTGTTTTGTGCAATTTGTAAAGGCTTAAGATTCGTTTTAACTGCTGTTCCCCACACTTCAATGAGATAATCGATGTGTGGCTTGGCTAAAGAATTATAGATAGTGTAGCGCACGTTTTGCGGGAGACATCTGATAATCCCGCGTAGAGCTCCATTGAGTGACGCCAATTTAGATTTGACCTTTTCTATATGGAGATTCCACGTTAAGCTGCTGTCTAAAGTTAATCCAAGATACTTTTCGCTAGTTACTCTATTTAAAGGTGTGTTATTTATAGTAAGTGGTGTAAATTCTGGGATAATTTTGTTTTTTGCAGAGAATATTATATAATTTGTTTTCGAAATGTTTAAAGTTAAAAGATTAGCTTGAAACCATTTATTTAAAAGATTTAGGTCACGTTGTGCGTCACCTACTACCGTTTCAATTGCATCCCCAAAATAAAATAAAGTAGTGTCATCTGCATATAATGTAACGTCCCCTTTTAAATCAACGTCTTTAATATCGTTTATGTAAATTAAAAATAACAGAGGGCCCAGAATAGATCCTTGGGGGACGCCAAATGTGATATTTTGCCTTTTACTTAGTGCGCCACCGATTTTAACTATTTGAGAGCGGTTTGAAAGGTAGGATTGGAAGATATTTAGAGCTGCACCCGTAAGTCCAATCATAGACAGCTTTTTAAGAAGTAAAGGGTGACTAACTGTATCAAATGCCTTTTTGAGGTCTACAAACAGACCTAGCGCCACTTTTTTCTTGTCAATGTTTATTTTTAATTTCGTAATAATGTCTATTGTCGCTGACACTGCACTAGATTTAGGTCTAAAGCCGTACTGTTTATTGTACAAGACATTTTTAGATTTCAAGTAAGCCTCTAGTCGTTTATAGAGAACCCGCTCAAAGATCTTGGATATAGCAGGTAGCACAGATATAGGACATATATACATATATGAATTTATAAACCTTACAAATTACCCCATTACTACACGATTGACTAATGCCATTTCTTCAACATCTATTAATCTAAATGCTCAACCTTATCTTTTTGTGCATAGAGACAAAAACTCACACGTTTTTACAGAATGCGCCATTTCATGGAGGTGGAATTGGAATAGAGCGTGATATGTGATCGATGAGTGCAGTGAGGTAAGGAGAAGCTCGACGGAGCGAAGCGGCCGATCGATGGCGAGCCATTTGTTCAATCTACGGCGATATGGGTTCTTTAGCCAAAGAAAAATATATACGTTTGTCTTATCCGTTTTAGCACTATGGGCTTAAGATTTGGTGCAACTGTATAATGCAAATGAAATTATTGATGCACAGAGTCAGAAACCCTAAAGGGAAATTCATATTCAGAGGAATCACATTGCAAATGGAGAACGCCATGGGGCTCACTGTAAGGAACTGAAGGAGCCGTGTCAAATCTGTCTTCCGGCTTTCATCTGCAATCATAGACAATTTATCAGAATATGCTGCGCATCGAGTGCTCGAGTAGTAGGCGAAAATGTAAGCTCACACGCCGCGGAGGCCAGTTTGTTCGCGATAGAATGCTTGATTTTGTTCAGATCGTCCGAAATGGTCTCGAAGGCCCAGGCCATCGCGAACGACATCGCCACGCTGTGCACGATCCGAAGAGCCGAACAGGCCAACAGAGGGTAGTCCTTTTCTGAAAACAAACGCAGCCTTTAGCGCCCGGCGACTCGGTCGGTCCGACCTAACTCAGAACGAACCTGATTCGGAGAAATTAATCGTCATGTAGTATTGATTCCTGACGATATTTACGAACCCGAAGAACGCAAACAGGGAAATCTGGAAACAAGGATCATGTAAAATGTGCGACCGGTAAAATCGCGACCGACTTAAAATAGCTCCCCACCGCGCACTTAACGGGTCCGAGCGTTTTCGTAAACTTGGTTTCGAGGATTTCGTATCTCTGCAGAACAGCCTTGACGTCGAGCGAGGCGGGGTCGCTCAGATCGCGGTGCATCCGCTCGAAGAACGCCCTCGAGCGACAGTAGTGCAGAGCGACGATCAGGTAGACCGGGACGCGCCCGAAGTCCATGTAGACGCGTAGAAAGACCACCGTCAGACAGGCGTACTCCACTCGCATCGCGCACACCGAGAAGATTATGAAGATGCTCATGTAAGCCGCGAAGAAGAGGGAGACGTAGCACGCGAGCCCCTTTCGGATTCTGGAGTAGCTCTCGACCAGTCGGGAAGTGTCGACTCTGTCGTCGAACGTGTAGTACTCGTAGAGGTGTATGTCTTCGGTGTAATACGAAAGCGAGAAGTAACCGAAGAACTCCAGCGCCTTGAAGTAAGTGAAGAGAGCGGTGTTCAATTTGTTGATGACGTTCTGATAGTTTAGGAAGCAGTAAACCAAGTTAGGTAGGAACCAGAAGAACTTCAGCGTCGAATATCGTTCCATCAACGGCAGAGCGCTGTAGAAACCGCACAGACTGCGGACGTACATAATACCGATTATATCACAAACTAGATTTTTCTTCATTTTCTATCACTCTAGCTTCGCGCGTGAGCTTCGACCGCGCTTTACTTTATTGACCGGCCACGTCGTGAATGTTATTACATTCGTATCATTAGAGTATATTACCACCGTAGTGTAGATAAAACGCACTCTAAAAAATTAAAAAATACTGAAGTGAGCTCCGACGGCTTTTGGCGTCAACTAAAGACGCACGACGGTTACAAAATAACGATCCGTGTGCAAAGTCATCGATCGTCACCTTCGGAACGCCGTGGATCCCTCGCTACCTCATTTTAGATCCGAATAAAATATTGTATGAATCACTTATCTCGGCGAAGGGAATCGTGCGGGATCGTGCGGAGCTCAGCGGTGATGTATGTCGTGTACGTTGCAGATGACAGAGCCATTTGTTATTTTCATCTCATTTCATGGCAGTGAAGTTAATGGCTGTGAACAATATCAACTCGTACTTCCGGATGACGGTAACAATTGTAATTACGTTAGAGTCGTCCTATCTGCCTATTTGTTCGCGTCGTTGCGCAAAGTGCGAAATTAACGAGCTCTACAAACAAAAGAATCAACCTTGTCATGTCTCGCGATAGCCACTTCATTACACGACAGCTTTTCACGCGCCGTTACGCCTTCGTGAGCTAGAAGTTGGCGAGATATGTAAAAGTGCATATATCGACCTAGAACTACCTATACTTTACATACTGCCTAGCTTACGCATTATACACATTACGTAGTCGCGACTCTTAAAAGTAAATGTAATCAATATATATAGATTTAAACATTTTAAGCGCCTTATTTAGATACGTATCTACTCAACTACTGTAATCTATCGATTAGTCGGTCGCTATTCGTTTCTCCTATTTTTTTTGTTAAGACTATTTTTCCTCCCCTGAGCATTTCTTCGTACTTGTCATCATATAGCCGTCTTAATAAACCGCGCCGAAAGAGGCGAGAGGCGGACGGCGGACGGCGGGCGGACGGGGGCGGACGGCGGGCGGACGCGGGCGGACGCGGGCGGGCGGGGTCGGTCGGGGGTGACGTCACGTGCGCGAAGCGGTCGCAACTCGCGATGAATCTGATTACAGCGATCTGCAAGTTTAATATATTCTCGGCGTCCCCGAGTTCTATGAGTCAGTCGAGGTGAAGGAATGCTAATTTTCCTTCAGAACGCTCCCGTCTACAGAGAACTGGGAACGTAATCGAGGACGCTTAATATCAGTCGTACGAATGTAGGACTAGTCTGAGTCCAACGTCTACTGCGCTAAAAGAGTATCATTCGCGGTAATAGACCACCTCAGCCTCCACTGATGAAGTTTAATTATACAAATAGGCCATTTAACTAATTGGTCCTTGAGCTCACCTCCCCGCCCCTCACCCGCTCTCCGTTTCCCCCTGCTTGCGTGCGTTACGTGCTTTTCCACAATGAGAAGAGTCGCACCGCTTATTAAAGCGATATTCAATTAAGTGGGGTTTTATTTGAGAGTTGTTGAATTATACGAAACGATTATACGAATCTCACTTTTAGGAATTATCATCAAAAGTACAATCTATACTAATATATAAAGCTGAAGAGTTTGTTTGAACGCGATAATCTCAGGAACTACGGGTTCGAATTAAAAATTATTTTTGTTGGTTAGAGTATTTTTCGAGGAAGGCTGTAGGCTATACAACATCGCGTTGTGACTAATAGAAGCGAAGATACAGCGGTGTGAACAAAACGGGGGAATTTTTTTATCTCTGTGGGTTTCAGACGCGTACGCTGCAAAAACGATTCAAGATACCTAAAAAATGTGTATGAAGGAATGATTCCTATTTAAATGATCTAAAAAAATTCCGACGCTATATGTCTATCTTTTAAGATTAACTTGCAAGAACGACGGTAAGGGACGCGATCGACGTCGTGGCTAACAACTTAAGTTTATAAAGATGACGGGGTTTGCAAAAACTAATTTGGATGACCAAAATAACGATTCTCGCGGACGAAGTCGCTGGCACAGCTAGTTAAATATAAAATCGCTTACTCAAAAATACTGACACAGCTAGAATTACGCTGTTGTCAAACGTAACAGACGTATGAAGGGAACGCACGGCGCAGGGTCCAAAAGGAGTCGCTCTGTTTAGTTAGGCTCACCGTGAGAGAGATTTGAAACAACACTAGTGTTTCCATAGGAAAATTGATATTAGGCATATTTCGGCCACTGAAATACCGCGTCAGACACACGCCGCATGAGACACCGCGTGGTTGTAAATGACCGCTCCGTCAGTGGCCATACATCGGCTGGGATTAGCTGCCTCCTCTGTGAGCTACGACCTCAATTATTACGCTAGGAATCCGAATAAGACGAGTACCTGCGACAATTCGTGTCCTCATTCTACTGAACTTCTTGAAGCGGTCCACGACTTGACGTCCAACAAGAGGATGCAGAGAGCGTTTCTTTTAAATGTAACGGTTCCATTTAAGACTCATTATTGAGGTATAATTGAGTCGGGGCGACCTCGTCGAGTGCTAAATAAATAATAGAGCCGTTTTGAAAGCGCCTCGAAACCTTGCGCCAAATCAAATGAATGGGTCGACGTCATCGCACGCTTTAATGAGGGAATTCGCGGGCGCCCGAGCCGTTCCAACGAGACGCTCGTTTAATTGGGACGAAAGAATATCGAGCTGGAAATACTTAAACCTTCTCGAATATTTTGGCAGATGTGAACACAAACCTTCAGTTCACTTCCGTAGGTCACATTGTAGTGTATAACAGTTTAGCGTATACTCCCGAGTTTCGGGTACCAGAGACTGTTGCGTATAACAGTTCGGAAAAGTATACGTGCTTGTGTTTGCTGAAGTTATGCTGTAGAGTTAACAGCTTAAAGGTTAAGATTAAGAGGGAGGCGAAGTAACCAAACCCAATGAGTGCTGTAGTGCAACTGATTTATTTCCTATAAATATCGCTTAAATATAATTTACAATAAAGTGGGACAGTAGGATGCTTATTAAGCTAACCTTGTAATATTTGCTCTCAATATAAACATTTGAGTGTGCATAGCATTGACATGGATTACATTTTATGCTGGCTTTGCTACAAATAATATTATAATAAATATACAGTAATTTTGTACGGGTGTTTGTCCGTACACACATAAATACACGTCTCCTGTTATAGAAAAGAATATAATTAAAAAAATATATAATTGTAAAGAAACCGATTTAGGGGGCGAACATACTTTTTATTTATAAAAATATAAACTAATAATTCGTTTGCGGTGTATTACGTTTATTAGTTTTATCACTAACAATTCACGATTTAAAATGAAAAGTTGCCTTCAAGGCAAGGATAGCAATGCTACGAAAAGTACATCATTGTGCTATCATGGCAAAATAAACCCTCTTTCGAGACGTTCTGTATAGCAATCGACCGTGCTAAATTATTGTCATCGTGCCTAAGGCGCATGCGATGGAAAGTCAAGCGACGTCAACAAATAATATTGTAGCCTTGTAGCAACAGACCACCCTCTCGGTTAAATATAATAACGTCAAAATTATTCTTCATTATAATTGCTCTCGTGACGGTCGGTGGCCGGAATCACCGTAGAGGTCACGCAAATATTTTCCAGTGTATGTATAATAATAATAATATACCATAAATAAAATATAGTTACATTAGTCACAGTAGTGGCCCAGTATGTACTGTGTACACCCAATGGGTCGCTCATCGACGCACAAAGGGCTAATTACAGCCCGGGCACGTCAGACGGACGAAATTATCGCGATATCAAACGACGCCGATCGATATAGCGTATTAATAATTAGAGCTGATATGGCTAGGGCTCCGAGTTGCGACGTTTTCTCAGGTAAATTCACCTGGAGATTGCCAGGTTATTGCAAGCGAGAGATTCGCAACGAAGTGAACACGAGAGCGGATCGTCGAACGTCGTCCACACTTTCCACCAAACTCAGGCACCCACCTCAAGCGGGTTGTATATTCTAAGCCACATACGACTTGTCCCATTGCTTTCTCCTAAATACTAATAAAAGGACGATAGTGAAAAGCAAGGAGGATCGCGTTTATAAACTTACGTCACAACGTAGCACTCTGATTCTGGAATAATAACATATTCCAGAATCAGAGTGCTTTCATGTTAACACACTAACTCACTAATGAGACCCCCCCCCCCCCCCTCTTATGAGCACTCTCGCAAGAAATATTAATGACATTTTATTCCTCACGTAAATAAAATGTACTTAATACAATAAAAAAGTCACACAAATATAAAAGTAAGTCCTCTATACAAAGGCAAAAGAATCACCGAAATGAAGAAATATTACCAAGCTTAAAATAACATTACATTTATTAAACAGAATGTTAATCCGGAGATGAGCGTTTAGTACAACAAGTATGAATTCAAGAGGGAAACTTTCCTGAAAGGTTTCTTGTTAAAAAACAAACTTAAAACAGAATTTTAAAGTAGAAAAGTTAGGCATACGCCTACCCGCTGTCTGTTACAAAAAAAGGGGCGTATTTTGTAACTCACTTATAAGAGTCACGTTGTACTTAAATTGGTTTGATTTTGAAGTTCTTTCGCTACATTTGTATATTTGGTTCATTAATCGGCTTCTTTGGCTACCGCTGATACCGCTCTCTTTTTCACGGCCACCGCCCGTCCCTGGTCTACGCGTCCCCCTATCCACAGACACGTGACCTCGCCGTCGAGTGCCACGAGGCCACTTTGCCCTACTCCATAAACGGACCACGTCAATGAGCAAATAAAGCAACGGAAAGGTTCAAACCGTAGCAGACTTCTCAGTCGAGATTCGCTTGAAAAGAAACTTTATTTGTTTCTTTGGAATATAAAAGTGGCGCTTTGTGGAGGCGGCTCGGGGCCTTTGTGCGACGTTTCGCGGGCGTACAATTGCATTCCTACTTCTGAAACGAACTTTCCGCGACGCTTTTCATATCTCCCAATTTTGTGCATCTCGATTCCGTAATAATGCAATCGAACCGAACGAGTTACGAGAGCCTCGGCCCTCGAACTACTTTTATCGACTCAAAAGCAAAGTGGCCGGATTCATTCGTACCTACATATATAAAACGGTAATTATTCTTCTATCGTATAATTGAAGCGAACGGCGGAAGAGAGACGGGAGTTTGACCAAATTTAGAAGCGAAACGCCTCGACCTCCACTTACTGAGCTCCCCGCGTGAACAATGAAATATATTATATTATATTTTTATTTGGCTAGATTACGAAAGAGGTCAAGACTCGGCTCCCGCTTTCCACCCCTCGCCCATTCTTTTTTCTATGTCTTGCAAATATGTATCTAGTGGACGCCGAGACGCATCTCAACCGTCAAACGAATAGGGATGCGACAGCCGACAATTGTGATAAACACAATTGTCGGCTGGTGTCGTTAATACAAAATACTTTAAACGATAGATGTAATACAGTATTATAAGGCTAAATATTGAAAATGTGGATCAAAATTCTGTCCGAAGCTATAGATGAAAATAACAGCTGCATAAACAGTTGAAATCTCGCCGCATTAGCGCGTCCGTACGATTACTTCAATAATTTCCTTTCTCACCGCAAGAAAATTGAATTTCTGTTTCCTTCGAAAGCAGAATTGTTATTATAGCGAGCTACCTCTCAGCCGATGCACTTTTATTCATTCAGTGAGTCGGCTAAGAGTGCGCTGCGGCTACGGGCGAGAAGGCTTCGACTATTTATTATCATTAATCGACAACTTTTAATCGTTTTCATCTAGCCGTTTCGTCAATTTATCATTTCGGCATGTTTCTGATAAACATTTTTGCAAAGGTAATACGAGCGAAATGTAATCAGGAAAAAAAGCCGACAGGCCGTCATGTCCGTTGTCACACGACGAGAAAGGCCGAGAGAAGACTAGAGCCACAACGTTACGTGACCGAGAAACAAAAGATTCTTTTTATTACTTGTCGAATTCTGAGTTGACTGAGGTGCTCTGTCTCAACAGAAAACGTGAAGATATAGAGACGATGCAGAGCAAATCTTAACTACTAATGAAGTAGTTAAGATTGCAACATTTTGCAACGATTGTCGAGCAGAAGTCTGTAACTTTTGCTCGACTTCTTAGTAATTTTTTTTTTATTTAAACAATAGTCAACTCAGAATAAAGAAAATTTTTTTCGGGGGTAGTTTTGTTTCACTTGGGTAGTTGAGTTTATCGCGATTCGACGGCCGAAGTAAGTCAGCGCGCGCTGTCAAACGGTTCTCGATGCCACTCGCGCGGTTGTGCACAGTTCTTGTTTTAATACCAATAATAATACTCACATGAATAGCAAGTGTATTTACGTTACGACGCCCGTGTTCATTTGTGAAACTACTGAAGGTACTGTTCGTAATAGTTTCCGCGGGTCCAGTGTATCTTGAAGACTGATAACGTTACCTAAATTCAGTGTAGTACGTGATGATATAAGTTCACAAGAGCGCCCTTCATTCCCGATGACAGACAGACAGACCCGCCTCAATAATAGTGCATAGAATTCACAAGTCGACCACTGGACCAGCGGTAAGTACTTAGAAAGCAGAATAAAGTTAGCTAAACCGTTTTGTTGAGAATGTGTATCGTTCGTTTTTAATTCGATTTCACGTCATGACGGCCATAGTACTTTCTAAGCTAAATACGTTTTTGTTCGTTTGCTTCAACTGATACCCCAGGGTGGGTGAGTTCCGCTAAAGGAGTCAGCGGGCTTCAATCTTTTCCTCATCAAAACGTCACGAGGATTAATGGCTTCGCTAACGGGAAGATTTCCCTTTTATATTTTAATTAATTTCGTTTCTGCTCGCTTAAGCGCCGACAATAATAATCATTAGCCATCTCTAAGCGACAATATTTACGTCTCGTCACCGAAGCCCGGGAACTCTTCGAAGCGAAAAGCTAAAATGGGGATTTTACGAGCTTCATTATTTTTATACCTCGACATTTTTCAAATTGATTTCAAGGTGCGACTTACGCCGTCGCTACTTCGATTATCCCTCTGTGTCGTTCGGACAGTACATCGTCGGCGCTCTGAAGAAGTTAATTATTCAAATGATATCTTACTTTGAAATATGAACGGCGAGTCGGGCCTCAACTCTGAGCGACAGCGAGACGTATCTCGACTAAAGTTGCAGAGGGTATGAAGAACAACAATTTGCACGCGAATGCGGATTAACTCCCTCGTGTCAGCCGACGGGCCATTCATCACCTGCCGCTTCAAAGCGCTGCGCGGCCACAGTGCGAGGCGCAGTAGGGCAGAAAAGGCGCGCCCGATGAACCCGAGCCCCGAGTACAGATCTCGAACCCCCTATTCCCGAATAGAATGCGAGAAGTGGTGTTCCATGCGGTGAGTCGTGGTCCACGACTGCCGACTAGACGACTTCTATCTGGTTCAGAGTGGAGCTACTACTCGCACTGTCTCCCGACGAGCTCTTACAACATTCACGTAAATTAATCCAGCTCCGAGTCCGTATTTCACCTTTCGCGACCATTGCAATATTGTTTACTTCATCTTTTGATGAGCAAAGATTGATCCTATTCGTCTTACTAATCTCTCACTGAACAGATATATCACTCTGAAAGGCAGAAACAGTGCGATCGAAGGCGGTGGGCGGTGTGTCGTTAATTCTCTGGGTCGTAATGTATTTTAGCTGAACTCGTGAAGGGCGAAAGACGAGGATTTAAATACAAAACATTAAGTCGACCTGCATTAGTGAGGAGAATCTCGCTGGGAACATATTATTTTAAAACGTAGGAATGCATTAACGCAGAGCGAGAACAAAAGCTCTCGGCCGCGGCCATTCCATCTACAGAGCGCTCTCTTTGGGGAAATCCTCTTTCAATGTAGGACACACGTCATAGACTAAGCTTTCTTTGCAACGCGGACGGTACTTCTCTCTTACATATAAGTACTATTGTGCAGGCTTGCGCTTCGTGAAGTCGGCCACTGAATATTTGTGATCGTGCAAAAACAACCTGGAAACCGGCAAAACCCTAAACAAAATAACAATCACATTTGACCTAGCCTAAGTAATTATAGTGTAAGTGCAATAAAATAAATATTATTGCACTTACACTACGCACGTTAATGGCAAGCAAAAGTGTGTCTAGTAAATAATAATCGCAAAAAAACTCGTTTACAAAATATTACAAACAAACACGAACTGCATAGCGTACTTAGCTCGCTATTTGTACTTTTTGCACTTTGAAGAGATCTTTTGGAAGACTGCTGAATTAATACGAGGAAACAATTTTTATACTTTTATAGTTATTATTTTTCTTTAACTTTCTACACGAGTTAAGCGCGTACTTCTCGCTCCATGTATATTCAAAAAATGCATAGCAAAATTTTATTTTTAAGTAATTGCTTAAACACTGCCGGCGCTTAAGCAATAACCACCTTTCCACCAAAAGCAGGTCCTCGACTGGCGCTTAATTTTTTTATTATTATTTGAAGTTAATATTTACATAATGTAAACAAGAAATGTTCCTACTCCCTTGTTTAACACTGGTGCAGTGTCCCGTGATCGTCTCTCTAGATCAGTGATTCCCAAAGTGGTCTATATCGACCTCTAAGGGTCTACGACGACCTACAGGGGGTCCACGTCGGCGAAAAAATATTTGGAGATCCATGAAATGAAAATAGGGGTCCACGATAATGGATCTCAACACATACACTCATAGTACCTATTTACTTCCATCATACTATCTTATAATAACAAAACATATACATTATTTATAAAAGCACCTATAAAGTAAAAAAAACATTATATATGTTTGTAAGAGGATTTAAATTTCCCGCAAATTCTAAAGATTTGACATTATGTGTGACGTGGTGTAACGTCACGCATAATGTCAAGATGGCGGGTTTTTATCGTGAATGGAGTGATGAAGTGAAATTCTTTACAATCTATAAATAAGTAATTTACCATTGTTATTAATAAGATTGTTCTTATAAGATTGCCGAAATAACTTAATTTGTTGTTTCTTTCAGGTAATTCTTTTTATATTAAAATTGTTGTAGTAGTTTGTGTAAGTTTAGATTGTTAAATAACAAGAACATTAAATCTTTCAGATTAAAGCAACAACACGTTTTATTTCGCATAAAAATCATAATCGATCTCCTTATATGTTTATAAAATTGTGTAAGTTGTAGGATGTTGGTATTCCCTTTGTGAAATACATTCTGAACTTGTAAAATTTTATTTTGAGTGGTTTAATTAAAATTCAATTAATAAATGTATAGTAAATTTTAACACTAAACTTTAAGTTTTTAACACTATACTTCACTACAAAAAATTAGAAATTTACAGGAAATCAATATCAGGTAAGTTTTTCCGTGTTTTTCCGTGTTGGGTAGACCCCCTACCCAACACGAAAAAAACATGGCAAGGGGTCTACGACACACAAGAATTTGGGGAACTCTGCTCTAGATGGACTTACTAAAATTGATTCAGTCAATCTCCGCGTTTGTTGCATTTCGATTTTCGATTTATTTCTCTTTTATGATAGAGGAGAACGGCCAAGCATCGGATTCACTTACATCTGCACAATATGCGCTGGAGATCTATTTTGGCTTTGGATATTCGGAAACTTCACGGCTTTTTCACCTCTGGACGGTGGTTCGTGACCCGGGCGGAATTTCGATATTTCGACCCGGTGGGGAGCGAAGCCGTTAATCATTACACCCACGAGCCTAAAAGAAGTACAATGCTGAAGCAACCGAACACTGCACGAAGTTGGCGACATTGTAATATGTTGCCTTTCTAATAATCCTAACATAGACGAGATTTTATTACAGAGATCAGTGGCTTAGAAAATTGTAAAAAATATTTAAGGAAGATTAGGTGTATTAAGCGATAATGGAAAGCATTTTTCGAAAATATTATACGCGACTACGTCTACTCTAATGGAAGATTTGTGTTCTCCGTCTGTCCGTTTACGCTAGCAATGATTAAACTTGAAAGACTATACGATTTAAAAGAATCTGTCACTTTTAGAATGCAACATTCTCTCTGAGAAGCACGGAATGCATTTATCGTTATAACTTTAACGTAACGTAACTGAAAGCATCAACTCTCGGTGATGGAAAATTAGTAGTTTCTAGAATGCCAACAACTACAAATTACACACTATGATATTCAAACTTCTGTTGAAATCCATACCTAAACATCATCATCGGCATTGTTTTTAAGGCGATTTCAATTTGAATAGATTACTTATTGCACTGTTCAAAAGATATGACGAATTTAAAAACCGTGCAAAGCTGGTTCTGCCTCTGTGACATACACTTTCATACTCTGGAATAAAATCATAACGTGACAAAACAATATTCGCCAACTCTTTAAAGTTACTTGGATAATATAAACGCCATGTCATTCTGCTCTCTATTCTCTAAATTAAATATTCAATTATCTTCGTAAAACTTAGTTTGGTTTTATATCCCACAACATAATATAACCTGGACTAGGTTTCGTTGTGTATCGACACAGGCAAACAAAAAGAGAAACGCGGTCGCGATGATATGTAGCGAAGTATAGTAAGAGGAAAGGCACGGTTTATGTTTTAGAGCGATGTAAATAGTTGTTGTTTGTGTTGTAGAGGGAGGGCGCAGCCTCCCACCCGGGCCTCTTATTGTCATGCAAATCGACCTCACCAATACTCTCCTATCGTGCGATAAGCCTCCCCCTCGGACCACCGCGACGTCATCGCCTGCAATTATACAATACACAATTATACATTCTGCATTTACGAATTAATTATTTTCTTGTCACTCTTGCTTTCCTGAGCGAGAGTTCAGGTGGGATACATTTATTTATTCTCTTCCTCAAATATGCAAAAATATTCGTCGGGTTTTAAAAAGCCAACACCGTACATTGTAATAACTGCGTCGATATAATAGAATCTTCCGAGTCCTATCTAATTACATACTATAGAGGGTCATTACGTGAGGTTTGGTTCATTGGTTTTTTAAGCCTCTACAAATGAGGACTGCGGGCGACCCAGTAAGGCGAGTAAGGCTTTTTTGAAAGTACCGTCACACAAAATATTTATTAAATCATTCCTATTTACCTATAGCAAAATACGTATTACTTTGTAAATTTATTTTTTCTTTCTCGCTTACTGGGTGATTCGGTTAATTGTATGTCATTATGTCGGTTAGAGCACTGAAACTCGTCATCCCTTCTCTTTTGTATTAAGTAGATGAAATCAATATCAAGTTACGAGTATCATGAATTAAAAATCCGAAAAAATTTTAACTTGTGGAAATCAATACTAATATATAAAGCTGAAGAGTTTTTTTTTGTTTGTTTGTTTGATCGCTAATCTCGAGAACCACTGGTTCGAATCGAAAATGTCTTTTTGTGTTGGTAAGAACATTTAAAACAGCGCACATGAGTAATAGGAGCAAAGAAACAGCGGGAAATGTAGAAAAATATGTAGGAAAGAATGATTCCTCTTGAAATGATCTAAAAAAATTAAGTGCAAGAACGACGGGACATTTATAAAGATGAAAATGAAGATGCCCTTCCGCTGCACATCTAAATACGCGGTATCTCGAATTAATTAGACTTTGTTATTCGAACAAAATGTTATTTCCCTGCGATGTATTCATAAGAATATTTATACTCTGTAACTCGAATTTCAAAAAGAAAAGTCTGTAAATAAGTCAATGTTAGTAAAATGTAATGACGTCTTCCTTGGACTTCTTCGAAATCATAGAAATAAAATCCAAAAGGAATGTTTGGTGTAGGTTCGGGATTTCTAATCTATTGCTTATGTCTTGTACTCGTGCAACGAATGACCATTAAATGTTGAATTGTTGTTTAACTTTGACTCGAAAAGTATATGTAAGTAGTTAGAAACCGTACCTTTCTAAGTCAAAGTTTTAGCATTTCTTTTATGCTAAAAGATTCGAGTAACTGAGTTTAGCAGTCATTTGCATCTATCATCATTAGTATCTAGATTCTAGACAACGCACTGTGAGAAACGTCTTTAAAATCTGACACTATTCAACAGCTTGACAATGACAGGCAACAGTGTGCTGGTCAACTTTAAGTTATAACATACAAGTTCCAAAACAAATTGAATAATAATATTGTCTTGTAAAAAATGTTAGCATTAATTGCATTGTGATATTAACGACACGTAAGTTATTCATGGATAGGGTTCAACAGTTAAACTTCCGTCTGTTAGCGAATTGAATTTTTTTTCAATGCCTTACATTTTTCTCTCCATGTTTCCTACAGTTTCAGGGTCAACCTTGTTATGTAGTAAACAGCTAAACAAAGGACTAGCATCTAATGTTATTGACCGCAATAAAATCATGAAGAAGGTAGTGTTGTTCAAAAGTAGTTCGGAGGATTACGAAAGAGTGTTCAGTGATAATGATTATGAAGCTGTTTTCGTGGAACCCCTTCAGTTCGAGTTCGTAAATCTGCCCCACCTCTCTCAGGAACTGCAGAAAGGGCACTACCAGGGGTTGGTTTTGACGAGTCCGCGAGCCATTGAGGCCGTCTCCGAGTGCTGGTCGCCGTCAAAATTCATCTCTTGGAGCTCCAGACGCGTCTACACAGTCGGCGAGGTGAGCTCGAGAAAAATCAAGCATATGCTCGGTTTAGACTCATTAGGCGAGACTACAGGCCATGCTGACAATTTAGCTAAACTTATGGCATCTGAAAACCCAGATTCTAGTCAATTTCTGTTTCCATGTGGTAATCTGCGATCTGAAATCTTACCTAACATTTTGCATAGGGCGGGTATGACTGTGGAGGCACTTACAGTGTACAAAACAAAAGAGAACGAACATTTAAGACAAAAATTAATGGATCTGAACGAAAACATAAATCCTTGTTGCATGGTATTCTTTAGTCCATCAGGCTGTGAGTACATTTACAGGCAATTGCAGACATTCAGCAACAATCTCTCGGTTTTACCGCACTTTGCCATAGGTAATTCCACAGCACATAAGATAGAGAACTTGGGAGTGGAGATTGCAGGAGTGGCTGCCAAACCGAAGCCAGAATGTGTTCTAGAATCTGTGCAAAGCTACTTTAGAACGTTAGGGGAGTGCACTTAACACAAACCGAGTGATAACTGTTGGTGTTGGTTATGTATAAAGTGTATTGATGTTGTTTTATTTTTTACTAAAATTTTATTAAAGTTGTAACAGCACAAGAGCATTATTCCTAATCCCAATTTAGAAATAAATATTTAAAAGTTGTAAAATACAAAGTAATATGTCACTTTCTAATGGTCTCTCATTAGCATACACAATAATATGATTGGAGAGTGGAAATCCGAGATCTGCAATCTTGGCTCTTTACTGCAGCCTCAGTGGCTGACTGTCAGTCAGTTTGGCCAGGTAAGGTTTCCATCTGATGTCCTTGGGAAACACAGGTGGGCAAGGGATATTCATTGCGCTCTCTTCGACGGTACTGGAGGTATGTATAGATTAAAGAATGAAACTAGAAGCGGAAGGTGACACGAGGCAATGCCTTGTGTTTGTTGTTTGCGCGCCTATGATTCTGGCGACGTGGCCGGCATTAACGATACGCGATAGGGGAGGATAGAATGAAACAAAACACGCTATATATAAAAATCATAATATAATATGAAATAAAGTTTCGTACGGACTCTACTCGATTCGCCGAGAGGCGGAGTGGTACGACGTGTAGGAAGATAAAAAACCAGTGATATGTACACTACTATATAAAAATAATGCTTTCGTCCGAGTTACATACGTGGTTATACTCGCTAAGAACAATTATCATTATTATGTTATCAAATTTGAAATACACCTCGCTCTCCTGGAGCCAGTGAACGAATAGTACAAATGTTGTAAGCTCATGACGCGAGTACGACATACAGACGGTACAAAATTATCTCTATAACAATTATTATGCTTACTTGTACAATGGTGTCCTTATGGTAGCTAATTGTGCCTTCGCCCGGAAAGCGCAGAGTCCTCGGTGGGTCGTATGTCGAAGTATCTAATCGTGACTACATTCGGCCCAAACTTGCCTTTACAGTAAATAAACTAACTTCAATAACACGTGCCGGACTAAATAATGTCGATGCAGAATCGGAGCACGAGAAGGGGCGACACTTTATTTGTGCAGAGTACTTAAATCTAAACTGACTAGCATAAAATCAGACTTGTGAAATAATAACTACAGTGTATGAAATGCACAATGGCACATCCTTTACATGTTATTAGATGTTGCAAATGAATTCTCTTATGTCGTGGCCACTGTTTGTGTATTGTCTGTACTTCATTCAATATGCATGGTGCTATGTACATGTTCTTTTTGTTATTTATGATTTAAACAATCTGAAGACAGATTAAAGTAATAATAAAATGCCAACACAATATTACAGTAAAATAATTGGCGACATCTAGTGGCAGTATTAGAGGACCTCCAGTTTGCGCTTAATTTTAGCGTATACGGAACGTGGAGATCGAATGTAGATTCAATTATCACTGATACAATCTAACGTCTATAAAACATATAAAATGGGCCCCGACGACCGGCTCAGAAGTCGGTGGGAGTCGCGCGTCACTATAAGGGGTCGTCGCGCGAAGTGGAAGGCTGGGGCACCGCCCGATAGGCCGCGGCACCCGACGAGAGGCGTGAGCGTGCGCGGGGCCGGCACGTACTCGCCGCCGCTGCGGGCGCAGCGCCGCCGGCACGCACGCACCCGTTGCGTAGCGCCAGGCTCACCATTCCCGCTGCCGCGCAAGCACCGCACGCGCCCATCGCCTGAACAGACATACTTGTTGCAACTAACCATGCACTTGATAAAGTCAAATAGTTTATTGATTGGTTTTATATGGTATTTACCGCAGCAATATATATAACGGAAGCGGCATATGGGATGCGCATATCTGTTATGGGGCGAAGCGCGAGGCCAGCCCCTAACAGCAGCCACGCTGCACTCCAAGCTCCCAGCCAACCACTCTGTAAGGAGAAGTAAAATTTCTCAGCTTTTTTCCACACAATGGACACTAACAGCTGTAACTAATCTACAAGGGATATTAAAAAATTAGCTATTAGATATAGCTCAATTTCATCAATTACCCATTTATAAAAGTCCAAAGGAAAGAGAGCCGAGAGTCCTGTGATGTGAAGGACAAGAAGCAAGCCGTGGGCCAGCAATGATGTCAGAGCACCCAGCAGCAATGGCCGAGTCACGCTTGAGCCGTGCAACCCTACACCACCCCAGACACAGCCGCATACTACACAACTGCATATCTGACAAAACCAACTCGATATTAGCCACTTGTCATTATGTTAAAAGCATCTTTATAGGGATCATTATATGTGTAAGAATGAATAATGTGGCCTCCTTTTCTTTTACACCTGTTCATCATCACAAATAGACTTAAAAAAAATTGGGGAAAAGAGAAAAGATCTCTGTTAATAGCAAAAAGATTATTAATCCTTATGAACACAAGAAAGGGTAAAGAGGCAGTCCAATTTTGTACCTGTCGACATGTCTGACAGTATCTATTGGAGATATTACTCACGACAAGCAGGAGCGTAAGCGCGCCCATGGAGGTGCGCAGATAGCGCAGTCGGCAGTACAGCGGCGCGAGCGGCAACGGCCGCGGTGGGGGCGCGCGCGAGTAGTGCGCGTGTGAGTCCCAGGAGCGGTCGGTGAGGTCCGTGGCGGCCGGCGAGCGCCCGCCGCCGCCATAACTGCCCGCGATCTCGCAGTCCGCGCCCTCTTCGCCGCGACAGCTCGTCGGCTCCAGCTCGCGAATTTCTTCGAGAAGCAGCTCCACCTCGTCCCTCGAGTACAGCTCGCTGGCGGACACGTAGCGCGTCGGGGCCGCTTGCATCCCCCGGCCTCACATCCACGCCCCGCACACCCCCTAGCACTATAACGCGTCTATCACATTCGACTTCTTCGTTTCGACCCAAAGCTTCATTATCCAACCGAACAAAAATATTACAATTCCATTTGTAAACAGAAAAAATGACGCATTGCTAACACGCCATGATTAATAACAATAGTTAATTTTACTTTGAAGTTTGGTTACCCTGACAATGACAGCTCGATAAAATGTCACAGATTATATACGAGACTTGCCGTTCGTTGATAAATAGTAGAGATGCAACGAATATCCGGTTGCTATCCGGTATCCGGCCATTATTTTACTATCCCGCCGAATACCGGATAGTTGCGCACTATCCGGCCGGATACCGAATAGTGTTTTTGTTTAGTATTAATATATTAGCTTTGAAAAATTGTTAGTTAGTATACAAGAAAACAACAACAAATTATCAATATTCGTTTACCAGTAACACCTTTAACATACCTACTGCTTAAACTTATCAAAAAGCTTAATTTAAAGTCCTTAAGAAAATCCTATGATCAACTTGAATGGATTAACTAGTCGTAGCGAATCTGATGTTAATTTTTAACCAAATAAAATAAGTGTTACCAAATAAACAAAAAGAGTGTTTAGTATTCATAATTAACTAACGGCAAATTGTGGTGAATAAAAACGAAATTCTCTGAATTTTTGGGTAACAATCGATTTCTCCAATTTTTATGAACAAGTGCTGCCTTACCCTCAAAAAAGTATTTCGCTATAAACACTGCTACATGATATATTTTTTTATTTATAGTTTCATGAACAGCAATTGCGCCATTATCTGCCCTTCTTTACATTGGAGGCGAATCACCTTCACTACTATATAATTGAATCCTCTTCGCTACAACTCATTTTTAAGCTCTCCAGTAGCAGCTCTTGTTTAGTTCTTTGGCCGGCCGAACATTCGGCGGCCGGATAACGGATATTCGGCTGGTGAGGAGGCCGAATATTCGGTATCCGGTATCCGGCCAAACAACTATCCGTTGCATCACTAATAAATAGTTCAATAGAACATATCTGCGCGCCCATAGATAATCATCTTCGAAAACTCAGATTTTACAAATCGGCAGTTATAGTGTAAACCCGTTAGAACTTTTTTTGGGCATTCAAACCAAAATTCAGAAAGGAGAAAATATTTATTTCCACAAAGTCTTATTTGACAAACGTACTTACTTACATATAAAGTTACATTATCCTATTTTTCATATCACAGATACAATTGTACTTAAGAGATTCATACAATCTGTTTGTACAAGTTTTAGACGAATATTATATATTCTTTAGCGGCGGGCTTAAGTCAAACAACAACGAACAAAAAAATGCGCATGTCTGCTCCAGAGCAAAGAGGCGGTCGAGGCGCCCTGGAGTCACACTGATACTTGTAACATTCTTAAAACTAGGTGTCAAACTTTAGGAAATAACATTTAACGAAGGTGTTCAAATCCGGGTGGAGACGTAAAAGAAGAATCTTGCCGGGGGAGAGCATGGCGGATGACGGCAACCATGTAGGTGTAAGCCGCCATCACGTCTTTCGAGCCTAGCGCCTCGAAGGTCTGGCACGCGGCCACCGGTATCAGGACGTACGGGTGCTGCCTCTCCAGTGCCACAAACGGTACGTCGAACGAGGGCTGGCTCGCTACAAGAGGCGGAAGCGGTGGAGCGGCGACGGGGGTAATTTGGGTTCGCGGCGTCGCTAAGTTGGGGGCTACGGGGATCGATTGGGGTCGCGGCGTCGCTAAGCTGGGGGCTACGGGGATCGTTTGGTTTCGCGGCGTCGCTACGTTGGGGGCTACGGGGATCGATTGGGGTCGCGGCGTCGCTAAGTTGGGGGCTACGGGGATCGTTTGGGGTCGCGGCGTCGGTAAGTTTGGCGGGACGTGGCGGCGGTATTCATCGATGTGGTCGAGTATGACGCCGTTGCGCAAGTAAGCCTGGATCTCGGCGAAGTTAGGCGTCTCGCCGCTCTCGAGCGCGTCGAACGTCGGCCACAGGTGACGCTCCGACGTCTGGAAAACGAGCCGAGCGTTATCTACGGAGCGACGTTACACGTCTGACGTCGAAGGTTAGTAAGGTCGTGGGTAAACTTAGCGCGTCACCGCTCGCTCTTGGCCGCCAAGTATGCGCGCATGAGCGCCACCGCGCCCCTCTTGACCGAGATCCCAGGTAAGTCGTCGCACGCCCAAGTCGGAATGCGACGCGGGGCGGCCACCTGCGACGCAGAAGCGGATACGTCCGAAGCGCCATCCACTTCGGACGGCGTCGGAGCCGGTAGAACGGTGGTCGCGGACGGCACACTTACGGCGGAGGCGAGGCGTCGCCGAGTCTCGGCGAACCCGCCGCGCACGAGCTCCTCGCACGTGTATACGTCCTCGTCGGTCGAAGTGTCCACGAGGACCACGTCCAGTATGTCGTCCTGCAGGCAAAAGAAAGACATTATTTTAGCGGCTCGTGGCCACGGGACGGCGAAAGCGAGAAGGCTTCGATCGTACCTCTTCGTCGACGTTGACGACATCGGCCACTAAGCGCTTGTCGCTCACGAGCCGCAGGAAGGCGACGGCCGACGACCGCGGCCAGCGGAAGCCCGAGGCCGGCGGCTGCGCGGTGGCGAGGCGAGCGCGCATCGCCTGCACTGGCAGCGCGGCCCACTCGCGCCGCAGAGGCTTTAGCCGCTTCGTCGGAACGCTCTCCACGGTGCCGTAGTCCACGTGTCTCACCTGCAACGCAAAGTATGCACTCGGGCGACGTCCATTCGCTCGCACTCAACAATAAAGGACCTCGTACTAACCTTTACGGTGTCGCTGTCAACGATCTTGGTGATGATGGATCGGTGCCAGTCGGCGTCGTAGCGGCAGGCGCAAAAGTGGCCGACGCGCACGGCGCCCTGCGAGAGCCACCTGTCGCGTCCTTCGCCTCGCTCGTAGTACTCTCTGGAACACTCTGATCTCTGAATCCGACCAACAATCTACGTGAACGTTCGGTGACAGAGAAAATACTGACGTCATCAGATCCATGATGTCCCCCAGGGCGACGTTGAAGGCGGGCCCGAGGCGCAGGAGCCAAAAGTGCGAGGGCGAGTACACCTCTCCCACGATGACCTCGAGCATGTCCCCCGGGCGCACGTCGCCCGCTCGCGCCGCAGGAATGCTTTCCGTATAGTGGAGACAGTCCAACGGGAAGACGCCCTCCTCCTGTCGTTGTCGCGTCGAGTGTAATAATTAAAATGAAATAAAATATACTTTGTTCTCTCTAAAATTTTAAAAATTATTTAGATTCGTCAAAAAATTTTTGTTTGTCTGTCTGTTTATTGTGATTCTACAGAGTGTTCAAAAGAGCAACATAACTGAGAAGAACACCCAAGAAAACTCAGTTCGGCTTTTTTAACATGTATTATAAACAAATACATTGTGAATTTATTAACCTAAGGAGAAATTCACATCACTGCCAGGCGGTCTTGTCATTAAAGAAATCGTTCAGACAATAATACGCCTTTTGAGACAATCTAAGTTTTATAACTTTCTTATATTTATTTATCGATAAATTTGACACCTCAACTGCCAATGTATTATACATACGAATACAATTCTCCGCAAATAAATTATATATTTTATGGAGCCTATATTTGGGGATAGCTAGTTTATCCTTATTTCGTAAGTTCAAATGATGCCTATCACTATTCTGGCTAAACTTGTTTTTATTCTTATGTACATATACATGCAATACATTTTCATAAATATACTGCGAGCGAGTACACAGTAAGTATGCCGATATTTTTAAACGTGTCTCTTAATGACTCCCGAGATCCCATACCATAGATAGCCCGGACCACCCTTTTTTGCAACACAATTCAATGTCGACAGCGTCACCCCACTGTAGTATTCCATATGTCATAACACTATGGAAGTAGCTGAAGTAGACTAGACGCGCTGTTTTAATGTCTGTTAATTGTTTGATCTTTTTTTACCGCATAGGCTGCATAACTGAGTTTGCTCGAGGCTTTCCTGATATGAGATCCCCATTGTAATTTGGAGTCTAACGTTATACCCAGAAAGACAGTTTCATTGACCAATTCTATCTCGTCGTTCCTAACCTTAACACTGGCTTTAGCTATTTTCTGACTCAACTTCAATAAAAGTAAAGCAGAGAGCACTCACGTAGTCAACACCAGGCAGCGCCTCTTCGGAGTCGAATGAAGGCGGAGGGTCGTCAAGCCGAAGCGAGGGCGCAGGCAGGGGCGGCGCCGCCGGCTCGGGAGCGTCGGCGGGCCACACGCGCCAGGCGCCGTCCGCCATCTGCTTCGCCGTCAGCCTCTCCGCCAACTGCACTACGCTCATCAAACTCGTGTACCCGAAGCGGTGGTAGTTGATGTCGCGCCCCGTGCGGTGCCTGACGTTAGGTTTCAAAATAGAACCAATGCATACCAAATGAGTTACCTTTTAATGAAGTGAATAGTATTTTTTTTTTCTCATGCGGTAATTTGTGTGCAATATCGTAATACTTTAAAAATACAAAATGCATTAACTTGAAGAAAACTGCTCAACAAAAGACAAACTGCTCTACAAAAGACAAACTTAATACTTTGGAGTTCAATTCTGTAAAAAGGTTTTGGTTCAACAAACCTATAACCCTTCAAAATATCAGTGCTCCACATTCCATCTGAATGCTCCAATACAATTGAAGAAATCTCCTCCACCAGCTCTGCCAGCTCTGCTCTTTTTGTGCTGCTTCCGGCTGTAATACATAATATAAACTATTAAGACTGTTGCAAGAGCTTCGAATTTCGAGCTTCATACGGGTCTCAATGAAGGTACAAAGCTATGGTAATATGGACACAAGTTACAAACACTTACTGAAAGAAGTCTTCACAGAATTTCGTTGTGAATGGTTTTCTACTTCATAGGTAGATATATAGGAATGCATTAAACTGCCACACAGAGGACTGTCGCGTTTGTTACATGGTTGTCTTTCGCTATGTTCATTCCTATTTTTAAAAGAGTCAATAACTTTGTTGTTTCTTTTTGCAAAAGGCATATTTTCTGTCTCCTCAAGGGTAGAACTACTTATACTTCTATCATTAGGTTGATAATTGCTGGTTGGTTTTATATCAATGTTGGTCAAAGTACTTCTTTTATCACCATATTTTGAGGAACTTGTGATAGTTTTATGATCACGTTCTAGAATATTGCTTCTTGTAACATCCTTCAAAGTAGGAAAGGCATCAGTTTTCGGTAAATTTTTATCAGTCTTTTCAGAATCTGAGTGGCTACTGTAAGATGTAGATGCTAAAACACTTCTTCTCTTTCCTCTGCTGTAAAACAGGATACATATATCAAATGAATTGACTACATGTCTATAAGAATAGACCTAGTTTCATTTATTTAAGCATACTTGATGGACATACAACAAATCTATAACACTGTAAAAGAAACATCTTAGGAACAAGAACAAGAAAGTGATAACAATATTTTTGAAACTACGACTTTAATATTAAATTAGATATACAAGTTTTGTATTTCAAGATACTACTAGAAAAAATATCAACTGAATTTAAATTTTTATTATAAAAATCACAGCGTCTAGTAATGAAACTATTTTTCACATAGTTAGTGCTCACTACCGGAATGTGAAACTTCTCTTTGATGCAGGAGAAAGACCTGGGGCCTTTAAAACTGAGTTGCTCCAGATTCTACGAGAAGAGCTTGATTATACAATGTAAACTCCTTGTCTCATTTTTTCAAGATTAAAATATATTTGGATAAAATGTGTGGATGGTAAGAGTGAAGTAAAGGTTTTTAGGTATATTACAGGGTACACAAAAAAAATATTGTGCAAATTGCAAAGCTTATAGAAGTAAAACACTTACAATTTAGTATATGGTGAAGATTTTTGCTTTTGAACCATCTTGTCAATATACTTTAATGCGTCTGGGACTATTAAAGTCAGAACGGGGTTTTTAGGAGGTCCCTGAAACTGAATGTACCATTGTAAACAATCAAAGAACTAGTATGAAAATCATTCAACTTTCGGGGGTTTCCGTTGTGTGCGCAGCAAAAACTGTTCAAGATACCCAAAAATATGAAAATATATATAAAATTATCATTCTTTATAAGGTTTATATGGTGGTCAAATTTGGTCGAAATACTTCATATGGCAAAAGAACATTTACCAGCATGTCCTGGAGACAGAAGAGGCGCCGTTTACTTACCAGGAAAGAATCGCTGCAACGTTCTTTTAAGAATGCGACTGGGTCGCGATAGCCGTATTTGTGGATGGGTATTCGCTCGCCAATCATCTCTCGATAATCTCTGCATAATGTATACGCGTCTATTTGCGAGGGAGATGATACAACTAACGAGCGTAAATGTGATTTCAGTTCCTTCAATTCATCTTCCATTTTATTAAACTTTTTAGGTGTTTAATAAAACTTAAACTTAGCTTGAATTCTGTGGCTGAACTTGATGTTTTGCAATAATAAGGAATACACTACAGAGCATTATAGGCTACAGACAAAGAATAGACTACAGAGAAAGAACATACATTTTGGTAATGCCCAAGTCTAATGGCCTCTCACACTCTCCATGAGGCGACACGAGAGAACGCGAGTGCTAGAGTGTGGACGGTGTGCTCGTCTCGCGCTTCGATTTCTGTCGGTCTTTCGAGCGCGAGTCAAAAGACGCGGGTGTCAACCACACTCTCCCGCTCGCTAACTTATTTGTTGACTGCTGCCGTCCGTCTTGCACTAGACGTAACGACTAACTAAATAAAATGGAGAGTGTGGATGACTAACACTCGTGCAGTCTTCGCTCGCCAAGACTCGTGGCGAGAGCCTCTAGGAGGCGCCTCGCGATAGTCTGGAGCCGCCATTACAGAAATTTTCCCTTTTAAAAGTCCTAAAATTATTTATTAAGTTGTCCTTAACTTTTTGGGCAACATTTTTTTCTTTATACTTTTTTTTCAAATGAACCGTATTTTTTTTGTAAATGTATGTTTTCTTTACGGGAAATTTTCTGTACGAATAGGCATCACTGCATCTTGCGGATTTAAGTTTTACCTGTGTAATGACGGTTATTTAAATTCTGTCAAAACATATCTGTGCTTGAACTGAATTTGAAATATGTGATGACAGTAAATTGTCAATTTGACAGAAATTCGATTCACATATGAAACCCATTAAAACAAAAATAATCAGAATTACGTAAAGAAATAGAAATTAAATTGTTAAAAATGTCGTTTACGTTACGAACCATAAATGTTGGTCGCAACGTTGCACGTGTACTTTTTAACAAAGTTTGTTACCCCGTGTCGCAGACCGTGGCTTATAAATCAGATCAGTCGCAGGCTGAAAACCGGCCGACCGTGGCCAAATTAGATCCTTTACAAAAGTCGCAACTTATCGATTTCGGTAAATACGTCTCCGATTGTTTGCCAAAATATGTACAGAAAGTTCAGATCACATCTGGAAACGAGTTAGAAGTCCTTGTCCATCCAGATGGTATAATCCCTGCGTTGCAATTTTTCAAGGACCATCATAGTGCGCAATTTGTGAACTTAGTCGACATCGCAGGCATGGATGTGCCCAGCCGACCTAACAGATTTGAAATTATCTACAACTTACTATCGCTGCGCTACAACTCTCGCATTCGAGTCAAAACATACACTGATGAACTGACTCCAATTGATTCAGCGTGTGAGGTCTTCAAGGCTGCTAACTGGTATGAAAGAGAGATTTGGGACATGTATGGGGTGTTCTTTGCCAATCATCCTGATTTGAGAAGAATATTAACCGATTATGGCTTCGAAGGGCATCCATTTAGAAAAGATTTTCCTCTTAGTGGGTATGTTGAGTTACGTTATGATGATGAACAGAAACGTGTTGTGGTGGAACCTCTGGAATTAGCTCAAGAATTCAGAAGATTTGAGCTGAGTGCTCCATGGGAACAGTTCCCCAATTTTAGGGGCAATCCTGTTGAAGAAGTCACTACAGCTGATCCTAAAAAAGAATAAGAGTGTACATAGTAGATTTGGTGAAAATAGTTCTATTTTAACCACAGTAAATACTTTTTCTGTTGCTTCTTATTATTTATAGTTCAATAAAAACAATTGATAAACCATAAGTTTTAATTATTTGCTCTTACAAATTCATAATTTTTATATCTAACGTCTGTATCTGTATCTCTTAAAATGGAACCAAAGCTGGAATATATTGTTGTGGAAATGACATCTAAAACCTCGCTTGTATGAGTATTCCCATTCTCGGTTTACAATTTTAAAAGCAATATCTTCATAAGGGGGTCCAGCATGGAACCGGAGCACTGCAAACTCAAGGTTATCTGCACATGGTTTCTGTATAAAGAGAATAATGTTTAATTTCTCATTTGAATAAACTTATTGATTAGTAGATTAGTAGTAGTAAATTTCAGACCAGTCATACTCACCAATGAGAATTGTGGAGTAGAGTTCTTGTCTATAAGGTCAGGGTAGAAGATATTGAACTTATAGCCCTGCACAATCTTGGGTGGAGGGTTGTCCATGTCATAGTGAGTTTGATTGTATTTGTTCCACTCAAAACCTGTATGTACTCTGTAACACAAATCATAAACTTATTTGTTGTTATGCAACTCTAGGGACACCAGTATAGAAAAACCATAAAAATAGTTTATTATATTAAGAGGTTGTAATAGAGTAATATAAGATAGGCAGATTCAGACCTGTTAAAGTATCTAGGCTTGCGAGGACGATACTTGTCCGCCCAAAGGTAGGGTTGCTCAGGCAACACGTGCTCCACGCTAAACTGCGCGCCCGCCCCGGCTGCCGTCGTGCCCTCGCCGTCTCCCGCATCCATGGCGCGTCTCGCAGCCGCTTCCAAAGCTATCGTGCCTGTCGCCCCGCTTCCACCTTCAGTGGCGCGAATCTGCAAATATAACGTGTGAAATACTCGGTAGTAGTCTTCTACAAGTGCCGAATACTTTTCAAGTACTCGTTAGGCGTCACCTTAGGCGCGGTGAGTGCGGCGCGCAGATAGGCCAGCCGGTTAGCATCGTCCGCTGGCTCCGTTAGGATCGTGGCGGGCTCGAGGGCGGCAGAAGTTAGCGGCGGCGGCGAATAGCGTCCTCTGCAATACTCGCGTACGGCCCACGCGTCACTGCCCTCGGCCTCCGCTTCGTCGCGGTTTTCTACCTCGTTCTCGACTTCCTCCTCTGGCTCCTCGATCGTCGATGATTGCGGTACTTCCTCTCGCACCGCTTCCTCTTCTCTGATGAACAACATGAATATGATTAGAGTTGCAATTGATTGAGCGTAAGAGAGGGAGCTCAGATACAACATACGCCTTTTGCGGTACGTTATCATTTCGTTCGTCATCCCCTCCAAAGGCTCCATCTGGCGGTTGCACTCCTTGTTCCGTCTTAAGCAGCTGTAGTTTGCGACGCAAGTTTTCCTGGTGACGGTCACGGAGTCTCGCGCGAGCCATGTGAGCTGGAGTGATTTACAATTGTTAAATAGTTGCACGTACACTCTCAAGACATCTTACATCAATTACTAAGTTACCTTTTAGTTGAGCTAGCAAAGTCTCCCAGTAGCCGATATCGACGCCAGCCCTTTGCTCGCTGATCTTTTCCGATATCTGCCTCTGCAGTGCCTCCAACTGAGTTCCAGATTTGCCTTTGAAAATCTAAAACGTTTGAGAGGATGTTAAATGGATTTTCTATGGATGGGCAGAAACTTATTTATGTCAGAGCCACACCTGCTGAACGTCTGAAGCGACTGCGACGTGTACCCCATCCCTTACGGCCCGGGGCTCACTCAGGCGACGCAACTGTCCTAGCTCCGCCATCACTATCGTCTCCACATCCTCCCAGTACGACAATTTTTCCTCCCGTTCTAATTCTTTGTACACCTGTTACCACAATCACTTTTACAATTTAGGTTTTTTTAAATACCGATCACATAATTTTATCTTGCTTTCATTCTTACCTTGATGTCTTCTAGCAGATCTTCCAAGTCAGCAACTTGCAGCCCATTAAGATATGTGTAAGGTTCATGCATCTCTAGGGCATCTACACACTGTTCGGAGCTTACATACCACGCCAACAAATCAATTGGTTTTGCTATAAAAAGGATATTTCTCATTCACTACATAGATTGTTAGAATTTAATAATCCAATAGGGTAGATATAGACCGAATAGATATAGAAGACTTTGAAAAGACTCAATTTTATTTACGTTGTAAAATACGATTACTTTGATAACTGCTTTTCTTGTTCCTCATTACAAATAGCTCACGGGGCCAACACATACCTCGTCCATCTCTTATGCGAATTTGTGAGCGCAGTCTCGCCTGATGCAAATGAAAAGCATCTTCCTGTCGCGCCCAGCTGTGAAATTGTGCTGCTTCGCGAGCGCGAGCCGCCGCTGCGGCTTCCGCTTCGCGCGCAGCTCGCTCGGCTTCCCGCTCTAAACGACGTTGTTTTACCTGCATAATTTTGGTATAATATTGAAATTTGGGACACAGAGCTGAAATGCATTATTTTTAATTCAATAATTTAAATACCTTTTCTAATTCAATTTTATTTTCCAATTGCTTTTGCCTATTCAAAGCCTCTAACTCATTACGAGATACTGTTTTTACTCCCTCTTTTGCCAATTTCTTGGACCAAACAAAGGTGTTAGTTAGAGCAGAATCTCCGAATGGGTTGTCTTGATTTGTGTAGCATTGATATTCATTATCCCAGCCCATTCTCTCTCTCCTTTTTCTTTCCTTTTCCTGCTTTTCCTTTAATCTGCGGGCTCTATAAAAGAATTTCATTATGTTAATATTGTCTTAATATTGATTGATTTAATAAAGAGCAGATTCAATAACATTTTGTTCATCTTTAGTAAGTACTTAATTATTAACTTAGTATTTAATTATTAACTTTTCAATATTTAATTTATAAGTTTTAATTTTAAAGGTTGTTTATGAATTCACATATTTTGTTCTATCGTGCCAAAATCTAAGCAAATGATAAAATAACCTACCTTTTTTCTTCCGGAGTCTCATTTGCTTTCATTTGCTCCTTTTGCTTACGTCTCTCTTCCTTTAGCCTTACTCTCTCTGCTTGGAGCCTTTGCAAAAGCCTTAACTCTTCATTATCACTGTCACTCGATGACGAACTACACGAAACACTTTCTCGTTTCTTGTTTTTCTTTTTAAGACTCGTTTTTTTCTGCCTACTTCTGGAGCTAGACTCGGATTTTCGAGATCTCGAACGCGAGCTGTCTCGCTGTTTCCCTTCTAGGGATCTACTACGAGACTTTCTACAATACTTAACAGCACTTTTAGACGACCTAAAAAGTAAACGATCATGAGTTTTAAGAAAAACTAAAGTACAAGAAGTTCATCAGTGAAATAAACAAAATAGTATTGGTCTATTGATATTACATTCTGTAACTTCTCGGTGCAAGAAAATTATATTTCTATAAAATAGTCACATTATGTTTTGATTGTGCTTAACATACGCAACAAAGGGAAGGAGACTAGTAAATGACAAATGTAAATACAGATGATACAAAAATCACTGCAGATATCATTATTAAATGATACATAAACATTTAGTTATTATAAATAAATATAATTTAGTGTAAATCTAAGAGAGAAAACATCATTACAACTTCATTCATTAGGGTTTCAGTTTGCTTGAGTGGAAATCCTTTTAGCGTAGTTTTTGCAGCCTACACTACAATATTTTTAGCGAAAATCCATAATAAAGAAAGTTCTACCGTAAGGAATATATTACTATATTAAGTATATTTATTAGCGTGAGCTTAACAGAAAATATTTGAATATTTTTCAAATCAAAACATATTAATATATTTAACTGCGTTGTCTAATTTTTCTTCTTCCTAGTTTGATGGCTTTCTAACATCTGTTAACCATATGCACATAGTCTATACTTTGGTCTATACATTTATAATTTTATAGTATACCAATATTTATCATCTGCGATAGTATCTTACTTTAAACAAACTTGAAATTGCAAAAACTTGCAATAAAATTTTATACCCAAAATTTAGTACACTTTTAATATATCATAATTGTAATGCTTAAAAGGAGTTTAAATTAAATTTCCTGTTTAACGCGATGTCGTTCTTAAGAGGTTCAGAGAACTACGTGTGGTGCACGACAAGTGTTCTTGGGAAAGGCGCAACGGGCGCCGTATTTCAGGGCGTTAATAAAAACAATGGGGAGCCAGTCGCTGTAAAAACATTTAACCAGCTGAGCCACATGAGGCCGCCGCTCGTGCAGATGCGCGAATTTGAAGTTCTCAAGAAAGTAAAACACGAGAATATCGTAAAACTATTGGCTATAGAAGAGGAGCAGGAGGATCGAGGCAAGGTGATCGTGATGGAGTTATGTACAGGCGGCAGCTTATTCAATATCCTTGATGATCCTGAAAACACATATGGTCTTCAGGAGCAAGAGTTTCTCCTCGTTCTCGAACATTTGACTGCTGGAATGAAGCACCTGAGGGATAATAATTTGGTGCACCGGGATCTCAAACCAGGAAACATAATGAAGTTTATCAATGAAGACGGGACAACAACTTATAAGTTGACTGACTTTGGAGCAGCCAGGGAACTTCAAGAAGAAGAGCAATTTGTATCTTTGTATGGTACGGAAGAGTACCTACATCCTGACATGTATGAAAGAGCTGTTCTTAGGAAACCTGTAGGCAAAAGTTTTGGTGCCACAGTGGACTTGTGGTCCATTGGAGTGACACTGTATCATGTAGCAACAGGTCAATTGCCATTTAGACCATATGGTGGTCGGCGCAATAAGGAGACAATGTTCTATATTACTACTAAGAAAGCATCTGGTGTTATATCGGTAAGTCATGTTTATTATCAATACATTGTGATTAAGCATAGACAACAATAACTTTATGAATTCCAGGGCACACAAACAACAGACAATGGTCCTATAGAATGGTCCAGGGACTTGCCCCCTCACTGCCAATTGAGTGTGGGGCTTCGCAAATTAGTGACTCCATTGTTGGCCGGTCTGCTAGAGGTGGATCCCCATAGAATATGGAGTTTTGAGAGGTTTTTCTCTGAAGTCCAAATGGTCACTTCAACTAAACCCATTCATTTATTTTATGTTAATAAAGCTTCAAGTATAAAGGTGAGCGATATATTTTTAACTATGACTGAATGTTTTAGATGCTTTACAGTTAAAACAACATAAATGTACACTTATTATTATTATTATTATACAAACTCAATTTACATCCAAAAACATTAAGGAACATTACCACCAAAGTTAGTTTTAAATATATCAAGATCTTTTGTGTCTTAAATGATGAAGATGGTTCCACAGAAGATCCCTGAATAGGTTTTGTTTGTGATCAAAATAAGCACTGACATGGTCCATTGAGTAAAAGAAATATTTTGTTTTAGGTAAACTAAAAGAAAATATTTCTATTATTTAATGTTTCATTTAGACTAAAATATTGAAGTTTTAATTATATTTAACTTCTAAGGCACAAATAAGTAAGTCATTTTAACTTGTATGTCATGATAAAATAAAAGTAGATTGTATTTTCCCTCATTATAATTCTAGATTGAAAGAATTACTCAGTAAAAAATAAATGGTCAGTAGTAAGTGTTTACTTGAACTCACCCTACAAGTGAATTCATATATACAAATATATAAAGCTGAAGAGTTTGTTTATTTGTTTGAACGCACTAATCTCAGTAACTACGGGTTTGAATCAAAAAAATATTTTTGTGTTGGTTAGATCACTTATCGAAGAAGGCTATAGGCGAAAGATTACTCTTAAAATGATCTAAAGAAAGTCCGCGACGCTATATACTTAGATATATATCTATCTTTTAATATTAACTTGCAAGAACGACAGGAAGGGACGCGATCGACGTAGTGGCTAACAGCTTAAGTTTATAAAGATGACGGGGTTTGCAAAAACTAATTTTGATGTCCAATATAACAATAACGCGGACGAAGTCGCTGGCTGGCACAGCTAAAGTAATATAATTACTAATCTAAAAGTAATTCCTACAATTCCATACAAATCCATCATTTATTTGATATTACTGCTTTTAAAACGTCGTCAGGCCCCAGAGAATCAGAACAATAAGAAATTGGTTGAATTTTCAATTTTTTGAGTTTTTATAGATATATAATTAACAGAAACAATAAAGAAGTGCATCAGTGAATAATCCAGAAAGCTGGTTGACTATCTTTATATTTTAGGTTTTTCTGAAGCCGGAGGAGAAATTTGAACATTTACAGACTTACATTTGTGAGCAGACAGCAGTTGTTGCCGAGTCTCAGATCTTGCTTTACCAGGATAAATTGATTCTCAACGAAATCAATGAGAATACACCAGGTTACATTTTATTTTCTTTATACTTACAATTCAAAACAAACGCCCACTCACCCACTCTCAAAATGCCCAGAAAGCTACTATAAGAGCAGAATAAATTATCATAGATTTCGGGAGGTTTGGCCGACGTGAGCGAGAAGAGGTTCTCGACGTTTCGCAATCAAGTGCGGACGGCATCATCAGGAGATGTTAGCTTGAAGAATTCTTCAGCAAAGATTATTAGATCAAGTTGCGTAATACTATTAGATTTTTACAAAGGTAATGACAGTTACTAATTTGCAGGAAAGAATTATCCCGAGACCTCAACGGAGAATCCATTAATGCTCTTCAATAAAAGTGACAACAGCGTAAATATGCCCACCGAACCTGAGCCTCCCAAGTTTCCCACCTTCCCCACTATCATATCTGTGGAGAACGATGCCACACAGGCGAAGGTACGTAAAATTGATCTAGACATTTCAATTATTCTCCGTCTGCCAGTATAAACTGACTGTTGTGCGTAGACGGCGTGCAGCGTGGGTCACGTGATCAAGCGGCGCGTCGAAGAAGTGTGTTCGGCGTCGGTGCTATGTGCCCTTTGCGTGACGCGGTGGGGCGCGTTGCTGACCGCCCGCTTGCGCGACACGGCCGCCCGCGCCACGGCGCTCGCCGCGCACGCCGCGCGGCTGCACGACGCCGCCAGGGCGATCGACCTCGCCGCACTTGCTGCGCGCCACTCCGTTCGTCACACGGCCGAGGTGAGTCGTCTTCCTCGCCCTTCGTGCACGCACACTTATACAGCACTCATAAATTTGTTTCGTATCGAGCGCAGTGGAATGCGGTGGTCAGCGAGCAGTGGTCGGGGAGTGCGGCGCTCGTCTCGGCGGAGGCGGAGGGGCTCCGGACTTCGGCGACGGGCCTGCGCGCGCGCCACGCGCCCGCCTCGCTGCGCGCCGAGTGGGACGATGCGCTACTGCACTCGCCCTGTCCCGCGCACCTGAGACTGCACCTCAAGGCTAAGACGCTAGTTTTTAGGTCTATTCCGTCTAGATCCGTCTACCGTCTTTACGCATTATAGCCGATTTTTAACCCAAATAATAACGGCAGATTGCGCGAGTCTTGGCAGCACCTGGTCCGGGACCGCGCCACGCGTTCTCTCACCTACAACGACGAACAGTTCCACGTGCTAGAGCGCATCACCGTAGCGGAGACGGGTCGTCGCGTCCGCGCCCTGCTGCAACGCGCGGCCCCCTTGGCTCGGGCGCGCGCTCTCGCGATCGCCGACTGGTAGGTACTTCGTCGGGTGGGTTGAAAAATATCGAATTTCCGTTATATCCCCTCACGACCCTCGATCTCACTTCAGGTACAGAGTGGCTCAAACGGTGTATCTGCAGACGCAGATCCTCGACAAAGACGTGTCGAGCGCCGAAATGAAGTTGCTGGCGCTCGCCGCACGCCTTCAAGACGCGGAGCAGCGCATCCGCGGCCTCGTCGACCAGGTCCGAATTCGCCGACATCGATATTAAGAACGGCTGATACTGTAATCTATACCCACTTCGCTTGTCGTTACAGATGAACGTCACTAAGATGGAGTCGACGAGTGCTAGAGAGAGCGGGCAACGAGGCTCGTCGAACTGCAAGGTCGTTCGCGGCGTCCATCTCGCGTCCGGCGGCGTCGGGGCGAGCGGAGCCGGCGTGAGAGCGTTGCTCGCCGGCGGTGACGAGCTGGCCGCCGGGCTCGCCAACAACTCGGCGCTGCTCGATAAGCTGCTGCGGCTGACGACCGAATTGCAGCCGTAGCGTACGGACAACCCCAGCGCGGAGTGTCGATGTGCGCACTCGCCCGCTGGCGACGCGCAAAGATCTAGCGAGAGCGACTCCGTCTCGTACCTCAGTTCGAACCAAGATCTCAGCTCTCTAGACTCTGCCATCCGGACCGTCGTCTACGGGTCGGTGACCTCTAACACGGAACGTGGCGACGACCTGGAAGACGATTGCGCCCACGACAAAGCGAAGAACCGCTTCAAGACCACGTGCGTCGTCGCGTAGACGGTTCGGCTCTCTTTAGGTGCGCGTTTGATAGAGAGATCTCAAAGCGATTCGCTTATTATGATTATTTATATATTAGATAGATAATAAATATACATATTATACAAGATATAAAAAAAATTATAGAGAATCATTATATCGGGCATAATGACGATTTATTCAAACGGTTCGTTGGTTAGGTTCACATGATTAAATTTGGGGTTAGATGTTATGAGTTCTATATAGGCTATCCTATGTGAGTCATAAAGAAGAGACAGCTGGTTGTGCCTTACCTGAAAATCAAATAAAACAATAAAGTGATATAAAAATTTATTGATTTTACACCTGTACTACTATTTACATATTATAAACGCCATTTACATAAATAATGACTTAAGAACTACCTTATTGTACATAAAAGGCTTTATATTTAAGCGGCAGTCTCTTCCAGGCAAACTGATGTGAAGAGAAGAACAAATGAGTAGGATTGCTAAAAGAGAGGCAATTTAGGGGTGTAAAGATAATATTTAAAAAAATCTTGAAGGACCCGAGTGTTTGAGATTACTAAGAAATTGTTTGCGTCTAAAAAAATAATTAATGCTGAAGAACCTAGTATGGAATGTAGTACTCTAGCGATCGAGGCAGTCGCTGAGCACCAGCACTATACGCCGTTACGTATTGTACTGAAGATAGTCGGCGTCGGGCAGGCGTCGTTCGACGAGTCGGTAGCGTCGGTGTGCGGCTTGGACCTGTTGAAACTGCTCTAGCAAGGCGTCGAAGTCGATGTCGGGCGGGGGTATCGCAGGTTGAGGTTCACTGTGAACAAACAGTCGATATGATTACACGTATTTGATCCTTCGAGCCGGACTATCGATTCTAAAGTAGTATCACGTGTACTGTATAAGAAGAGGTTGCAGTGGAGGCGGCGCAGTGTGCAGGCGGTGACGGAGTGCGTGAAATGCGGCGCTCTGCGGCAACAGCATCAGCAGGCCGAAAAGCGCGCCGCGCAGTGACACACTCTGCTCGCCGTTGAGCAACTCCAACCTGAGATCTAATCGCGAGCGAAATTAAAATCTCTTATGTAGCAATCATACGCTCTGCTGCTGTAACATACAGGAAAAAGCTCACAGTCCACCCAAATGAACTTGCACGCCAACTGACCATAAATAAATATACTGTACGCCTGAAAAAACACCACATCATGGAGCTTCAAGATCGAAAATAGCTCCAAAAGAAAGAGAATAATTAGTAGGTGCTCTCATTGGAGAATGCCCTCTACATGTTAAATAGATACATCGCATCTGCTCATAGTCTGGGGACTCATCGCAGATAATAATGTTTAAAAAAATGTAGCAGTCATTAAAGAAATGTTAAATCTATCATTAAGTCGATACTTACAAGCGAATATGGGCGATTCGATGAGTTGAACCAGTTTATCGATTTCTGTGAGGAAATCCACCGTTATCTCTAGGTCACCACTGTTATCCAGTTAGGAAAAGTATTTAAACGATAAGTATAGAAGCGGTCGCATCGCATATTGTGAAAGGATACAAAGTGGCAATCAGTCGATTGCAGTGGTGGTAGTTGTGCGTGAGCAGGCAGAGCGCGAGCAGGGCTACACCGCTGTGGCACCAGCAGCGGTAAAGAGAGACGAAGAGGGCGTGCGTGGCCGGCTCTCGGAAGGCTCTGAGGCGGCGGCGCGTCGCGTGCAGCTCGGGCGCCGTCAGCAAGATGGCGGAGAGGACGTCGACGAAGCGCCCCGCGAATCGCAAGTCCCGCTCCGCAACTAGAGTGTCAGCGAGCGCGCGGTACACCTCCTCCGCTGGCAACACGACGCACAACTGTCTGCAAGCACACGCGCGTATAGGACGCCTGACCGTTCGACGCAAACCCATATACCAGCGATCGCAGCACACACCTGATGATGAAGGCGCCCCTGTCCTCGAGCAGGTTCTCGTCGGCGGCGAGCAGTTGTAGCAGCGCCTTGAGGAACTTGCGATAGTAAGGACTAGAGTCGAGGGCTCGGCGCGCGTCCGTCTCAGGTTCGCAAGAGCAGATTTCGGCAAGAAGAGCGATCGCGCGGCGGACCACTTCATCTGAAGTGTCCGTGAGCGCCACTACCGACGGCCCGAATATGCGCTCCGTTTCGCCGTACATCTACAAAATTAAGGCTGTAAGTGAACCGAACGTACCGTAAGGAACGTTAAGAACTGCAGAGTACCTCGGTCGGCAGCTTGCTGTAGAGGTGCAGGATCCAGTCGAGAGCGGCGATCTTGGTGTGCACCGAAGTGTGATGGACCATCTGCGTCAGCAGGTCCACCACTGCGACCAGATTGAGCTTGCCCTCGGGAGCCACGTCTTTGGTCTTTCCTTCTTTATCGTCCTCCAATTTTAGGGCCTTGAAAGCGCTTTCCATGGTTACCGAATCGGCTTCAATGAGTTTCAACAGCTGCAAATTGACCGTGGAGGCGATTTCGCGGATCTCTGATTGTAACCGTTCAGGTATAAACTTTGAATCGATTGGGTGGCGTGAATTACCAAAAGGATACTCTTCCTGGGCTCGTCGGCGAACGCCAACGCGGGAAGCACGGCGCAAAGGATGCCTGAAGCGTACGGGAGCATGCCACCGCCCGACAGCTCCACGAATTCGCGCATCCACGTGATCGCAGTGAGCTGAGGGGACATTATATTTTAGCAAATGTTCATTGTTCTATGGCAAAAGGCATCTCTCAAAAAACCAATAACCTGCAGAAGTTCTTCTGTCGACTGCGCGTGGGTAATCAAGATATTAATCATACTCTGGAAGTCTACCTGGGTAGGATCTTTTCGGATGCTACGCAGGAACTCGTTTAGCTGCACTTCACACCTGAAACCGATTAACTGACGTAAAAATTGAGAGAAAGCAGTGAGAAAAGTATCAAATTATACAAAGTGTAGCTTACATGCGTCGTATTTCAGGATGCGGGTCGTCCAGAATAGTAAACAGCCCATCCAGCAGATCGGGCAGATGCGCGCGAAGACCTAACGCGGGGGCCGCGTCCAACGCGCATATCCACGACACCACGAACTGCCGAGAACTCGCACTGCGCGTGTACATACGCTCGCGCACCAGCCCCACCACGGCGCTTACATCGACGCTGTCGCTTTCCGTTACTATATCCTAAATGCACGACAGACAATGAAATGTCATGTGATGCAAGTGTGTACAATCGTAAGCGGTTCCATATTAAGACTGAAAATTGTTAACATGTGGTTAACATGTAGTGCTGTAGAGTTTTTAGTCTTTGGCTATAAACCCAAGATTTATGAACAACTTATGGGGAAATGGGTGAAAACGTCAGCGGACAACGTGGACTGATCACCCATCCTGCCGAAGGTGTCCCCGATAGAAAATAATAATAATAATAATGAATACTACACACAAGATAGTTAAAAGTGCACATTATAAATGTTTAGATGTTCACTTCTGCTGCACTACTATAGTGCAACATATATTTTTTTAAATGTTTGTGTAGTTTATTGTAAATATAAATAAACACCTTAACAAGACGGTCCAGTAGTTCTGCTCCTTGCTTCACCTGAGGTTCGGGGTCTGCAGCCAGGCGAGCTAGCGCATCAAATATAAGTGTAAAATATGGTAGAGCTGCACCTCTCACTATCTTCAATACATTGTACAGAGCTTCAGCTGCTGAATAGCGGACGCGTGCTTCACTCTCACTGAGACATGCCACTATGGGGTGTGTCAACTCACCGACATATGACACACAACCCTGTTTTATAAAATTGGTTCTGTTACAAAACACACAATCAACAATTACATTTTTATATGTTTTTGAATTCTTATTTAAAAATGATAATTTTTCCATCATAAGGTTCTCTACACTAACATTGACAGTGCATTATACTGACTTTTCCCAAGCCAACAGCTACAGACGAAAGACCCATAAGTGCCCCATTCTTCATGTTGGGGTTGGTTGACGACATAAGGTCCTGGCCCAGGACCCGTATCAGCCGTTTAATTTGGTTTGAATTATTGTTGTCGCTGAAATCCTTCACCATCCTAAAATTAGTGAAAATCGTATGCAAAGCTCCTATAGAGAACGGCAACAGCAACGTATTTTGAGAACTTGTATACTGACTTTTCGATTTCTACTCCGGCAAACTTTCTTTTTTCGTAAATTTTATCACAAAGTCCTCGAACGCATGCTGTACTTAAAGGGGCGTAGTCTTTTTCCGTCATTTCAAAATTAATTAATATAATGTTATGCTAGTAGCATCTAATAGTATTTGCTGAATGTTACTTCTGATTGCTTAATTGCGCGATTAATTAATATAAAATTTTCAAAGCAGAGTGCTTCAAATGTAAACTCAATAAATAGCAATACTGATTTTTAAAGTACATATATTATATTATGGACATTGAAGTTACGGTATCTTACGGCTTATTCTTGTACATTATTTGTCTATACAAAATAATATTATAATCACTTTTTATTTATAAAAAAAGCGGTGCAATGTACTTTTCTATTTTGTACCAGGACGTCAAATGTCATGCACATTGCACAAATCATAAGACAATAGACATGATTTTTTTATAGTATTTTATGGCTTGATAACAATGGACATGGTCCTGCTAATTCATAAACAAGTGACTAGCGTGAGTAAAAAACCTTTTTTGTCCAACTCGACTCAAAACACTCGTGCGGCCTAAGTGCGTGTTTTTCAATGGCGGCAAAACCCGTAAAAGTAGAAACCACACTACACATTAAAACTGTTGCTATAACAGCTTTTTAAATTTTAAATCATTGCGGTATTGTAGTAATTTGTAAACTTATACATCTGTAAACCTGTACAGTGATTATTTTGTTAGATGCCGTTTGTAATTTTAGGTACATTTTTTCAAACACTGCCTTAGTTAATTTGTTATACGTGAGTAAATAAAATTATTTCATTATTAAAGACTATATAAATGTTTACTTGTCATAGTCTGTAGAACATGTCAAATGCAATATACGTACATGCAAATGTCACTGTCACTGTATATGTTGGGAAATACCTTTAGTAAATTATACTTGTTTTGTAGTCCGTTCTTCATCATTGCTCGATTTATAGACTAAGACTTACGCATATATTTCATTATTGTCTGAGCAATAGATCTAATAATAACATTCGTGGTGTTTTTAACTTTTATTTAATTTACGTAACAATAGTCTGTCGTGGTGTATTTGCGCGTGATGTTTTTAGTTTCTTATTTCCGAGTATGTGTTATTATTTTCTAAAACACATAATTTAATAGCTTTTGTAAAATATTCATTGAATGTGCAATTACGAATGCGCTGAAATAATTATAATACGATTTTCGTAGAATTCTGGCATTAACAGTGGTGTATATTAGCTTATAGACGTTTAAGATGCCCGTGACAATCGTGGACAGGTTGCCCTTGCCGAACCTCAAGGTTTACTCGGCAGGAAGTGTTTTACTATTATCGGTCGCCGTTTATTACGCTATGAACGTTACGAGCGACCCTAACTGGAGGGCGAATGCAACCCTGCAGCGCCAAGATTCGTCGGCTGAGGCCATCGAACCTGAAGGACCGAGAAATCTCACAGAACAGTTGCTGGAGGTGATCACCTTCATGATGCAAGAGCCACTCTGTATGTGGGTAAGTCACTAATGATACTGACTCATGTTCAACCAAAACAAAAACAAACTACTCTGCTGAGTGATGTAGTGTTTTATAAACATTGTTGTGAGGCCTTTTTAATAAATTATTATTTACTATGACTTATCAGTCCTTTTCATAATCAATGTTATATTCGTGTTCTTTATCTTTGCTTTCTTTTTGTTTTAGAGTTGTAAGTATTTATTTTATAGAGTTATTTAATGAGTTAATATAAGATGTTGTGAACTATATTATTTTATCAAAAATTTAATTTGTAACAGTTGCCCATGCTTTAAACAATGATTTTTACTAAACCATATTCACAAGTTTGAGATGTAAAATAATAAGCGCTCACATGTTGTTAGTTTAGTTTTGTTGTTTGAAGTTGAAGTTTAGCTTTGTGGAGTCTAGCTGGAGATTGTAGGACGGGATTTGTATTACTTCAATTGCAAATAATTAAATGTTTCTGAAGAAACAATTTGGTACACCTACTGAAAAATGTAAAAAATCTTGTATGCCAAAACATAAAAATGCAAAAACAAAGAATAATAAGATTGCATATAAAAAATATAGGACATTTAATTAGGTAGGATCAGATAAAGCATAAATGTTTTTAGAATGCAAGAAATACCTTTGTAATATGTCATTCAAAATTGAATAACTAACACAAACAAACAGCTTAACAAATCAATAAATTAATTGTGTTGTTTATAAAAACTTTTTTTTTTTTATATTGCACATGAAGGCACTATATAATTTAAAAATCGAAAATTTTTCAATTTATTTTCGATTTTTAAATTATGTAATATCTACTGAAATAAATCTCCAAAAAATATATGGACTAGGTAAATTTCTGTCCGTGCCGTGTCAGGTAGCTGTAACATACATTTTTATACTTTAAAAATCGAAAATAAATTGAAAAAATTTTCGACTCGGGCAGGACTTGAACCGGCATCGTCAGCTTTCCGTGCTGTTGCTCTACCAATTGAGCTACCGAGTCCTACACCTCATCGTCGGATTTTTTCAACTTATTGATACATGGACCTCTCACGCAATGTAAGTTTGTGCAATGTTAAGGTTGAAATTACATTGCGCGAGAGGTGTTAATGTTTAGAGGATATTAATGTTTTCATTTTTATACTTTATTTGTCAAGACAAGACATATCAGATCCGCTATTGTAATATACTTGTATTAAACACAGATAATATGGAATAAGCAGGATTTGATAGTAAATAACAAAATTTTTAAACAAAAGTGGGATTAGATATTTGAAAGCTAGTGAAAAATAAGTGGTACTTTTTTTCCAAGGCATTTTGCAGCATGCCTTTTAAATTTATATCTATATAACCCTTAATTCATAAACTGTCTATAGGCAAATAACACTTTTGTTGTTAAAGTTGACGAGAAACAATGAATTATTTAAAAATAAATAACGAGCAACAACTCCATATAATTAGTGTCTCAGTATTTGATTATACTAGACATATTTTTATTATCAATATAATGCCAAGATGTCTTGGAAAAGTCTATTAATTAAACAATTATTCAATCATGGGCCGTTACATAACTTTGTTTTGCAACAAACTAACATTTACGACGCAGTCTCGCGGTCATCATTGATTTATTATTAGTAAGAGAACATGAAAAAAAATATGTATAAATACAGTAGCGATAGCTATGAATAGTTCTTAAAATACTAGCAGAAAGACAGACTAATGTTTATGCTTTAAAGAGCCAAAACAATCGTCTCTTTCTTTCCCACTCTGTCGACCAGTCCGTGGTTGGCACAGCTCCGAATTTCGCGCCCTCAGTATTGTCAACTCTCGGATAATAAGGATGCAAATAGCAGTCGTTTGTCATGGGCGATAGCAGTTGTATATATATCACTAAATCGTTTGCTCAACATTTAATTGTTTTTTATACAACAACATTAAGAGTAATGGCGAAATTGGCTTAATGGACACACAGTTTTTTTATCCAAAGGGCATTAAGTATATTTTTTCGTGTTGCAATGGTTAAAAACACCATCACAATGCGTCTACTACGCGGTGATCCGTGCTTATATCTGGTTTTGGCGCTTCCAGACGGTGATCAACATGTCGTACTGTCTGGTGGCGCTGGGAGGATGGCTCGTGCAGCGCGCGGTGTTCGGGCGGCTGCGCGTGGCCGAGGCGCAGCGGCTCAAGGACAAGTTTTGGAACTATGTCTTCTACAAATTCATCTTCGTGTTCGGGGTTCTTAACGTGCAGTACATGGACGAGGTGTTGCTGTGGGCGGGCTGGTTCACCCTCGTCGGGGCGCTGCAGCTGCTGACTCAGCTCACCAAGGACCGCTTCGAATATGTAAGATTTTGCCTTTTTTGTAGCGTAACGTAACGGAAGGATTATCGATGTAGAGCTCGGGTTCAGTCACAGTGACCTCTGAATGAGCGCGTCGACGCCGCCCGTTACTGTAACTCTGCTATCGCTCGCTATCGGTACACGAGTGCAAATAATTAGGACGATAAGAAACGACACCGATTAATTCTATGATCATTTAGATCAACAATTGTTTTTGTGTCCTAAAATGGCGAGCTCGCTTAGAACGCCTCGCTTTTTCTTTTTAGACCTACTATTTGTAGTAGCATGAATGAGGGAAAGTAACACATTCGGTAGACTATAGGTATCTCTAGGATCCGAAACGCAGAACCGAAAATTGATCGCTTTGAGCGTCGTCCGCGCCCGGTCGTTCGAGAAGGTAAACATATTATGTATTTTTATGTAAAACGAATCGTTTGCGCCTCGACCGAGGACCTCTATTTAAATAACGGAATAGACTTCCTCAATTCGTAATGAATACGGTCGTTTTTACATTTTTGTGCTCATTAACGCTGTAATGTTTGAATTATCTCGTTTCGAATGCGAGCTTTCTACTCGAGAAAGCGACCGCTCTCGAGAGGAGGCCGAATTGATCGTGGAAATAAATATTGTGGTGTTTCACATTGAACGTTCAGAATATTACATCAATGTAGAATAGTTCCGGATGACCTCGGCGAGCGCCGCCGATTGTCATTTTAGACGCGAGTAGGCACGTAGGACTAGGCAACGGTGTTGACGGACGTTAGGTCTCGAAAGGTTTCGCCAGAAGTTTGATCATGTCAGTCAAGTTGTTGTACTTGTTACTTAGGCGTCATCGTCCCCGAACGTGTCGGGCTGGGCTCAGACGCGCTTGGTGGTGCTGCTGTTAGCGGTGTTAGCTTCGGGCCTCGGACTGCTCGGCGCCGCGCTGCGATGGGGGCTGCCCGCCGGCCGGGACACCTTCGCGTTCATGGCTGCAGAGGTAATTCCCACCTAAATATGTCGGCCTCGCGTGCCCGATCTACTCTACCTAATATAACAGTCGATGTTCCGATGCGCAGTGCGCCTTGGCGTGCGTGTCCTGCGTCCACGTGCTGGCGAGGATGGCGCTGAGGGCGAGGGACTCGGACGCCGCCGGCCCGGCCGCCTACTACACGCATCTCGTCTTCGACGTGAGTATACCGCCGCCTCTGCCTCGGGCTTAAGGTTTAAGTGACGTTAAGAAAAAAAAATCTTTATCTGATGAGTAACAAGTTGTAAGTTTTATCAGATAAGAAGTTATTTTTTCTAAGGTAATCATAAGTCGAATCTCTCGGCAGAAACCGATAAACGAAGGATCTTTGTAAGACGGACGCGTTATCGGTCCAAACAAATATTGTGTAATCTACCATCACACTTCTGATATTTACAATAACAATCGAGCGATAAGGATTTCCGCGTTGCAACATTCCTCTACTTTCATTTCGTTGCACTTTGCTCATGTTGTCCAAAATGTCAAGGGCGCGGTTTTGTTTTCGTCTACGAAACAAGATCCCCGCCGAGCGGCTTAGCTAGAACACATTTTGGAGCCGGCCTCGCGACATTAATCGATGTTATGCAAAGATTTAACGGCGTCGACGAAGGTCGAGGTTTAAGGATACATTTTTACGCACGGTATAATCCACGTAATCACTTTAGGAAGTTCGATAGGATCGCCACAGTGAGGTTAATTGCGTATCTGTGCAGTCGGTGGCGCTCCTTCTCGAGACGGCCCACGTGGGGCACATGGTAGTGCACAGCAACGCGATGGTCTCCCTCGCCTCGATGGTGCTAGTGATGCAGCTGCGGCATCTGCTGCACGCGCTGCTGGCTCGGCTGCGCCGACACCGCCTCTACACCGCCCTGGCCGACCACATGAGTCGCAAGTGAGTGCTTTCATTCGTCGACAGCTTTCGACTGTAATTCGAACTTAGATTGAAATCTAATCGAAGTCGTATAAGGCCTCGCTCGAATTCGGCTTCTCGTAAAAAAGAACCTCCGGCGTGGAGGCCGACGTGGATCCGAAACCGTTACTCATTCGTGTCGAGGTCATTTCCTCAAAACGTTACTCGTTTCGTAGAATACCGTAAAGTTCGTTTAACGTATCGGAGGCGGCGAAGGATTCGTGTGCTCTACGCGTTAGCGCTCTCGAGCCAATGTCAACACTAAATATGTACAAAAAATACAGTCGGCATAATTATTCGTAAATAATATAAGTAAACGTGTCTCGTATAACGTTAACATAAAAAAATCTTTCCGTCGAAACTGGGGTGTGGCCAGAGTGACGCGATAATTGTAACGAGAGTGCGGCAATTACGGTGACGTGATGTGGACACTACAATAGCTTTTTAGGGTTCCGCGCTCACTAGTGCGAGGAAAACAAGCGGAAAAATACGCAGTAATAAAGAGACAACGATACACAAACGAAGGAGCCCATAGACGTTAATAACAATTAAATGGCTGAAGAACCCTCGCGCGACGTTTCCGAGACGCGTTTGATTACGTTATTAAAAACAAAGGATAAAAGTAGAAAAAACACAATAATTATGGCCGCATAAACAATGTTATCGTAGTGTAAGCTAATTAATCGAGAATTGCGACGTAATTCGTCGATATTATATTTTTTCAAAACGCAGTGGCACCGACCGCGTTGATCTGAGACATTTCGGGGACGAGGCATAGATTTTCACCCCTCTTTGCTTATATTCATAAAGAGTTTATTATTATTATTATTCCTTACTCGAAGCTACCCTTTGTCTATAGAACACTTGAGGACGGGTCAAGCAGGTGTGATAGTCTATACAATGCCCCAATTATTATTATTAGTAATATCGACAAACAACAAATGGGGTTAATTACAAATTGCGATTAAATACTTTTTATCATCGAGATCGACTTGTCTATTTCAGGTTTGGTCAATTAATTTCTGAATTAGATGATTCACCGTCGCCTCGTTAGTTCTATACGTAGACGATATAGTTGTTTTCGTTCAGCGCGGTCAGAGGGTCTACGGTCCCCGTCCGAACGGCTCAGTTGAGGAAATCGAGGCGACGGACACGAATAAAGTTTATTCCACTCGGAATCGTTCGAGTCGAAGCGACGAGCGGGACGTAAGGTCGCGCCCCTCGCGCGCCTTTATCATTGAAACTGTTTAAAATGTATTTATTTAAATCGCATTGAAGCTAATTAAACGCTGAACTAATGTATTTTCGGGTGCCGTTTAGAGGTCGACCGCCCGCGTCCCCCGCCCCACCGCGACGACAGGAACTATTCGTCGCACATTCTCGTGGAAACGAATCGATGCCTCCGCGGAAGGTTATCGACTCGTTTTAAAAGCAAAATATACCCTCGCATAATTAACTGGCGCCGTTTAAAGCGCTCGGCGTCGGGACAATAGTGTCGCAGTAGGTACTAATCGCATACGAATGCCGCAGCTACCCGATGGCGAGCCCCGAGGAGGTGGAGAAGAACCAGGACAACTGCGCCATCTGCTGGGAGCCTATGAAGGAGGCGCGCAAGCTGCCCTGCGCACATCTCTTCCACAAGTACGGCACCGCCGGTGTATAAGTATTGCATGCCAATGGCGAATTTATAAGTAAATTCCTATTAATATTGATACCGGGTACGAAAGAATATTGAAGTGACCGTTATTGCAGCTCGTGCCTCTGCCGCTGGGTGCAGCAGGACGCGTCCTGCCCGACTTGCAGACGAGCGCTGTCCGCTCAGCCGGCCGCCGCACCCACTCCGTTGCCTCCGCTCAACCCGCTCAACCCGCTGACGCACATCGGCGCCGACCCCCCCCCGGCCAACCACCTCTTCCACTTTGATGGTAATTTATGTCCAGCGTTCGATTCGAGGTCGAATAAGGCTAATCACTGAGTAGTTTCATAAACAAACGTTGCATCATGATGGACTGACCATTAGGATATCACCTTTTATTCTTCAATTTTATCGAGGTTCGTATAGGGCACGCTCTGTCCTCGAACGACCACAATTCAAGTGGCTCCCGAACGAAGAATATATAGCAATTTGCAACGAAATGAACAAAACATCCGATAGTTGGACGACGTCACGCGACCTCGCTCACCTGATGGCTAATTAATTATTAATATAGCTATTATAAATGGCAGCGAAATACAAAAACTCATTTGGCGGGCTAGCTTAACGCTGCGAGCGGTCTCTTTCGGACAGGGACAAAGTATACGATAAAAGCGAAACAGAAATAAATATGTTTACCTCACACGGCAAAGCAAGGGCATACATAATACTTGACTATATTATATTAACGGGTTTAAATAATACCAAAAAAATCAAAAACAAAAGCCAAGCACTAAGCTTCAATGCGAATTATGCGGTGCGTGCGCTATTATAGGGGTAGGGGTATGGTACGCCCTTGCGAGAAAATCTTGCAATAATTTATGCTCAATATATATAGCAACAATTTGTCGTTCGACATAGGCCTCCATTTGTCTGAGTTTATCTTTAAAATTGTTCCCTTCAGTAATTGTTACGAATGTACGAACCACTTGTGTAGTCTAATTAATAATTATAAGAAAAAAGTCGAGGAAAGTGTCGCGAAACAGGCTAGGGACGCGAGCGTGGTGTGCGCGCTGGGCGGGGCGTGGGTTCCGCTCAAGACCTGCTTCCTTGCTTGGGCCCGGCTACGTTAGACGCGTTAGCTCTTTTGTTATCTGTACGGTCGCATCACAAAAGCAAGAAAACCAAATTTGACTCCGCAGGGTCTCGTTACGTGTCGTGGCTTCCGAGCTTCTCAGTGGAGGTGACCCGCGTCCGAGCAGAGCCGATGGCGCCCGCGCCCCCTTCACCTCCGCCCACGCCCGACGAAGTACCCGCGCCCCAGCTCGACGCCATGCTCGCCCAGGTACCGTTTTGTTTCACTATATATGATATTCATATATAGTGCTGTTGCTTTGAGCTTTGAATACAAGGGAGCACTGTCGACTAGGAGCGGCTATATACGCTCCTTTTATGTATGCGCCCGAATTGTAAAGTAGAAAGGAGCGAGAGATTCGATAAATCCAGAAGTGAAATGGCCTGTGCCAGAAAATCTACTTATATTCATTTAAGTAGTATACTTTAACGATTGATATTTTTGAATTGGCAAATTTCATATTGCGTTAAGAAATTGATTTTATTCAGTAAATAAAGCGTATAATGGGAGATGGATACAAGGATGAGAATTTTTGCAGGTGTCGGCGGTGTTTCCTCAGTACAGCGCGGCCCGGGTGCGGGCCGATCTTTTGCGCACGCGCTCGCCCCACCTCACAGTCGAGAACATCTTGGAAGGGAGGCTGCGCGCAGACTTAGCGGGCCCACCGCCACGCCGAGTCGCACGGACAACAGGTAAGATTCCCCCTTCACCTTTTTAACAAATATTGAACATAGAATTCATATATATGTTGATCTTGCTTTTGATATTTCTTGACAGAGAGCGAAGGCAGTGTCGAGCGTGAAATGTCGGTACCAGCCGTCCCCTCTTCCCAGGACAGGTCCGTATTCGTTTGAGCTTGTCTTTTACTTTAAGTCATAAGTTACGAAACTATCATATGTCAAGAACTAATACATTTGTTCTCGTATACTGCAGCGTGGAGTCAGAAGAACCGTTGGAGGTGGAGTTCTCTGAGAGTGCGTGCGAGCGAGAGACACTGCTGCGCAAGCGCAAGCGGCAGCTCATAGCGGCGGCGCGCCACAAGTACCTCGAGAGGCGCGGGCAGACCGCGCCCTGATCGCTCGCCGACGTGCTACCGCTCGGAACAGAGGTGAATTGATCTCAGACGCGATTGTTGTAAGGAACGGAAATTCGACAGAAGCCCTTCAATGGTTGATTTTATTCTATTGCCTAGTTCACCATTGAGGTAATTTTTATTTAGAACTATTTGTAAATGTAAAGTGTTATCCGCACAAAACCACGTTTGCTAACGACATGCTTTATGTATCGTTCGTACTTAAACACCCGTTTTGTACTTAGGTCATTGCGTGTATTGCTAGATATTAGTTGAGAGCCGTGGCGTTGTACTGTACTTTCGTGTTAATTTTCTTGCATCACATTAGATTTTACTTTTTCATTATGTTTAGTTAATACAACAATAAGGAAATTCAAATTACAACCTGTATTCAATGCTTTTGACAGATATTGATCGTTGACACCGGTGAGTAATTTGTCTATATTCAATTTTGACAGGCAGAATTGCTCATGTGTATTACTTAAGTTTATTTTATATGAATACTTTAATTTAAATTGTCCTCAATAAAAGTTGAGAGTATTTTTCTATGTGCCTGATTTGAGTCATCCGTAAATTTTTTACATAAAAATTACATTCAAGTGTTTTTTACTATTTTTGTTAGATAACTGAAAATTGTTCTCGTTTAGAAAGCCAAAGTATTATTTGTCTTTGACTAAACCGTTTTGATAAACTTTTGTATTTTATTTAAATTGTGTTTTCTCAAGTTAATGCTATGTACTTATTTGTAAGTATGTTTATATCTCTATTTGGTCATATTTAATTTCATTTTATGAACTGTTATAGTAAGAGTTGGCAGCCAATGAAAATGTTGGAAGTGATCCATGTGGCTACAATTTTATTCTATCCTACGATAACTTTTTCCAATAGTTTCATCAACTATCATAATCACACTATAAGACAATATAGTCATTTTTACTATAATGACACAAAATATTAGTGATTGAGCTAAGATAACCAGAGTAAAGATGTCTTAATACCAGTTGAAAATTACTACGGTCTTTTTCATTATTGTGTAAAATTTTCTATGACAATGTATTGAGAATTTTATTAAGTATAAATACTATCATAATATTGTATAATAACAGTAAATTTGAAGACTAGTCAATATAAAATAAATTGAGTATGAACAAATGATTTTTTTTCAGATTCTAAAAATTTCTTAATTCAAAATAAATAAAAATGCTTAAGCAGAATAAGAAATAATTTATTATATCTATATTCTGCACCACTGCACCAAATAGTTTCTCATTTGACATATTATTAATGTGGTGGGGCTATGCGCCTTCGTAAGATATTTGTACACTAATTATGATTTATCCAATAAAGTTCATTACAACTATATGCAAGACTAAGTGAGCAAATATGAAGTCCGCGAAGCCTCGCTCTGCGCTTAGACCAGAAAACTCGTTCTTGTTTTCAGGATTGACTTGTAGTCGCAAACAAACTGAAAGCATAACCTTAGGTGATAATGTGTCCTTTCTTTTAATATAAAACCTACGCATCGGATTTTCACCGCTAGGAACTCTCTACTCACCTCCGAGCACAAACGAGCTTACACATGAAATAAAACCAGATAAAAAGGAGTTAAATGGAAAAGTGCCAACGAGACAACAATATACAAACTGAATCACACCGGTCAGAAAGACATACAACAAATACGCATCTACAATTTTTAGTTTCTTGGAGGTTTTAGTGGTATATTCATGGTAGAGCTTAGGAATAACACTAATAACCGAAGGCATTTTTTATAACTTGTCGATTTGCACTTCTCTTGTAAATGAGAAAATGAAAAAGCAAACTATGACGGCGGCCAGAATAAAGACATACCACACGTCAATAGATAACATATTCCACAGATAAATCAATACAGTTCTCGCTATATAGATAACTTATCTGCATTGTCAACTATAATCTATTATCTGTCATTTTAGGTGACATTATCAGCCATAGTAGCGTCAATATCAAGTGTCAAAATAATATTTGACTTGAGCCGTGACTCAAAATAATAAGCCAGGTTCAAATTGTGTTTGTCATTGCCATTGGCTGTTTTTCTGCTAGAGTAATTTTGAGTAACATTCACTAAAACTTTTGTGTTCATAATTTTTAAACTGTTGAAACTCTCAAAATGCTCGGCATCAACGACAATTTCCCCGAATATGCTCTACCTGGAGTTAAAAAAGTTCACTTCGAACCATATGCAGACAACGGTGGAAGCATCGTTGCCATCGCCGGTGATGACTTCGCAGTAATCGGAGCTGATACAAGGCTCAGCACTGGCTTCTCCATCTATACAAGAGAACAAAAGAAATTATTTAAGCTGTCGGACCAAACTGTTTTGGGCGCGACAGGTTGCTGGTGTGACACTCTTACCCTCACTAGGCTCCTTCAAGCGAGAATGCAAATGTACGAGCACGAACACAACAAGGCCATGACGACACCCGCCGTCGCGCAAATGCTGTCCACGATGTTATACTACAAACGATTCTTTCCCTACTATGTATCCAATATTTTAGCGGGAATAGATAGCGAAGGCAAAGGTTGTGTCTACAGCTACGATCCGATCGGCCACTGCGAGCGTTCTACATACCGAGCGGGTGGTTCAGCCGGGGCTCAGTTACAACCTCTACTTGACAATCAGATTGGCTTGAAGAATATGCAGAACGTCACAGAAGCACCTTTACCTAAAGAAAAAGCATTAGCTCTTCTCAAGGATGTGTTTATTAGTGCAGCAGAAAGAGACATCTACACTGGAGACAGCATTTACATTTTAATCATCACAGCTAATGGCATCCAGGAAGAGAAATTTGAATTGCGTAAAGACTAGTTTATATTGTTGCATCAATATCTAATAAATATTATTTCTCACCCATTCTTTTCTTTTTAATAACACAAGTAGCAAATGTGTAACAAGCTTTATATAATTAAGAGGTAACTACAATGATATAATTACATAGATTTCAAGTATTTACATTACGTTGATAAAATTGAATCATCTATAACACTAATACAATTCATTTATTGTACTTAGGCATAACAAATATATACTGTGGAAAGTTCTTTTCAAATATTTCTGTAACTACTTCTTGTCTAAATGAATCTCCTAATATTGTAGCTTTTAAGCGTGGAGGCCTTGTGTTGCCAGCAACTAGAGGATGTATATTGTAGCTGAGTTCTATGCTTTCATTCGGAGGTATTGTGATTGAAAACTTTTTATATCCTGAAAACATGTATGAATCTGTTCCTTCAACTGTGAGGCCCAAGCGTATGGGAATATTGGTCTTTCCTCTTAAGATGCATGTAAACGGTACACTCGTCTGTAACTCCACCACTTCAGGATAACTCACTTCCACAGATATGGGACAGTCATCTATAGTGAGCGCAGGTATCGGTGTGCTGCTCATTACACAAAGAGCCTCCACACTATCCTTTCTTTTCCATTTAATATTGTATAGGCCAATTCTTGGCAGTGCTTCCTTGGGTTTGTATTTAGCTTGTACACAAATGGCATCAGATGCTACATCTCTTTCAGAGACATCTAGCTTTTTTATGCACGATTCAGTTTCACTGTCAAAGGTTTGAAAGCAGTCAACCACTTCTAAATTTGTGTCATATACTTGTAATGGCCACTGGCTTAGGATTTTTATTTGTGGTATAACAATGAATGGATCTTCTACAAAACACTTTGTAATCTGCTTAAAATTTAAATCTAGGAAATTAGCAGTCACTTCGAAAGGTTTAATTATGGTGACTTTTGTAGTAAAGTCCTTTATGCATTCTAGGGTTTGGGTTTCATTGAGTTGTATTAAATAGGACACTTTAATTTGAACAGTAGTTGATGCAGTTTTATTTGTTTTAAGATAAAAAGTGTCAGAGTAGCTACATAACTTGTCCACTTGGGCCACTTGAATTTTTAAAGGCTGTGTCTGGGGTTCTCCTTCTTTGAGACTCAGTTCTGTTACAGATTCGGGGCTGGGGTTATCTGGTGAGCTGATTAAGGTCAACGTAATAATCACCCTAGACACTGGGCAATCCTCATCATTGGTTATTGTGAATGTGGTTGGAAACCATTCACCTTGAAGGGCTGGGACATTGTTCACAATAGTCATGGATAGTCTGCACTCTCTGGACACAATTACAGTGGAGGTCAAAGGCAATATGCAATCAAATTCATAATCTGTCTTTGGACTATTTATGAAATGTAATAATTCAGGGTGGATAAAAGAATTCGCCAACTTGTTTTCTTCTATTTTATAATTCATCACAATCTTTCTTTTCTTGTCTGCATCAAGTATAAAAGAGACATTTTTAATGTGTAATTCAGAGCCACTGTCTTTTGGAATTGATTTAAATTGACACAAAAATTTATAAACTGTACCATCTTCAAGACTGAATTTTGAGCTACCATCTTTCGTTATTGGTATTTCAATAGTCTCTGTGTTACTTGATATTGTAAGGATCGCTTCTTTGATTTGCAGGAAGACTTTGTATGTCAATCTGACATACACTTCAACTTGTATAGCTTCATCAATTCTATATTTAGATTGCTGAAATTTAGCTTTGATTTCCAAGAAACTAGAAATGTTTACCATATCAATACTTATAAGGAACGGGTCCTTTTCAATTACATTTTGCCATAGTTCGAGAGCCTTGCCTAGTGATGTTGCAGGTATATCAGGTTCCTGAGCAGGTATGGCACAGCTTAAAACTGCCATGATATTGTGGAATATACGACTTTTATCATTATTTGGTACCTGTATATCCTTTGAAAGAGCTTCAACAGAGAGCTGAATGTAATCCTGTATTTTTGCAGATAGGTAGGCGCATTGTAACGCTCTATTGAGGACATGAGAAGCAAGGAACCACCACTTTTCTCTTCTGTAATCCCACAGCATATGAGTCAGTAGAGTTAGAGCTTTGCCATAGTCAGCACAATAGTAATATTCATTAGCCATTTCCACTACCAGCTGCTTCCGCATTCGAGGTGAATGAAATGTTTTAAATTGTGATATAGCACATCCTAGAAAACTGATGATAATTGAGGAATGATTAAATGTCCTCTCATTGTATTGAAGAGCTAGTACTGCTGCATGTTCTTTTTGGGGATCATGTGGATCAGCACTGAGCCGCCCAGGTCTCCATGGCCTCTGACCGTAATACTCTACAATGCCCTCCATAGGATCAGGAGGAGGAGGATACTGCAATGCCTCGCAGCAGACTGATCGCATAGCCTGTCTCCTTTTCACAGTAAATTGAGCAGCATATTGGTAGTAAAAACCAGGATGCTGAGATTGTATTGCTGGTAGACCTGCTCTGATTGCTTCATCAAATAGTTCACCAAAGGCACTATATTGTCTCGCTATCCATGCATAGTGTTCAAATAAAAGTTCTGTGGGGCCAATTCTATTTTTATATCTTTCTATGTGATTTTTGAGCTGGGCTATAGCATCTCTAGGTAGATTTAAAGCAAAGAGAAGTTTACATAATTTGTAATTGACATACCCAGCTACTGTTCTAATCTCATGAATATTAGTATCTACTTGTCTGGTTTCCAAGAGGTTGTTATATGCATGCATATAATGTTTGTGTGCTGTACTGAAATCCTGTTTCATTTCATTTAAAAACCCTAGTTTAAACTGATGACGAACGAACAAATACTGATGTGTAGTCTTGTTAAGGTGGTCTCTGTGCTGCTTAATGTTTTTCGTCTCGTGGTGATAATAATTTTGGGCAATATGGTAAAAGTCATTTTCTAATCGTATTATGTACCCCATGAGGTGATCACTGTGCGGCAAAACAAACAGTGATTTAGACTGTATATCACATGCTGAGCATAGAGTTTGGGCTCTTTCAGCACCGAGCATATACTCTGAAGGTGGAGGAGACAGCCCGCTCTGCACTATAACCACAGCCACTCGCGTCGCATGGCCCTCCACTGCTGCACGTATCGACTGAACCCTTGAAGCGCATTCGATAATTTTCTCATTACACTGGGGATCATTCCATTCCATGTCATAAAATATTACAATAACCGCAGGAATGAGCGATATGCGTTTATGTATCCAATTCTTTTTTAAAATTCCCTTCGGTATGTACCATTCGTAGGAGTTTCGTTTCGGCTTCACGACAGGATACTCGAAAGTGTTGTTTAGTAATTTAAACTTCACCGAGGCTCTATCAGGTCGACGATTGTTGGAAAAGGCGTCCCATATCGCTTTGTGGATAGCGTTGTTAACGGTATCGAGACCCGATAGACCTATCAGAGCCAGTGATTTCTGGATTATTTCAGAAGGAAATTCTGTGCTATCGCTCGGCTGTGTCGCCATCGTTTTAAGCTTACAAACGTAAACACCGGGGCGACTTGTACATACAATAATAATTTAACATCACAGTTTATGCGAAAATTAAATAGAAATTATGATTACTGCAATTTACATTCTGATTTCTTAATCAGAAATTTTAACTTAGCAATGCAATCAACATTTAGCTAGTCAGCGGTCAGTGTCAATTTAGTGTCAATGGTTAAGTCATCTATCTGAGTCAAATGCCATGACGAAGTTAGTGTTACTAACCGTGTTAAAAACAGTTTATAGCTTTCCACTTGATATAATTGGCAAACGTGTCAAGTAAAATGAAACAGTAATTTCAATTTTGGGGAAAAAAAATACACCTGTAAAATAAGACACTAAGTGTTAAGGTTTCTTGTGTCTTGTGCTAATTAAAACCATATGTCAAATAAGATGTCAAACGTCATTTGTGATATTAGAATCTGAAAAAATTATGAAGATCGGTTTTGATCAATTTATTTATACTGTGTTTGCTAAATTATTACTTCCGTGGTGATAACTACATTGCATTTTTTGCTGCAATTGTTTCACCTGAATATACATAGCAACTATGGCTTCGCAAGCGTTAGCTTCGCTCACAGCTACCTACACAGACTCAGAAGGTGAAGAGGATATGGAAGATGGACAACAAACACCGGAAAAAGATGAGGTCAAAGTAATGCAACCAGAACTTAGTAGTCCCAAGATAGTGGAAGAGGTAAAACAAAGCGCATCGGCGCCTGCCACTCCAAAGAGGAGACTTGTTTCTTACGTAGACGACACAGTTGTTTCAGATGAAGAACTGTTATCTCCTACTGCAGAAAGCCAAGATGACATGAGAAGATTATCAATGGAAACTGACACAGATGATGCAGTACAACGCTCTGATGCTGATGACTCTCAAGATGGAGTTATTATACCTGCTGAACCGCAAGGAAAGTGTCCAAAGGAGCTACAGGACACCATAGCAAAGTTCTATAATAGAATGCTCACTGAAGGTTTAGATATGAACAAAATTATTCAAGATAAGAAGAACTTTAGGAATCCAAGTATATATGAAAAATTGATCCAGTTTTGTGATATAAATGAATTAGATACAAATTATCCACCTGAGATATATGACCCACTAAGATGGGGCAAAGAATCTTATTATGATGAACTAGCTAGGGTACAAAAATTAGAAATGGAAAGACGGGAAAAGGAAAAGAAGGAAAAATTATCAAAAATTGACTTTATATCTGGAAAGAAAACTGACAGTGATGATGAAAAGAAGAGGAAGTCTAAATGGGACCAGGCAGCGCCTAATGTGGGGTCAAAGCCAACCATTAAGCAGCCTGGACTGCTCCAACAGCCCTTGACCTCCAATGTCACTGGAACCAAGGGAACAGTTATCTCAGCATTTGGTTCTATATCTAAAAAACCAAAAATCTAACTTGAAACTGTAACTCTTCAAGTAAATTTTAACCAGGTATTAAGGTTTTCCCTTGAGTTGACGCCGTTTTTGTTAATGTTAAGTCTAAACAGTAATTTATAAATGTGACAATATAAGTATGTAAAACTAGGAGAATAAAACAAGTGGAGAAATATTCTGATTTTATTACCTCAATATCTTCACTATATGTCAAACTGAAAAGAATGACGCTTTGGTTAATGTCAAAGTCATTTGTCACTCGACTAGGAGAGGTTTAATCTAGAAGCTGCCGCTGTCGCATTCGTTTTCTTTGTTTACCTAGATTTTTGACGCAGTGGTAGTTTACAAGTTGTTTGGGCAGTGGTGTAGTATACTTTAATGAAAATGGCCGAGGCGTCCGAAAGTTCCGCGGACCCCACTTCGATCGCGAATTCGGTCGTGAGCGACATAAAAGATGACGAGGGCCCTTCTCCGAAAAAGCGTAAGACCGCTTTCGACGAAGAGCCGTCCGAGAAGTTAGAGCATAGGCTGGGAGGCATTTTGTGTTGCGCAGTTTGCCTGGATCTGCCTCCGGCCGCCGTTTACCAGGTATTCTTAAACAGCTGATAATAAAACGTAAGTTTCCTTTATCGGCCGTTTTATTTCTTTTTTATTAATTAATTGCGTACGATTCGTTTCGAAATTATTGTCAATATCAAAGAAAAATGGGTCAGCAAAAACACTTTCTCTGCCCTAATAGTAAAAATTGTCGTCATAATTTATTAATGAATACATCTCGACACTTGTATGTATTATTTCTCCATAGTATAAGTTACATTGTGATATATGAATGAATAGATTAAGTAGAATCTAGCACGCAAATATTTTGTGTACTATGTAAGCATGTATTTTGTACAATTTTACTTCAATAAAGAAATGTTTTTGATATTGAAAAGTTCTTTCTTTATTGATCTACCTTAGATAATCCTATCCCCTTACCAGTGATTAATAATCTATATAATTTCATCAAAATTTAAAAGTATTTGGAGAGTTAGTGTCATTTGAGTCTTGAAAATCATGAGCGTGGAAGGATTTAGTTTTTTTTTTACACAATAGAATTGTCAGCAGTACTTATGTGTAGTTTGATTTCAGGATCGTGGAATACGGGGCAGAGGTAGTAAAATGTCACTTTACACAACACAAACACACAACATTCTTTACTATATATTCCATACATAACTAGCGTTTGGTTTCTACAAATTATTTGCAATACACAGAAACGTGGTGCGCGCAGGAGTACCAGTGCGCCCGTAGTGATCGCGTCATATGTTGCAGTGTAGCAACGGGCACCTCATGTGCGCCCCTTGCTTCACACACCTCCTCGCTGACGCGCGGCTCCGCGACGAGTCAGCCTCCTGCCCCAACTGCCGCGTCGAGATCTCCAAGACGTCAGCCTCTAGAAACCTCGCCGTCGAGAAGACTGTCTCCGAGCTGCCCTCAGAATGCAAGCATTGCACCCGAGTCTTCCCGAGGCATTCTCTCCAGCATCACGAAGAGAGGACTTGTGAAGATAGGTAATCGGCTTATATCAGTGCTGTACTTAAAGGAGGCAGAAGTTTTGAAGTAGTCGTAATAATACTAAAGGTGTCCCACAGGAAGTACAAGTTCGCTCAGTTGACCGTGACGCCGCCGGATAAGGCTCTAGACGGTTTGGTTCGCATCATGGCCTATGTGTATGGTTTCCTGTTGACCTTCTTCAGAAGAAGCTACCTGCTCTCCGAGAGGACGGCACACAAGCGGCGTAGATATCGCAGGTGTGTGCCGACCCTACGGCCGCTCATTTTATCGCGACATTACTAATGTACTTTAAGCGCTTCCATAACACGCTATGATGCGAACCGAACCGATCGGCAGAACTATACGTAGGGCTTCGTATTCGGAGCTCTCCGAGAATGCCCAACGGCTAATGCAAGATTGAACGCAGGTTGACGGGGTGCAAGTACGCCTGTATCGGCTGCGGCTGGCGCGGGCCGGCCCACGAGGCGCCGTCGCACGAGGTGGCGTGCACGCATCCCAACAAGTCGGCAGCGGACGTGGTGGGCGTGCTCGGAGACCGGGAGAGGCTCGCCGACGACCAGACGCGCGTCTACACGCAGATATTCGAATTGCTCTCCTATGAGAAAATCACTTTCAATGGTGAGGGCTGCCGCTAGCCATTTCCAAATTTAACATCGTTCCTGCCGTCCGATGTCGGACCGTGAATTATCTTTTCTCTCCGTAGACCTGCAGCTGAAGCCGTACCGCACCGAGGAGTTCGTGCACAAGCTGTACTACGAGACGCTGCGGTTCCCGTCGTTCGGGCACCAGTGGGTGGTGAAGGCCTTCATAAACAACAACCAGCCGCACCCGACGCACACGGCCCGTCGCGAGATCACCTATCAGCTGATTCTAAAGAGCAAACCGCAGTGCGAGCTGGCCGTGCAGTGGGTGTGGGCACGCGGGCCCTTCGGCGAGGCGAGGCTGGCGCCGCACGTCGGCTCGCACACCTTCCGCGACGACGACGAGCCCGCGCCTCGCCCTCTGCCGCTCGCCGACCCAGACGACGCCAACCGACTGCTGTCCAATAAGGCCATCCACTTCAGGTACGAGACGACCAAGCCTCGCCCCGATCGGTCTCCGTTCAACTCATTCACCTTCCTTCTCCCTCCTCAGGTCCTATCACAAACCCGTTAACCTCAGGTAACTATTTTCCGTCGTTTTACCCTTCCGCCATTTTAGATCTCGACCCTTATAATTTTAGTTCTGTATAAAGTTTCTATTCTATTTCAGACTCATCATGTTTTTGACGAACAAGTAATCCCCTTGGATGTTATTCCCCTTTTTCACCGACATTGTATTCTCATTGCTTCACGACCAAAGACTACAAACATGTAATTGAAAGAAGAAAGCTGTCACCTATTTTATGAAATATGTACGTTTTACATGGTTTCTTAAATTAGCGCTTTTGATAAATTATTACTTTACGGTATCGAGTACAAAATTAATATCGCGCGGTTTAGTTAGGAAATTAGCGAATTAGGAGGGTCAAATATTATAAATCATTTTAATTAAATTTTATATTTTGTAGCGAGGAATCTTTGTTTAGCCATATTAATTTAGTGTATTGTGTAGTCGTGATTTTAATTATTAAATCTATTGATATCTTAAGGTGTGGTTTCATTGTATGAATGTATTATTTTAAACTATGTATTTACATAACAAATTTCATCAAATCAAACAATACAGTTATTCTCAATTCAAAACACAATTAAGTTTCTGTAAAAAAAAGCATATTAGCTCCACGTTATTTCTCGATCGACCCCGATTAACTACGGACCGATTTTGATAAATAAACGGGATGAAAGATTTACATTTCCCCAATCTATCAAGGTCGGTCGGTCCCTACGTCGCCCACTTTATGCTTTGATTTCGTGAAGATGCAAATTATTCCCATCATGTTTTGTTCAAATGGCTTAACGTCGGAGAGATCTATTCATCTACTTGTTTAGAACTTTATTTTCGAAATTTATTTGCACAAGAGCCATAAATAGACACCAAAAATAAATTCATTGATTTTTCTGGTTTTGATGAAAATACATTTATTTCAATCGATGCTAGTATCATTTACGGTACATCTACTCTCCAGTTTACAATCCACGGTTAAGGCATAAAATATGTCGATATGAAAACTCTAATTAGTAGGGTCTATGCCTGAGAGCGCGTACTTTACTATCTTTTCCATCTACAGGCGTGTCCATGCAACCCGTGTCTTGCGCACTCCACGCGCTTATAAGACCGGACTCGCCACTTGTTATAAGGATGTTTTTCTGAAATTCATATACAATTTAACGGCCGAGTTTACTCTGAATAATAATTTTGCACATCAACTAGTACACTTGTTGTTGACATAACATATCTCAATACAAATAGAATTACTCACGTGTGTATCGTAGCGACAGCATCGGACCACTTGCCTGTTGCCGACGAAGTCGGTGCAGGGGATCAGTCGTTTCCCTGATATGCTCAGAGATCTCAGAGTGTTACTAGGACATTGCACAGTTTTAAAATAGCATATCAATGTTTTTGGGCGTCGTGAGATAGAAGAGGCTCTCGACGACGAGCCCGAAAAAAAATTATTTGCTGAACAATGGTTTTGAAAGCCTTACATAATTTAGTTTTAATATAGTTTAAATTTAATGCAGCTGAGCTTATACACCCAAAAAAAGGAAGTATTTTTTTATTGTTTGTTGAATGGATCACCTACCCATTTCCACCATATGAACCGGTAAGTACACATTTAGTGCCATCAGCCAAAAGGAATGTGTCCACGACATAACAGTCGTCATCTCTGCTCCTCTGGAATATTACAATTATACTGTTTATATAGATGTTTAATAGTTTTTAATCTGTGCTAGTATACATTACTAGCACGGATTAATATCTATTTATACTAGCTGATAATATCTTTCTCTGTTCTACCAAAAAGGCCCTAAATTCTAACCTTAATATTTCTCGCAATCTTATCTCGGCTGTATTCCTTTACCAAATCTCCAGTAGATGCTTCCCATATTTGCATGTCATTGGACTGAGTAATGCAACTGAGCTCTTCATTGCTCAGCCAGTGCAATTTTTCCACTGAGTTGCCTATATTTAGAGAATAATCTAGAGCACTATCTTCATCTTCTTCCTGCAGGTTGAATATGTTGATCAGGCCATCGCCAGCCCCAGACGCTAAGATAGAGTTTGTGTTGGGTTTAAACTTAACCTGGAATTTATAAATAATTTGCTTAAACTTAAGAATCACTAGCTGTTATTATTTCTATATTGTTTTAAAATCCCTTCTCTGTACCATCTCACTATCCTGCAGACCTTTTTGGCCCACCATCTCAAAAACTGTATTGTATTAGCATATGCATCTTAACATTGCTGCTGACATGTGTAAATATAATACAAGAATCACAAAAACAAACTTGCGTGATATCCTCAGTGTGGCTTTCCCAATATGCACCAAGAGAATTAGTTAAACGTGGATCCCAAAATACAAGATAAGATTCATCTTCTACTAGTTGGCTGCCACTGCAGAATATATTTCCTGTGTCAGCTACGTCCATGCATTCGTACGGTCTGATTGGAGAATCTTCTTCTCCTGAAAATTTTATTTTTTGTTTAGAAACATAAAAGTTCTTTAAAATACAAAATATTGATTGCATCATTAATTATTACCCTTAAATTCTTTTACACAAGTGCCCTTTATCCGAATATCCCAAAGCTTAATAGAACCGTCGTGGCTGGTAGAAAACAATAGAAACTCATTTTTCGGATGGAAAACTACTTCGGTCACTTTCTTGTCGTGTCCTTCCAGCCTACATATTGATTGAAATGAGCTATTATTTAATTCGTACACTTCTAATGAATTGTCGTCGAGACTTATCGCAATTTTTAAAAACCTGTTAATGGAGCAAACTTATAATTATACGTGTTAATTAATAGAAAATATTACAAATAAGCATGGCACAACTAATCTTACTGGTTAACGTCGAGCTTGTTAATATAAGATTGTCGCAAGGTAACAGCGGTTTCTGCAAGTAAATTATATTTCTTGTTAAATTGCTTCTCTATTTCTTCTGATGATATTGTATCCCTATCGTCTTCTAAATTCTCAATTATATCAGCCATTGTCTTTCATTTAAATAACCTAAAGTTGAATTGGACAAACAACAACAATGAATGTTTGAGGTTTTTCAACGTGATCAAATTCATGTTGAAAAACCGTTTGTATGTTAATTGTCAATGTATGTAACTTTCGCCACAGATAACATTTACTGACAGCCAAATTATGTGTAAAACAAACCTTAAGGTTAAAATCTATAAACGCGATCTGGCAGAGACAGTGAGACTTCATTTCGCTTATTCAAACTGATTATCCGGCTTTCGGTAACTCAAAAAAAGACACGCTTATATAACTTAAAAATATCAAATTTTATTTCGCACGTTGAAACAATATAACTATAATTAATTATAACTGAGAAATTGGGAGGGAGTTATAAATTTCCATCATTTATAATGTCGACGAGGCGCCTTCGATCGCGGACCAACTCTTTCAATATCTCCGGCAGCTAATCTAGCAACGATGGTGCGCAAGGGCAACGGAGAGATGGCGCTCAATTCCGACGTTTGGTTAGAAAACGCCCAGCGAATATATCTCTCCATGCGGATGTGATCTGAAAGATTTTTCATAATTAAAAAAAATTAAACTTTACATTACCAACAAGCTCTTCAACGCTCAAATGGTATAACTATTTCCAAAGTACAAAATGTTTATTGTTACTATTTATTGATAAAATCTAACTGATAGCTGGATCCACGAGGGCAAACGCTCGCTTCAGGTTATCGACGCTGACAGCCCGGCTACCATGATGGCCTCCTAACTCGGCGACCACCTCGCGAATGTACTTGTCCTGCGCCAGTTGCCGCTGTCGAAACAACTCACGAGCCAGTTCAACTCGGTCGAATCCCTCTTCATTCTATAATAACAACAACAACAATATAATATAAATTTTGATTAAAGTATTTTTTAACAAAACCAAAACTATTATTATGTTCTGTTATAGTAAGAGCTAAATATATTTAAATTTAATTAGGATAAATGACGCTGGACTACTTCTCGCAAGAGCTTGTCCAAGTTTATTTCGTTGGAATTGATCTTCATTTTAAGCTGCTTCTTGACGACATCTACCATGTTCTTGATATCAACTTCACTTTTTAACGAGAAGCTCGCTCGGGCTACTCTTTCAAATTCATCTAGCGTAATTGTCTGCAAAGAGAGAACAAAATACATTTAATACAAGAATAAATATCGTAACAAAAACTTTACATGGCTAATAATATAATATGTACCTACACATAATATAATTAGTAAGGTTATGTAAGTGTAGACATCCTAAACAGCGTAAATTAAAGCGAAAATCTACAATGAGCTAAATTGTTTCTCCAAAAGAATCTGTTCTCGAACAAAATTAAGAGGCAAAAATGCTCGAACTCTCTTTCTCGTCGCTATTGGACACGATGATTTTGGGTAAAATCTAAGTAACACACCTCCCCGTCCTTGCTATGCTTATGGAGCTGGTCCTTGAGCAACATCCATTGAGCCCGCAGCCCCCAGTAGATGTCCTCGCCAAGGTGTCCGTGCAGCACACCCCAGAACAACTTGACTTGTGGTTCGTCAAGCATTTGCTCCGCGCCCGCGCACACGTTGTACGCCCATTCCGCACGCACTGACGACTGTTGGTATCTGACGAACATTGGGTCCATAAAATGCTACGAGAGATAATGCTCTAACTACTAGTGTAGGTGAATATTTTTCTTCTTAAATGGAATCAATCCATTTTAAAGCGTTAGTCCTCACCGGTCTTCGAAGTACTTCGTCAGATAGTCCTGCATTGTCATGGCTTGCCCGTGTCGCGATTTTCCCAGCCACACGTCGTTGATCACCACGCTTACTTCGCGCCTGGAGATGCGTAGATTCCGCACCTTGCCTTCGTAGCGAAGATAGGGCGGAATGGCTGGATCTGTGCCCTAAAGGGTTATTAATGGGGACTCATTTGTTAAAAGGCCTCTGTGTCAACGATTGGAAGTAATTGCAATTTAATAAAAAATAATACGGTTTCAGATGTCGGTGGTTTTGCGGTTACTTTACCAGACCATCGAAGTACTCCAAATGTTCACTCTCAGCGGCGGGACCGAATTCTTTCAGAAGAGCGCGTAGCTTATTGCGTGACGATAAATCGTTTGCCAGCTGCCACCATCTGGGGGCGCAATAGAGAGCTTGGGCTAAAGTTCAAAATGAAATCCACGTTCGTATGGTATATAATGACATATAACGGCACAATACACAATAATGACAGCTTAAAACAGTCCTTCGAGTGAAAAATTAACTGTGCGATAACAAAATCGTTGCACCTTTCCCTCCCGCCTCCTATGAAGTCAGCGCAGATCTCCCAATGGGGTCGAGGAGTACCGGCTCTCTCCAGCTCTCTGCAGCGATCTCTACATTCTATTAATTCTTCTTCGATGCTTTTCTTAAGCGCTGGTGAAACAATACAAACACATTTACAGTCTATACTTATGGTAATAACCTGGATTTGATAAAATTCATCATCAAATAAACTCAAAATATGTACAAAACGCGAAACACGAAAAGGAAACAATTATTTTTGCTGCGTTTAATAATTTAACCGATAGGCATTTTACAACTCCCTCGTCGCGAATGTTTTAAACGTAATATCAACATGCCAGATCTAGAGAATGATTTTATTTACCTAAGCAGATGCCTTTGTATACAAACACCATTTAGGTACCATCAATAGAATTAGACTAGTCGCATAATGACTGTAGGCATCGAGTGATTTTTTAAAATAAACCTTTAACATATATCACCTGTGATTCTCTTATGGTTATTCTGCAATTCGTCGTATTCAGCGTGGACGGCTCGCAGCTGCTTCTCCAGGTCAAAGTATTTGGCTTCGAGCCAGTCGTGATCGCGTCGAGGCACTGTCTCGGCGTACTCTTCTCTCATCCTCTTAAGCTCGGTTTGAGTCGAAGTGAGCTGATCGCTGTGACGATGTAGACGTTATTTGTAGCCGTAGTGGCTTAGCACATAAATATAATGATAGCAAAAAAATCACTTTATTAACTCAAGAATTTTAGTAATAATCAATATTTTTGCTGCATAAAAGTATTTTCATACCACTATTCAAAACATTAATTTAAGAACAGTATTAATCATATCTTTAATATATTTATTTCTTCGTTATAACTCGGTTCTGTTGTTTGTTAGTGTTATCTTAACTCATCATTGCAGTTCTTCTAAAAGAAATAATTCATACCGACATCTGTCCAGGGCGATCCTCAAGATGACTGGGTCCGATTGGGCCTCCTCAGATGGACAGTTGGTGCCAGTCAGCTCTTTTAGTTTGAGGTGTAGGGAAACATTCTCAAAGTAAAGAGTATAACGTGCGTCTCGTTCTCTCATCAACGACAGATAGTCGGAGAAACTCTCATCTTTCAACTGTGATTTTGCACTTGATTATTATGAGTAAGCTTATATTTGTTATGCAATATATTTCATTATGTATAAAAGTAGATGTTACATATACTTATTACATGCATATAGATAAACACTGCATTTAGTTTTATGTTACAATGTTTTATATAAATTACACAAAATTAAAGACATGTACTGTACAGCACCTTAAAGCCCTTTATTTAAACAGTACACATACAGCTTAACATACAAACATCAATATTAATGTAAGTCTCCTTCAACAAAATATCTTGATCAACACAATGACGTTACAATATTCACTATTCTTTATTAAGAAAGGTGAACAAACCATTCCCATTTCTTTCTTCAACTTAATGACTTCAAAATTTAAGTTGAGATTGCTCTCTTTCAAGGCATTATTTTCTTTAATTAAGTGTTTTCTTTCCAAATCATGCTGATCTTTATTTGCAGTAACTCCAAATACTCTCTGTAAGTGGTATAATACTGTTAAAGTTTTAAAAATATGGCTAGAAAAACAGGAAGACATACTAAAATAAGTCTTATTTGTTTTTTAAACACTTGTCAATTTCTTCTCTGATTTTGGCAATGTCTTCGCTGCATGTTCTACAGCAGCCACCAATGTATATTACGTTTAGCTGAAGCCAATCTTTTACAAACATATGCAATGGTTGGCACTGGTCATCCTTCCAACCCGATTCAGGAACAAACTTTTCCCCTGAATTAGGATAAATGACTATTGGTAACTGACTTTCAAGCCCCGCTGTCAACTTAGTGACAATTTTTGGAGAACAGCAATTCACACCTACTGCAAGAACTTGATCAGGATTTCTTACCCAGCATTTCATTGCTACCTCAGAAAAATTTTCACCATGGGATAGACTCTTATCATCTTTACAGCTGAAAGAAACCCACGCCTTTACTAGAGGGTAGTCTTTTAACATGTCTATTAAAATTAAAGCTTCCTTGTCACAAGGAATCGTCTCGAAAGCAATTATATCCACCCCAGCCTCAACTAATGCATCTAATCTTGGCTTGTGCCAGTCTTTGATCTCTTTTTCAGGAATTTCGTCTATATAGTTTCCACTGTATTCTGATCCATCGTTTAAAGTGGCTCCGTACGGCCCTACAGATCCCGCAATTAATATCTTACGAAGTTTTGAATGATAAGACTTACACTCTTCTGTATAGGTATCTCTCGCTCGCTGAGCCAAATGTACAGCGCGCTTTATTAAATTGAATCCCTCTTCGACAGACACTCCGAGGTGTTTAACGAAAGCACTAATTGACGCCTGGTAAGTGTTGGTAGATATAATGTCTGAACCAGCTCTAAGGAAATCTAGGTGAGTTTTAACAATTTCTTCTGGATGTGTCTGCAAGAACCTCGCAGTCCATAGAGGATCACCGTCTATTTTAGATCCAACGTGACGAGACAATTGCGAAGAAAATCCTCCATCTAATACATAGATCTCGTTACATGTAGCAAGTTTATCTTTTGTGCCCGGCATGGCATATAACTAAATGATATGCTTTTTAATTAAAATAGATCACTTTACAAAATTTAAAAGTTACTGTACGTTTAAACAGTTTTATTTAAAAAAAAAGGACATTGACCTCTTTTGTAAATTGTCATATAGAAATGTCAACATTAACAGCTGAAAATTAATTTGGCCAAACCACAGGTACAATATTATATTGAACGATAGTTTAAAAATAGACTTACATCATGAATGATAAATTGTTTAATTCGTTCATCTCTGATTTGCAATGAACCTTCATAAGAATCTTTGATGTCTGATAATATTGTTGAGTAAGTGGTTGAACTTCTAATCAATTCTGTAAGTGCAGTACGATATATCTGTAAATTATTTTTATCTTATTAATTTTATTCTACTTCTTTGAGTAAGACTGACATTTAAAAATATTAACCTCTAGAACTTCGTCAAAGTATTTTTGCTTGTTGGCGAGAATCATTTTCTTTCCGGTAATTTTCCTTACGTTTTTCAATCTCTCTAAAACTTGATTCTCAATGTTTTTTAAATGCTTTGGTCCGTGTACTTGCATAATTGTTAAAAGCTTGGTAACGAATTGGTTAGCTAAAAAGTATTTTAACAAGGAATAGGACTTACAAGAATTACAACTTCCTAGTGATAGTTTCCTTAGTTATTATCTTATACTAAATTCATGATAATAGGTATTATTTAAGAACCTTATCTATGGAAGTGGGATAACCTATCACGAACGTATAAATTATGCAAATAATAATATTTTTAGTACTAGTAACATACATTTTGTTACAGCACTCTATAATCTTCGGATTTTCAGTAGCACCAACTTTCACTCAAAAGTTGGATGTGACGTCATTGACAGACGAGAATTACGGAAATCAGAAATGGCTGCGATGGGTAGTGGACGAGGGACGATGGATTCTCAAAATCAAGTGCAAAGTGATAATATAGACCGTTTGAAATTGCTTTATCCCAATGTGAATGAAGATGAGACACCACTGCCCAGGTCATGGAGCACTAAGGACAAATTTAGCTACATCGGATTGTCGCAAAATAATCTTCGAGTGCACTACAAAGGTAAGAACTTTCAAGGTTTGTTTATGGACGAGTAATTTGTAATTTTCTACATTACAATCGCTCTTCTCTCGTATAACGTTATAGTTTGATCGAAATAAATCAAATTTATGGATAAATATCGACGTGTCAGCTTAAAAGCTTCGAAATTGCCCTGTCACTCAAACAAAGAAATCAGCTGATCGTCTATTTTGTATCAACATACGACTAAAATATTAACACGACATGATATTGTTCGATGTGGGCGTCGTAAAAGTTGAACGTAGAAAAAAAAAGGTCTCTCCTTTACGTGGATAATATATTATGGACCCTATTAACGATCTCCGAAAGTGATATTTATTATATGAATGGCTACAAATAGTAACGCGTAGAAATACCTAACTTAACTCGTTGGCAAGTCATTGTTGTATTTCGTCATATCGATTTATACATGAAGTGAATATATTCAATGAAATACTACACTGATTACATGGTGATCACATATTTTGGAAAAGATGTAACTAGTATTACACATATAATACTGGCATTATAATTTATACAGGTAAATTTATGTAGGTAACTCTAAGTAGGAGTATAATTATGTTAACGTGGAATTTTATGTTTATTTATAAAGCGCATTTGATTTTTATTACATGTGAAATATAAAGAATACTATAGTTATTGTAATATAAAAACAAAAATACTCCCTTCATACATACTTAGATTATAGTAATGTGATAAAAAACAAAACAAAAAAATAAACATAACATGGATAGTTCAAAAGTTTATCGAATCAAACAATTTGTACTTAATTTTTTTTCTTTGTTATGATTCTGTGTGATTTGTCAATCATCTATGTGTTGTATTGACTGCTCAGAAATATTAGAAAAATGGTATTGTTTTATGAGTTACTATTACATATTTATTGAGGTCTGTTTATTACAACAGTATTTGCACAGTCATACAGCTTAGATAATAGTTCAGTTATGATTTGTACATAACAATAGCTTATCTATGTTCTTCAACACAGTTGATAGAAAACATTTATTTCCCTTATTGTAAGTCCAATATAAATGAATTGCGAACTTCTCAATCTTTCAAATAGGGATTGAATATTTAAATAAAACACTTTAACGGTTTAAAACGCGATATATTGGTTAAACTTATTTGAAAATTATTTTTAACTTCGGCCCGACGTTTCGATAATTTTCAAATAAGTTTAACTAATATATCGCGTTTTAAACCGTTAAAGTGTTTTATTTAAATGTGTACTACTCGCGTAAACTATAGACAGGGATTTAATATTTTATGTTAAGCTAGTCACTGTGCTGTACAGTTAGTTACAGTATAATAGCAACATTGTTTTTTGGGAGTTGCCACATGAGATAGACTTTTATACCAGTCATCTCAAATGTTGTTTGCTCCTGAATTATGAATAGGTAGTGTCCTAAGAAAGAGAAAACACAAATATATTTTCTCTGATACCACTTAAGTGCTTCGGGTTAATAACAAGAAAAGAATCAACAATTGAAATCCCCCACTTAACCTTTTTTTCCATATTATGGTTAAAACAAACTTAGTACCTCCTGACTAATGTCTCCAATTTATTTAAAATCTTTAGAGAAAAAAATGTATTTGTATGATGGACTATGGAAAAGACTTACACCAAATTAAAAAAAAAAATCGTATGGTTTATTATTTGTGAAAGTGGTAAAGACAATGCGACAATTAGACAGGGCGGGTCAGGTCATCACCCAGACGGGTCTAAGCCAATGCACTTTGCCTAAAATTGGTCTAGACTTCAGTCTAGACTCGACGCGGTCGTGCGAACCTAAGAGGTACAATGTAACCGCTCATAATCATTCAAAAATCCTTCCTAAATTTGTGTTTAACATCGTGGCGTAAAAAGTAGGCAACATAAAACCACTCATTGGTGGAAAATAAGCGTTTTCTCGTGAATCCTTTTAACACCATAACAGGTCGACAACACACACTACTTTAACGTTAAAATGCACCCCCATTGTGTCTTTGCGTCCAATTCGTTCCTCTGTTACCCCGTTTGCCTGTTAAATAAATTTGCTATTGCTCTTGAAATAAATTAAGGGCTCGTCAATAGCCTACATAGGGCTTAAATGTTGGATAAACATAAGAATGGTATCACTCCGTTTCACTGGGCCTTCGGCAGCTATTTATACACCTGTTGCCAGTGGGTGCAGTGGCGATGCAGGCGACTTCGATTCATAATCGACGGCCCACGATGACCCGACCACGCGTATCGATCCAGTTCACAGAAACTATATTTATTTCGACTTAAATGCCAATTCAAAGTTTAACGAGATCTACTTCGGTTGCAGTAGACAAAAAAAACATTTACCTATTAAATTCAACTAATATGATATAGTGATTATCGCACGTCGTTACTCTTCTTTTAATGATCGAAACCTTAAATATAAAAAGGTAATATTAGTTTAAAATTCTGGGCAATAGCTGTCTAATTCAGGGCTGAAATAGGCATTCCCCGTTCATTTTATTTTCGTGAGTTACCGAGTCTAAAGTTCCAATCGCTGTGGCCTTCGAAGCTGAGAGAGTTCCACTGAAGTTTAGCTTAACGTATATAAAACAAAAAACGCATTAGAAAGTGCTCGTTATGTATCTACCAAGATGGGAGAAATAGTAAGCGATCGCGTCGTCAGCGCACCTCACAAGTCTACTGTTCTAAATTGCATCATATTCGTGGCTACTCAAATCAGGATGTTGGACTACGTCTGGAAATGTGCATATTAAATGGTCGGGCGAAATTCCGTCCGAGTCACGAACCACCGTTCATAGATGATAAAGACGTGAAGGTGGATTTTCCTATACCCAAAGCCAAAATAGGTGAACGGCAGAGGTATGTCACCCCCCTTCAAGTGCACCCCGCGCTCGTCTGTTCTCCTCTATATAAAGAAACTCTTTAGGTACTCCTGTTAAGATTCCCGTCAAACGCGGTTCACACCCACGGCCTGTATCGTGTGAAGGGTCATTATCCTATTTCTGACCGTACTGTCGGCTATCTTTACTCCGGGGACGAAGGGCCGTCCCCGTAATGGGGTCGTGCGTGCTCAACTTTCTGAAAATATCTTTCACAGTAAAATAGAGACGCCAACGTCGATGGTGTTTCTGCATAAGGAACACCATACTTCAATCGCACAAATATTTTAAACAAAGACTTAGGTCTTAAAATTTACTTAATATTTATCGTGTAGTGTAGCAATTAGTACTGATTTTTTTGAGTAAATTTGTCCAGGGGGACATTTTAAGGACGACTTAACATGAGCCGCGGTCGTGGCGGGTCAAGATCGCCCGAAGCAATAGGAAAATTGATCGCTAACTGGATTTAACTCTTTGTCTTTGTTCATTGTCGATGGAGCGCGAAGTGTAGCGTCTATCTGTCTCTCTTCACAGCCTAACTGAGGACGGAGATCCTCGTTATCAGCTGACTTATATGGGCATGCGATCCGTACAATAGAGCATTGTTTTGAAGAGTTGTGATGTTGTCTGTAGGCATTGATTATTTCACGTTACCGTAGTCTTAATAATCTATTTTGAATAACCTAGGAAGGGACCTCGTATTCCTTACATCTTTTTTACTCGATCCACTTTATCAATTTTATCACAGAGTTGTCTTTCGTGTTACGAGGTAAGTCTTAGAGACGGGTACTCACTAGCGAGCTATGATCGTAACTTATATGGTACACATTGAAAGCTGTTGTTACCGAAGAAGCAAAAAGAAATCACAATGTCCAAATATATCTTTGTCAACTAATGACTAGAATTAATGATTCACAATAGTTTAATCGACGACTGTCATGGTTACGACTTCTCGGTGAGGACCCGGCTTAAGACGTAACATTAAAGACGTCATTGCAGTAGACAACACTCCCACGACGACACCATATTATGATTCTAGTACTATCGACTGTCTAGGATATAATATATAAGAATATTTTATTGATATATATAAAAAAATATGTTATATATATACATATATAAATAAATATATGTTATATAAAAATATATATTTACTCCAGCATATACAGCATACAAGACATCTTTTGATATTCATGTTTCAAAGATCCGGCTATAAAACTGTATACGAGGTATTAAAACATCTAAGTAAGCAACAAAAAATCACGAGGCAGCCAAACAATAGGTACTGTATTCTTGAACTGAACTGAACAAAGAAAATCACGGCGCAGCAACTGAAAAAATCCTAATGTCAAATGTAACAAAGTAAGTGAATTGCCTTTGTTTTAATCCGTCGCCGGTCCGCACTATTTCGAATCTTTTGTCTCCAGTATAGAGTCGATTTTGCAACGTGATTCTTTCTTCGTATCGTGCACCTCAGTAGCGAGGCCGTAACACGGGGCTATCAAATGAAAAGCGGCCTTCACGCGCAGGGCCGAAGAGCGGGATTCGAATGCGAGGCCGCGGCGCGAGGGTGGGGATCGCACGTGGCTACCGATGCGAGCGAGCTTGACCTAGTTAGAAGATGGCTGGATGCACCATTTTGGTTCTGCTTTGAAAGCCCTTCGCCGATGCCCGACTGGGACCTCTCCCCTCCCGAGCGCGCTCACGCCGTTCACGTAACGCGTTTCTTTTTGAAAGCGAGCGAATCGCTTCATAATCAAAATAATGAAAATGCTGGCTTATGATTGAGCTTTCATAAAATTAAGACGCCTTCTGCTTTTTAGTTTTCATTAAAACTATATATATAGCCTTTTACAGAATCTCACATCGAGTTTAATGTTCAATATTTTTGGCATTTGGCATGATTTTGTAAGCTAGGTGCATTTACCCAATTTAATTTTATATGATTTTTTTGTAGAATAATAATTTATAAAGTTATTTTAATGAAATAAAATGCGGTAATGTAATTACCGAACCCACAAGATATTGAAGCCAGCCTCGGTCGCCTAGTTTTATTCATAAAAGCCGCTCGTGATAATTGATTCAATGCAAATATGTAAAACAACTTTGCCACGCTGACCTACATAATTGGCTCTGAAGGCGATGTCCACAGTCCCCCCTCGGGGCACCCTTGGTCTAGCCGCAAACACGGCGAGCGCTCTCGCGCTCGCCCAAAACGCCCGGTAGTATTGTGGCTCCATAGGAACACAATACGTAATAGTCCATTCAAAAAAAAAAAAAAAAGCAAGAACGTTTTCCGTTGAAATTAATTTTCTCAGTCGCTTCATTGGGACTAATAATAAGAAGAGTAAAAATTTGAAAATAGACGTTAAATAAATCTAGAACATTATTATTTCTACAAACCCCAAAAGCCAATGTTGCCAATATTGATAAACACTTGTGTAGTAACAATGTGCCAATTAACAGAAAGACGAAAATACCCGCGTATCGTGCTGAATTATTTCGGCGTCGCTTAAAAATGGAAATCGTAGTGGAGGGTCGATCTTCTGACTCTTGTAAATCGGTGTCAAGTTAGTCGAATCGATGTAGGTCGCGCCAGTACCGGGTCAAGTTCACTTCGCAAACTTACTACGTCTCCGTACATAAGATGGCGCCCGACGGTGAAATACTGCGACCGACACTTTAAAGTATTGGCTCAGATCAATTAGAGCAACTAATCCGAGCACAATACGCCCGATGTAGGCGAGAGTGCGACTAACAAAAACGTCATCGAGCAAACCTGATTCTATCGAAGCGAAGATGACGCCGACGTGGCGATCTCCCGTTACGCGACGACCGTTTGTAGTTCACCGATAATATTATCGACTCTCCGCCGCGTTCGCTGCGGAGTTATCGTATCGCGAAGGAGAGACCTTAATAGCGCCGTAATCCCAAGTTTGGTGCAGTGCCAAGAGAAATAAGTCTCGAATAGCTCTTAGTTTAAAAACTAGTTTAAGTAGTAATAGAAAGTAGAGTAAATATTCGGCTCCATGGCACCACTATGCTCTTATTGCTCGTTCGCGGGTAGTCGGAGAAAACGTTGCATGCGATCGGAACGCTTTGTGCGGCGCGATCAGATCGAAATTAGGATGTAGAGGTTTGCAGTAGATTTTACAGTTGTGCCCGCTCGCCCGCACCGGAAGTCAGAGTACGGTCGGCATAACTCTAAAATCTCGGGGATCGAGTCGGAGCGTCGAGCAGCCAGACGCGTGAGTGGTGTGTGGGGTCGCGCGAACTGTTTAATGGACATGCTTTTCTCTTTTGAAAGGTGGGACGCAGGGCCCGGGAAGAAGACCCCACCTGCCCTATTTCCACTTACGCCTCTGGATGTATCGTACGTCTCTACCATATACATAACCGATCTTGTTAGCAAACAGGGCGCAGCTGGCCGTCGAAAAGCGGGCGTCGCGTGCGACCGACCAAAACTCCGTACGCTCTGTTTGTTAGAAGATTGCAAGTAGTCTAGTATACGTTTGTGTCTCAATCTACTAACTCCTCTTCGATTCTACCCTAAAGACCTTCCCAACTCACACATTAACTAAGGCTTCGAAGACAACGCGTGAAACGTTGCATGCAGTCTATTTAGACAACTGTAGATTATTTAGCGTGAGACAATTGTGTGCTGTAATCGTGTTGAAACGCGGGTTCCACCTCGACGTCCGCACTGCGGCCATTTTTCAGCCGTTTCAGCTATTCTGCAGTCTGTAGCGCGGTAAGATCAAAAAGCTAACTAGTTATGCCCTCACTAGATTACTTAAGTCTCATTAGATCTGCCATTACATTATTTTAGTTACATGTACGAGTTACCCACTAGTGAAAATATTTATTTGAGGCCTTCGAAGTTTGCAAATTAGACGAGATCTTTTTTCTCTGATTCCTATGATATGCGTTGGTTTGCAGATTATGTTAATTTTGTTATTTGAATAAAACAAAATCCAACGGGATAGTTATTTCTTTTTTTTATGGTTTATGTATGACGAGAACGTTCACGTGTTTAGTTCGGTAAAAATAATAAAAACAATATAAATTTTGCATTAAGTCATAATTTAAAACATGTTTTGGTCTAGGTGAAGTTTTAGGTATTTTAATATACAATTTCTACGATCGCAGCCACAGATAGATGAAATAGGAGGCCATATATAACACTTTTGTTATTGCTAAGGGTTTATAAGACGGCAGTCTACGCTATCTCGCGCAAACTGTAAACATGGGGTTGTTAACCTGCGCCTGCGCACGAGCGACCCCATCTCTCGTATTGCGCACTTTATTCTTCTTCGAGAAAGTTTGGTTGCGAACTTTTTGCAACAACATAAAGTACTGACTACATTTTGACAAAATTTATTGTCAGCTTACTGTAAAACACTTGTAATCCGAACGGCGTGTGTCGCCGAGTATTGTAGTATCATTTACGCAATTTTTATACGACCTTGATACACTTGATAATGTTTACTAACACCGTCTAACAGGCGACCTCCTTGAAAATGAGCTCTACTCTAACGCGACTAGTTGCCAGGTGCCGACAAACGACGCTTCCGCGTACGCGATGGTTTCGTGTGTCGACTGTGCCATTTCCACTGTTTATATTTAACTATACATGTAAAAAGGTATCAGCTGTTGGTAGCGCTGGTTGGTAGGCAGTACTTCTTCCAAGTAGCTAAAATGCAACTATCAATTATAAATAAATACAAAGAAACTTTTATAGAGGGTGTACCATCATGAAACTGGTTACAAGGTGTCGGCATCGCCCTCCTCTTCTAGCAAACCTGTACAACGTAAAGTTCCGTTGAAGCGTAATAGTCGCGTTTGTTTACTAAAGAAACGGCCAGCAGCAGATCGGTGGTGGGAGGTCATTCAGTGGTGACCTTGGATCTATTCGTAATTGCTGTTTCTCGTTGTGTATAATATATGAGGACGCCATTTTAAGACGAGATCCAATGCGAAAATAATGAATATCTTTAATTAAAACCATCAATGTGTGTCTATCGTGTGTATAGCTATACAGATTAAACAAACTTAAAACGAACCACTCAAATGAGGGATCGTTTGCAATCCCTTATTGAGATTGAATACTAATTTGGAGTGACTAAAGCGCGGCTATGAAAAAGTAGATTAAGACATTAAATAAAATAAAGAAATTATATAATACTAGCTGTGTCAGCGACTTCACCCGCGAATAGTTATTTTGGACATAAAAATTGTTTTTGCAAACCATCTCATCTTTATAAGTTATAGCTGTTACCCACGACGTCGGTCCCGTCGTACTTGCAAGTTTTTCTTAAAATATAGACATACATATACTGTCGCAGTAGTTTTAGATCATTTGAAAGGAATCATTTTTTCATACACATTCTGGGCAACTTCAACCGTTTTCGCAGCGCACGCAACTTTCTTCACAGCCTGATGTTTTATAGCCTAAAGTCTTCCTCGATAAATACTCTAACCGACAAAATATTCAAACAAACAAACAAATTCTTCAGCTTTATAATAATAGTAAGAGTTACGTATTTCGTAAAGCTCACGCGGGTACTAAACATTTAGTGCAAAGCATAAGTTAACTAATTAATTTTGCATTTACTACAGTTGAAGGTGTTTTATTTAAATTGTATTATCTGACCCTGGAAATAATTTCATACATACCAGTAACAGTGCTCCGACTTAAAAGAAACAAAGAAAAGGTATTCCAATAAATTTAAACCTATCTATTAACCGTGAACGCAAATAACGAGGAGGATGGTTTCAATACGCGTTGTGAATAACGCATATGAAATTTCCTTCTATTGGTTCGTTATTTTATGTATTGCTTGTATTAACTGCGCAATATTTTGCCAAAGTCATATTAGTCTGAGTCTCCCTAAGAGCAGGCATTTTTAAGATGTAAATAAAAAGCAGATAATTTATCCCACAATCATATGTAATAAACGATAATAAAATAGATGTATGTGGGGGACACCGCTCAGCTCAGCTTTTTTGTACCCGGAAGTAGGCACATCGCCGACTCTGTGATGCCCCACGCTATATAGACTTGCAATATAATAGACAAATAATGTGTAGTTAATAAAATATTATATTGTTTTACTAAAATCGTCTGTCGGTAACGCTGACACACGCAAATTATAGAAATGTAATAACTGTGGGATAATTCCAATAAAATACTTCTACTGGCTTGAAACGTGGCAGAATATATTAATTTACTTATTTTTAACTGCAAGTTATATACTTCGCCTTGCAGGTCACGGCAAGACGCACAAGGACGCGGCCAGCGTGCGCGCCACGCACCCGATCCCCGCCGCGTGCGGCCTCTACTACTTCGAGGTGCGCATCGTGTCCAAAGGCCGCGACGGGTACATGGGCATCGGGCTGTCGGCGCACGGCGTCAACATGAACAGACTGCCCGGTGTGTACTAGCCGCAAGTAAGAGCCCTTAGGTACTCTTCTGCGGCGTGAAAGCGTCTTTCCCCTGCGCAAGACGACGGACTTCGCTCCGCCCCGGTGGCCGAGAGAGGTTTAGCTATGGGTACCGTGGCACAGAACACGGGAAGGCCGTTCGTTGTCCGACAGGAGTATAACTGGACTCTTTCGCTCTTGCAGGCTGGGACAAACACTCGTACGGTTACCACGGCGACGACGGGCACTCGTTCTGCTCCTCGGGCACGGGCCAGCCGTACGGGCCGACCTTCACGACCGGTGACGTCATCGGCTGCGGAGTGAACCTCGTCGACAACACCTGTTTCTACACGAAGAACGGCCACCACCTCGGCATCGCTTTCAGGGGACTACCGGTGCGTGTGATGGTATTAGCGCTTTCTGACCCAAAATTATACACCGAACACTTGTACATTCGTTACCAACGCACGTTATTTTGTCAGATCAATGAGTTATTCTGCAACCTTACACTTGTCTACTCTGAAATATCATTTGAGCAATTCAGCTTTATTTAGGTAGAGACTTGTCAAAATAGAATACATCCAAATAACACAGCTCTACTGGTTCTCGTTGAATTATTGCATCCTCTCTTGTTATATAGTAGTTAGCATAGTCTACTCTCCACAGCCCAACTTATACCCGACGGTCGGCTTACAAACACCCGGGGAGGTCGTGGACGCGAATTTCGGTCAACAGCCTTTCGTCTTCGACATCGAGGACATGTTGCGGGAGCTCCGGGCGCGGACTCGACTCGCGATCGACGAGTTCCCTCTACCGGACGAGCAGGGTCAATGGCAGCAGGTCTTACACAGGTATAAAGGCCTGCTCGCGTGAGCCATTTCAACCATCATCAGCCCTTTACAGTTAATTTATTAAATCAAATCGAAAATCATTTATTCACATAGTTACTACTCTACACTTACGAACGTCAAAACAGTTAACAATTTAAAACTAAAAATGTATATTTACTGGGTAGCAGTTCCCAAAATAAGGGCGTAAAAAGAACGTGGAAAACCGTCAAAAAACTCGTCGCCTTTCCTTTTGTTGTCAAGTTTACGTTTAAGTTTATTTACGCACTTAATGTGTCCATCATCTTCCTGGTTAGACCAGGTTCAGACCAAGAAGCATTGAAAATTTTAATATTGATTAACGTTATAATAACCCTTTCCGAGTAGTGTTTGTTTAACATACGATTTAAACTTATAAACAGATAGTGTTTGTACTTATGGGATTTTAATAAAACACCGTATTTAAGTAAAACAATTTAACGGTTTAAAACGCGATATATTATTTAAACTTATTTGAAAATGATTTTTAACTTCGGCCCGACGTTTCGAAACTAAAAATAATTTTCAAATAAGTTTAACTAATGTATCGCGTTTTAAACCGTTAAAGTGTTTTATTTAAATGTGTACTACTCGCGTAAACTATAGACAGTATAAAACACCGTATTACCTTGAAAATGCAGTTATCATTTTCACTTACTGGATAATTGAAATATGACAATTCCAGAATGGTTTCGACGTACTTGGTGCACCACGGTTACTGCAGCACAGCACAGGCCTTCTCTCGAGCCACCGGGGAACACATTCACGAAGATATCACATCTATCAAGAATAGACAACGTAAGTTCGATTTGAATTAAGGAAATGAAACCGATATAAACGAGACATTGACAATTTATATGAAACGATACACTTGTGACACAGCTTATGCAAATGTCAGTTACGACGAGACAGATGGCGCTCGCGTAGCAGAATTCTCTTTGACATAAGGGGCGCCCTACATATTTTGTTGTACAAAGCATTTCGGATGGTAGTTAATTTACTTAAATAACTTCAATTTTATCCATATTACTATTACATCTGTTTTAAGACATGTTTAAAACAGATGTAATATAAATGCAGTAGAAATGATAGTATAAAAATAAAAGATGAGGAAATAGGTTTTGTCGAAAATGCTGTGTTTTTGGGTATAACTCTCGATTGTAAACTCCAGTGGAGACCACACATTAAAAATCTTTCGAATAAACTAAGCTCTGCAGCCTTTGCTGTAAAAAAGATACGACAGCTTACTGATGAAAATACAGCCAAGCTTGTCTACTTCAGTTACTTCCATAGGGCAATGCAGCCGATATTCAAACCATAGGTATTTGTTTTGCAGAAACGAGCTATTCGATCGATTTGTGGTCTTTCCCCACGAGAGTGCTTTTCGAAATAAGTTTAAAGCATTGAATATCCTAACGCTGGCAAGTCAATATATCTATGAAAATGTTTTGTATGTGAGGAAAAACGTAGATTAGAACAAACGGCAGCTTTCATCAGTACAATACACATAATAAAGACAAAATAAGTGTACCAAACAAATGTAGTAATTCTTTTTAAGGTAACTGAATACGATACTTTAATAAAATCCCCAGCGAAGTGCAAGCACTCTCAATAAATAGGTTTAGATCGTATGTAAAACAAAAACTGCTTGAAAAGGGTTATTATCACGTTAAGCAATATTTAAATGATAAAAATGCTTGGGCTGTTGAGGAACCCGCTCTTACAAGGAAAAATATGTAGTGCACTAAAAGTAAATCAAGAATGTAAAATTAAACTTGGCAATAAAAGGACGGCGAGTTTATTGCCAGTTCTTCTCGTTCGTTCTACGCCCTTGATTTTTTCTTTAATTATTTTGTGACGTTCATAAGTGGACATGAATAAATGATTTTGAATTTGACTTTGACATTATTAATTGATCACGTTGAAATATGCAAGTAGTAATTGCTGATTCGGTTTGTGTTCCAGGGATATCGAAGCTAGTGATGAGCGGTCGCATCGGCGAGGCGATAGAAAGCACGCGAAGGCTCTACCCCGGCCTCTTGGAGCGAGACGCCGACCTCCTCTTCCTCCTCAAGTGCCGTCAGTTCGTCGAAATGGTCAACGGGACCGACTCGGAGGTTAATGCGGTCTCCCGCTGATAATATTCTGATAAAATTATGCTTTCGATCTTTCAGTTTTTCCAAATTCTATTTGCGCGGCATGGTGGGTTAACTTAACTTTTAAACTCATCGCCTCGGTTGAAGCCTGTGTCCAGCCGTGAGATTTTAATAAGTAAACAGAAATGAAGAACAAACAGTTTTATATTTACAAAGAAGAAAGTGCGTAATCAGTATCGAACCGAACGGAGAGCTGCAGCGGCTCACGCCCCGCTGATTTACTAGTATTAGGCGAAAGTCGTTCGATATGTCAAACCCCCCCGCAACCCGTTCCTTCCTCCAAAGTAACCTACAAATCGTACTTAGTGTATTGTTGAGATGTTTCCGGCTATTTTCCGTTTACTGTTATCGCTAACGAAATTATAATGGTGTTCCAGATGTGCGGCGGCGGCGGCGGCTGCTTGTCCCACAACGGCGTCGCGACCTCTGTCATTTCGCACACGTCGCGTGCGCACTCACCTGTGCCCCCGGACACACACCATACACATAACGGCCTCCACACCAACGGTCAGTCACGGCTCAAAGGACCAAATTATTTTTGCACTTTAAACTTGTTTCAGGCTTTTATTGTTTATACGGAAAACTATTAACATTGTTTCACTGAGTACTGAATGTAGGTAAGATACAATACCCTCGAATTAAAAAAAAATCAATCTAGTCTAACATCACAGTAACATATAGACTCAAACTCCATAATATTGTTTATTTATATTGAACTGTATACGTTCCAGGAGTGACGGATATATCTGAGCAGAAGCAGAACTGTGACGTAGATATGACCCCCGAGCCCGTCGCGCCCCTCAATCCCTGTGCCGCGCCCACTGCCCCCTCGACCGGTGCCCCGAACGGGGCACACGACGGTACGTATTCGCGAGACGTCAAAGTATACTATCATTCCAGATATCTCGTCATAGAGAAAGAACTGGTCGCAAACAACGAACAATTGATGTAAACTAATATGAACACGCGGTTATTTATTATTTGCACAAATCACTCATACATTGATATTTTATTTATGCACATAATAATTTATGACATTGTATTTATTATTTGCTCGTCGCTTTTTGTTCAGAAACGTACAGATTAATGTATTTATGAGTATTTATATAATGTACAATGAATTATAACGCCATCCCATTTAAGTAACAAAATTTCTAGTTTATAATGCAAGTACTTTGCGAACTTTTTTAGGCAAACTTTGAACGACTATAATGATAAGGCTCAACTTTGATAGAAGTTAATAATTGGTTTGGTTCCAAGTTTTGGTTTTTAGACTGGTGAATTTATAATTATATTGGTTCTTCAGCTTGATATTTATTACGAAAGATGTCTCGATGTTTGTTTTAAACATTGCCTCGAGTGAATTGATGATGAAGTATTTGGGTAACTTTGTATACTTCAAGAACCGTTATTAAAATTTCGCCTGTGTTTGGCAATTTACGACCTCGGAGGTCGCGGGTGGAACAACGCTTCAAAATTATCTTTGAAATGTTTGGTATGGTACTCGCCGTTACCCAAACAAACCAAATGCAGGAACTATGTTTGCTTAAAAAGGTTTTTCATAGAAGGTCAGTGGCTCATAGCTAGTGTCGCATGCGTCTTAACTCACGCCATTCGTCATTCGATATATTCGGTTGGAGAGCGAAATTCACTTTCGGGAGACTTATAGTGCAGCAAAAAGGTTAAGTTAGACACAGGTCAATTCTGTTGTTATACTGTCTGTAGTTTATTCTAGTTACTACTAGAGACAACACATTTAATATATCACTTTAACTGTTTAAAACACGATATATACTAGTTAAACTTATTTGGAAATTATTTTAACTACGGCTACTCGACTCATGACAATTCGAATGCTTTGCAGCGGTCACGGGGAGACTGAAGTTGGATCACTATAGAGACGCCCTCTCTAATGTCAAAGTACACGGTAAACAGATGGCGTAGTACTTTTTACTCTCCCTGTTACCACGTTAATACGGCTGCTGCAAAGCATTCGAACTGTCGGGCCGTAGTCAAAATAATTTCCAAATAAGTTTAGCTAGTGATATTATATTTAAAGAGTAAGTTGAATTTATGTCCATGAATGTTCAACAATAACGTGAAAGTGAATTTATCCACAACCGGAATCGCACTGAGAGCTTCTTAACAAATTAATTGCGCCTAAGAGGAACGCATGCACAACATTTGCGTTACAGGGATCCAGGAATGGCAGACAGGTAAAGATTTGATGGCGTTGCCATGGAGACCAAGCGTTTTCGAAATAGGTGCTTAGATAAGATGTAATACAGAGTGGCAACGATGGATTCTCCTACTTAAGCTCGTTCTTGCTTTGCTTGGGTTGAGAGTTTCTTCTTAAAACGACATCCACAAGGTGGCACTAAGACATCATGGCAAGAGCCTTATCAAAGGATCTTAAATATTTGTGTCAGATTTAATTATATTTTGTAAAATTATTAGGATGAGACCTCTCGCAGAAGTGGCGCCAATTAGAAACTTTAATGGAATTTAATTGATTCAACGATCCTTAAAATTTCACTTAAGAACGCTATTGTTTGTGGAATCCACCGTGGCCGCACTGTACGATCTGACAATAAAACCAACTAGCTCTCAACCGCAAAACGATAAACGAGGCTTTATTTCAGTTTTTATGTCATTCGAATAAGTAAAATGACTTAATACATCGGAAATTAGTTGAGAGTTGAGTTGACGGGTGCAAGGTTCAAGGTGAATATCTCTTTGGGCTGAGTCTACGATGCTCGTTAAGGATGCGTATATAGTAATTTTAAATGTAGTTCTCTCATTGGTCCTTAACGAAGAAGTAAAGAAAATTGAAAGATACCAAAGGACTTCAGCTCGAAGCACGATATCCACGTTGAATCTTCAGCAGCGGGGGCATACGAGGGTGGCTCAGCGGTGGGGGTGGTGGTTATAGGTTCGGAGCCAGTGAAGGGCATGCCGGGCGTGACGGCGTGCGTCGCCGCGCTCTTGTCGCCGCGAAAGTTCGGTGCGTATCCGTCCTATGTCGCGCGATGGGATTTTCATTAATGCATTAATGCAGAATACAAGGCGCGTCTGTCTGTCGCGATATTGATAAATATTTCCCTTATAATAAGATGCCATGGCGTGACAAACGTTGTGCTCGTTACATTCTTTAGCTTCTTAACCTTTAACATCGACGGAATTCCAAATCGCCTCTCGGCAATACGCCACAAACATTGAATCCTCGGTTAACGTATTCGTGCATCAATCACGCTGGGCTTGCTGCGGTCGCTCAATTGTTTAAAAGCTCATAATGTAAAAGCCGCTGCGACACCGACTATTAAGACTTTTCGGGGCTCAGTTGCAGCAGAATGATTCTTGAATTGAGTTTTTAAATTGTCACCTAAAAATGCCTATATCTATTTTGCTTTATTTATTTTCAAAAGAAAGTGGAAATATAATGATTACGCTTGAAGTAATAAGAAGCAGCAACCTCGGCGTCATCCACTGCCAAACCTTTCCGAAACTGAGACAACTTGGTTAAACTACCCTCTCCCGATATCTTGATAATTGAGCCTTAAACTGCTTCATTTTGATTTTAACATTGGATACGCATGGCCAATGGGATGGTGCATATCTAATACATGTGCCGATATATGCATGTTTATGCCTATTTATACATATGACGCACGACTCACACACACCCACACATACAACAGAAGTACACGCGCCCTTCACGTTTTCGATTCCCCCTTTCACAGTCCCCTATTCCCCCCCCCCGAGTTTTGTGAGTTTTATGAACTAATATTCTTTTTAACACTGTATCTCTTACGTTTTATCTTTTCGTATACCTTTTATTCAGTGTTATAAATTTACTATTATTAAAAATGAACTATTATTAGACCTAAATATAAATTGCATTAAACTGATAGAATTATTCTAGGAGGTCTAGGTGAATAACATTGGCTAGATTAACACAGCTATTAGAGTGAGACAAAATCAAAATGGGAAAAGGATAATAATGAGTGACTTGTGTGAATAGAAGGTGAGGGATGCCGTGCCTCCGTCGAGCGGATGTTGGCTTTCGGCCGCGAGCTGTACGCCATGAGCCAGAAACTCTCTCAGGACCATTATCACAAGTCAATGCTAGAGGTGAGTTTGTATTAATGTGCCTTTTATGATTTGGACACAAGCACGGGGTTTACTCGATGCTAGGATCCACAGCCGCACAATATCTAAACTAGATGCCTTGCCCACCTATTTCGCCTTTATTGGCAATATTCAGATATCCAGACGCCGTCCAAGATGTTTTACAAAAAATATTAATTGATTATTAGCCATACATTACAGCTCTTCAAGTTCGGCTCGTCTAATCGAGCAATAGTGCTACAAATGGCTAAGTTGTATGTTTACCTTTATTTGTAGCAGGGTGTGAGAGACTTCCATACATTTAGTCCTTCGAGCCGGATATTGCTGCTATTTTCCCTCTATTTACTTTAATGTAGTAATTGAAATACGTTTCAGGATGCATTTAGCCTCTTAGCGTACAGCAATCCGTGGGACAGTCCCCTCGGGTGGCAGCTAGAGCCGGTGCGCCGGGAAGCTGTCTGCGAAGCGCTTAACTCCGCTATTCTAGGTATGGAAAAACGATACTATTTAATTGATTGTAGAAGAGGTGCCACTAGTATTATATATTTTTTTGTGTGGGAAATGGAAAACACATATTTCTAGGTTTATTAAGCGTTCTACTTTCTCACTTTCTTTGAATATTTTCTCAATTAATGTTCTCTACATTATTATGAAATAAATCTGTTGCAAAACGGCACTCATTGGGTTTGGTTACCTCGCCTCCCTCTTAAACTTTAACGTAAACTTTTCGTAAAACTCTGCGATAGTCGTACACTACCGGTATTAGCTAACGGTCGTCGTGTATAGAATTTCAGGGCATGCAGTGGGTGTCCCCGGTGGAGGCGTGCGTGTCCCACTCGCGCGAGCTGCTGAAGCGCATGGCGCGGGCGTCGCTCGGCGCGTGCGCATTCGCGGACCTGCCCGGTCTGCTGCGCCGCTGACACCCGCGCCGCGCCCGAGCCGCGCCCCGCCGGCCCCGCCCGCGCGCCCCTCTCTAACCGCACGGACGTTTCAGTGGTTCATTCATAGATATATCATAGAATTATATTTAACAATAATCGAAGGAATCGGGGCACTCGATCGCCCCCCACTAATCTCATCCGAGGCTTTTTATTTTTTTTATATCGGATTATCGCGCCGCGAAACTATGAAATTGAAAAATATCTGTTTGTTCGTGTGTACGTTTGGCCTAGGATCGTGTCGATGTGAGCGGATGTTAGGGTTAATAAGACTTAAAATAGTGCCACCGCTTCGACCCAACATTAAGCTTTTCCCGGCCGATCGGTCGGGTGGACTCTTCGGAACACGTAACCGATCGGCCGAAAGCTTCGACGAATAATGATTATCGTTACAATATGACACGAACTGTTTGTGAGTAGTTCATTATATAAGGATTGAGGATTACGCCGCTGCTTTTAGACCGCGCGACCTCGAACGATCGCTCGGGTGCTCCTCGCTCTCTGGTTCTGCGGGATCCTAAAAGCGGTGGGGATGCGGGTTCTGTAGCTCAGGTCGGGCACACTGACACGTTTGCTGTGAAGGCGATTCACTCGTACTACTGGGGACGAGGATCTTGCGTCGCCCAGAGCTAGAGAACATACAATTTGTTTCTCGTGTATGTCTGGTATATGTATAGCAAGATCCGTGTCTACAGTAAAACGATTACGCTCTAATCTAATGTAAGTGATTTGGGTAAATAATAATCTTTGTTGAAATGTACATAGGCGAAGGCAAGTGTGTCAGTCTGCGGACGAACGCTACGCTGCTTTGTAAAGATGATTCTACAATATTGTTCTTATATTGTATTGTTTTCTTTTTTAATAATATATTGTGTTTAAACCGTCCGCGATGTTTTATTTCCGCCGATTTAAAGTTGCAAATTTGGTGTCGCCGACATTACATTATACTCATATATTAAACAAACAAATAAAAAAAAAATCATTAATTGTTATGAAAAGGACTTATCTTTAAATATATGTGGTAAGTTTCGGGTACATACATAACAAAATACTTACAGTACTAAACTTACAATTATGATATTCCTTAAAATACTTCTTAATCGTCGTAGCTATTGAAAATGTTAATATTTGCGCTGTCTAAGAGGAGAGAAACGAGGTTTTGCTGATAATCAGTGCTGATTCGAGACCATTTTGCCATCACTTTTCTTTTACTCGTAGGTTAATTTAATATATTAGACTATTGAATTTTATATATATATATGACATATATATATATATAAGTGGTTGTAATTACACCAATTTCAATGTCGTAATGTATCTCATTACGTACTTGTGCGATAATGTAATGTAAAAGGCACGCGTTTTTTAATAAAGTTTTAAGATACTCCGTCTAAAAATGAACGATACTTTTAAAAATCTTAGCAAAGAGGTTTTATGTCAAAAAAGTGGTCAATATTTTATGAATAAAATTAACTTTGGGAAATAAAATATAACAAATAAACATTTAATTCTTTAATTTAATTAATTTTGACAATAAATTACAACCATTTATCTATAACAAAAACACAAAAATATTAATTCACTTTATTAGTAATACTGGCTGTTTTTGTACCTTGGCTAAAAAAAAAACGTTGATGCGCGTGTTAGATTATTCTGATAATTTAAGTTCTTTTGTTACACTAAGTTATGTTTTAATCTCAATTAGTCTCTAAAGTCATACAGATATTCTATAAATATTACAAAATTGTATTAAGACAAATGTAAATGTAACCGTTTAATTATTATAGCTATATAACAACTTATTAACATGTGAAACCGAATTAGTACATTCTAAATACAGTGTCCTGTTTAAGACATATAATTATAACTTATTTTGAATCATGTATTTTATGTAAAGCTTTTCTTTATAAATAAGACGATTTAGTTACTGATAAAACGATTGTTCAACCAAATTTATAATTTTACTATTTAATTTTTCTATAAATGTATTATGTTAGTTTTACGTTGAAATGATGCAACATCAATATGGAATTGCATCATCCGATATGACGTCACTGGGCCCATATAATGGCGCCCCAGCATTCCCGCCCCTGACACTCACTCCCGCGAAGCCACAGCGGACGGACCTAAATCGAGGAAAACCCTACACAGAAGTGAAATGACGCAACATCAATATGGAACTGCATCATCCGATATGACGTCACTGGGCCCATATAATGGCGCCTAAATTGAGAAAAACCCTACACAGAAGCGAGATGCCATACCAAACGGACTTAAGTTAAGTGAGCCCTAGCTTGTCTTTAGTTTATGTGTCTATTGTTATTTTTAGCGATAGTAAAAGTAAGTGTATATTTGTTTAACACTTATTGTATATAAATTAAAGCATTATTGTGTCAACCATATTCATGTCTTCTTATTTATGTATCAGTTTACAATTTTTAAGTAAAAGAGTTTTATATACAAATTATATTTGATATATATATAGATCCGACTATCTACATTTTTAGTATTAAAGTTTTAACTAATCTTTTACGCGCGCATCGCTTATTTGTGGACAAGTAAAAATAATTCCGCTCGTTTTTTCTTTTCGCTGTATTGTTTTTATTTGAAAATGTCGTCAAGTAGTGATGAATTTATTAATTTTATTAATTTCCTCGTAAATATGTTATAAAACGTCGTATGACATACGTGCGCTTTGACATTATATCAAAGGAAAACTTAAAGCGGATAAATCAGAACAGAAGAATGAGAAAAAACAAAGTCAAGTACAAGTATTCGCAAAGGGGAATTAATTATTTGCAAGTGGCGATTAACGACAGTCGATCAGTGGTTGAAATTATTGTCAATGTTTTTTAATTTTCCTTAAACCTCCTCTGAAATGTTGTGTCATATTTTTAGTTATTTGAAACATGAAACGTTTCGTTAGCTACATTCGGAAGCCATTTTGTCTCACGTTGCTACGGCGACTCGTGATTGGTTGAAAACAGCAGTTTTGTTTCGATCACAAGTCGCTTTGATCTTGCAGCGCCCTCTGTAGTAGATAAGTCATTTTGGCGTCGATTTTTGTGACATCCAAATATTCTCTAAATTAAATCGCGATTACTAATGTTATACATCTATTTATCGAAAAAGTGTTAATAACTGAAAATGTTAAAAACTGAAACGAATTGTTTTCTCTGCGCGTAAGTAGATAAGTAGAAACAAAGTGCTAGAATAGAGAACTGTGCAATAAAGAAGTGCCGTGACTTTTAAAACGTGCGTTTCTTGCTTCGCCATCGACGGATTCATGTTGGAAATGCTACGTACTTAATTTTTAGTGTTTTCTGCCATCGCGTCATTATTGTGGCGGTTGTTGTAAGCTTATCACAAACTACCCACGAGATCTGTTATGTTTGAAGTTTAGAACTCACTTGAATAAACCGAAGGAATATCACATTTAATTGAATGAGGAGTTATTGGATAGCCACATTTTTGTTTACATTTCATTAGGCGTAGTTTTGCGGCTTTAACTTTTAATATAATATGTTAAAAAGACAAATTCTTAGTTGCGATAGTTAAGTTTTTAGAGTAATTTGGACAGAAGTAAAGCAACCGATGATCTTTAGCATCCCACGCAATGCATCGCTACTTCAGATCCCTGAAGAACATCAATGTGAGATTTTCCTAAACTCGTATATATATGCCACAGTAACAGCAAATCGCAGTGAAACACCTTTAATTTTAGTCACAAGCTGACATGTGTATCAGCATAAACATATCTAACCTAAAGTTAAAGATGTTAAATATCCTTTTTTCCAAATAGACATAGGGAATGCCTGTCGAACGATACATTAAGGCTATGTAATGGTTTTTAATTTGCTTTGACCAATTGTGTCGCACCGAGATCCAATTGCAAAGCATTGAACGCTGTACAAATTTCTATTGCTTATAAGCGACCTCTTTTATTCCCTTTAGATAAAATCTCAAAAAAGAATATCCTTCATCATTATAAAAATATATAAACAGAACCCATCTTCCATATGACCTATCCACCTGCTCAAATTAAAAGTAATGTCAAAAACTGGAGTTTAATAAATGAAAAATTGATTTTAGATTGTAAACCTTTTACGACACGGGCGCGGTACCTAGAAACGGCATCCACAACGTTCCGTGCTATTGCTCTAAACTTAATTTTAAATTTATTTAATGCCATCATGTGCAATGTCATCTGAATAATATTTTTTATATACTGAATAAAGTTTTTTGGAAACCGAATTCTTAAAGTGTGTGAAATCCTGTTCCCCCTCGTGGCTGGGGCGAACACATTTCTGTGTCGTTTCATGATCGGTTCTTAAACAGGCAAGTAGTCGATCAAACTTCTGTGCCCTACCCGGAACAATTTTCCCCTGGGTCTCGAATCTAGTACGCATAATGCAATGCTAGGCAATACGTTTTACTCAAGGATTCGGATATTTCTTTAAACTACCTTCCGACGTTATTAATTCCAAAGGGCGATATCACAATCCGTCGAATTTTCTATATGAAAGGCAAATTATAATATATAAGTATCTATTTCTCGCATGATGTTTTAATACTTTAGTATTAAACATCATGATGCCTTCCTCGATAAAAGCTGTAACCAAAACAAATAGAACTTTCAATTCGAACGAGAGGTTCCCGAGATTATCGCGTTTAAACAAACAAACTCTTCAGCTTTAATATATAAAGTATTATAGATATCAAAACAACGGTTGCCAGGGCGGCTTAGTATGTTTTTAACGTTTATATAGAATTAATACTCTCATTTCTATTTTGGACATAATCTGTTAAAAATAAACGATGATTACACAGAATTTTGTGCACTGACCTAAATGGATTTTGCATATTTCCGTCCAAAACCGTATTCGAAATTTAAAATTCCACCCGCCACCGAAATTATTTCAATCATAGCTTTTTCCGTCTTCAGTAGTCCATTGATTATAACGAATCATTGAATAATTATGATAATCGTTCGAAATTAAGGGAAAAGGGGGAAGGGGGACGCTCGAGTTTATAAAGAGGTGATTGCTAGAATATTTAGGGGACGAATTACGACGCGATTGTCTAACGTCTGCAAATAGATTTGACGATTTTTTTATATTGATTGTGCTAAGGTTAAAATTGATTGAATTAAAGTTATTATTTATCAGAAAAGATTATAATTTCATTGAAGATCAAAATTGTTCACAGAGTTCGTTTGTTTTGACGGACTCGGTGCTCTAATGGTAGCAAAGTAAGGCTAATAATCGACGAGTCGGGGGTTCGATCCCCACCGGGTCCATATTTCTAATCTTTTTTTTAAACTTTGTCTGGAAGTCTGAATTCGAAAGAGACGGTAGGAATATCTAAACTTTATCCGACCCACGAACAACCTTGACAGATGAGAATGCTGATAAGTTGAATTGCGATTCGGTTTCAGTGTGGGTTTTCGAATATTCATAGACAAAATTAATTATCTTAAACGCACTTGCTTTAAGATATTAAATGGCTGGTTATGTATTTCACTTATTATTAGTTATTCAACATATTATAAAGAAGACTAAAAAGTATATACTTCACACTACATTCTACACGATGAAAAATTCAAAGGCCATGTAATAGATGACACTGTTATTATAGGACATGGTCATTTATTTTATTCAATCTTTATTGCTACCGCAAAATAAATAAAAATAATAGTTATTTAGGCGGCCTTATCGCTAACGAGCAATCCCTCCCACATTACATTATTTGCGAAGAAGAATTTAAATAGATTTCGCTTCGAGACTATATCAATGCAAAATAAGAGCTCGCGAGAGCACCTAGATCGTCGGCTAGCGCAACAAATTGAATGAAAACATACAATATTTACTTTCTTTGAATGCACTTCACTTACAGAGCGGACTTCAAACATATCCCAGTATATATTCTGGAGTAGGCAATCTATTAAGAAAATACTGAATTATTCACGATGGGTCTTTCTACTTGTCTTTACTATACCTAACAATAGTTGATACTTTTAAATAAACACTTGAAACGCGATATTTATTAGTTAAACTAATTTAAAATTCATTTTAATAAAGGCTCGACGTTTCGGTTTCTTTGCAGCAGCCGTGGTCACGGGGAGATTAAAGATAGAGGGTGTCTCTGACGTCAAAGTAAAAAACTGCTACGCTAGCGCCATCTGTTCCGTCGAAGTTGATATTTGGCGAAACTCATACTCTTTTTTGGCAAATTTTTCTCTAGTATCTGTAAAGTTTAAAAAGCCTTTTAGACAGATGCTCGATTCGGCGTGAGAGCATGGCGAGGCATAATGAGATTGTAAGCTGTGCCAAAAGTTACGGTGATTTTAAACATGAAGGCACGACCTAGCCCCATATTCAGATGTTCCTTAGAAATTGTGTCACCCAGATAGAGGCTTATCTGCACATACTGTAAATGTTTCATAGCCAAATATAACGTTACTAGCTGTGTCAGCGACATGTCGCGTGAATGTTTATTTTGGGCATCAAATGTGTTTTTGCAAAATACAGCTGTCACCCACGACGTCGTTCGCGTTTAACCTCAGGGCGACGGGTCGCCCTTGCAAGTTAATGTTAAAAGAGATATAGTGTCGCGGACATATTTTTAAGATCATTTAAAAAATTATTCTTTCATACATATTATTTGGGTATTCAGAACCGTTTTCGCAGCGCACGCAACGGAAAACCACAAAGATTTATATAAGACACTAACGGTTTCAAACGCGAATTAATATTTGAAAATGATTTTTAACTTCGGCCCGACGTTTCGGATGCTTTACAGCCGTGGTCTCCACGTGACCGTGTACTACGCGAGTAGTACCGGTCGAGTATTTAACCACAAAGATGATTAATTTTCCCACACAGTTTTCTCCACATTTCCCGTTGTTTCTTCGGTCCTATTAGTTACGACGCGATGTTTTTAGCCTATATCCTTATTTGATAAAACCTCTAACCAACACAAGAAAAATCCCAGTAGTTTCTGTGATTAGTGCGTTCATAAAAACAAACTCTAGCTTTTTATATCAGTATAGATATATGCTATAATGCAATAGACGTACGTAATAATATCGAATTGTTCTCGCAAGTCCATAGATTGTCACGGAAAAGTGTCTTAGCTGTGTTTTAACAATCGAACCAAAGCATAGCTGTAATATTACGTGATTCTCAATGTTAAATATTAAAATAAGACGGCGACCTAAACGTCTGCGAAGTGCGCCTAATTGGAATTGAACAAACCAAGTGATACTTATTGGATTCCCGGTTCTCGACTTGTACTGTCGCGGCTTTTTTAATATTTGATCTGCATATTTATAAAGCCCGGTCGACGCCGCGGGCCGCGGTCTCCTCTCGATTCTACTTTATTTTATTCTGCGCCATTGTTTGTTCTAGCTGAATGTCTTCGAGACATTGAGCTGGGATTTTATCCATAAACAATTTATAATGCAGCTATTTCGTTAAACATACTGTTTGTAGTGTTTCGTCTTTCACATTTAGGTTGATAACGCGTAATAAAAATAATTGTTTAAAACTTTAAAACATGTGTTAATACTTAAATAATTGTAAATTCATTTTTAAAAAAACTTTAAATTACGCTCATATATAAACAATTGAAAATAACATTTTAATCTTTCAATCCTACTAGTGAATAAATTTACAACAATGTATGTATTTAAGTTAAGCATATTTGGGCACTATCACATGGTACGTAGCCGGCCTGACCATAATCGCAAAGCAATTTAAGGAAGAACTCTCCCGAGTGGCGTTTGTAAGCTTTTCGAATGACAGAAAGGTTGCTGTCCAGCACCATTATGTTGGAGGAGTTGCGTGTGGCCCGAGCCCACTCCACGGGCAACGCCTTGGTCTTCTTTATTGTTGGCTTGCTGCAAAACGAAGTGAGCGTTAAGTACTGCTCAAAAGTAAATCTTCTCTCTTCTAAGTGCGACATCGGACTGACGACTTTCGTGTAAATTGTATTTAAACAATGATATTACCCTGACATTACGAACTAGACTATTTGTAAATAAAACACTTTAACGTTTTAACACGCGATATATTAGTTAAACTTATTTGAAAATGATTTTTAACTTCGGCCCGACGTTTCGGATGCTTTGCAGCAGCCGTGGTCACGGGGAGACGTTAAAGTGTTTTGTTTATGTGTACTACTCGCGTAAAGTATAGACAGTATTTAAACTATATTTTTTACATACACAAAGAAGAAATAGACTACAAAACCTGACATCGTAAAATATCGGTGGAAGAGGAAAATAATATAATGGAGAGTGTTTGCCGTTTACCTGTATGAAATACTAAATTTATTTGCGTAACGTTAACGTCAACCCGATTTTGAATATCTTTTTCTGTATTTCTTTTTTTTAAATAAATAATTAAATTGTTCGATCAAAGAAAATACCTGCCTATATTCTTATTACAACAAACTTGGAAGCGGTTAGCGGACTCACCCATATCTCATGAAATTCGTTATCATCGTTGTCAATTTTTCGATAAATTTCTTGTCTCTCGGCGACGTCCACAAGGGAATACCGAAAGGTTTGAAGATATAGAACAGCTCCCCGGCGTGTACGGGCCCTGGCAGGTGCGGGATAAAGGTTTTTGCGAATTCCCTGCCGCCTTCGTAGGCGAATAAGTAATTGTAGACTGGTTCGTGCGAATACTTCGTGAGCACTTTCGAGAAGGCGACGTTGGCTGCGTACGCCACCCAGTCGGAGTAGAAGCTTATTAAATCCCTCACAGAGTCCATCGTGATATCACGGTTTCCGAAGTAGTGACTTCGCAGTAGACGCCCGATCTTCTTGCGGTTCGATGGACACCACGAAAACAGAGATGGGACGGTTTGTTCGAAGTTGTCATTTAGGTACGCCACCGAGCCAGAATCTAACAGGCCGTAGAAGTAAGAGCCTTCGCACTCCGTGTAGCCCATCATCACGGGCACTTGGTTGAAGTTCCCGGACTTTATTAGGTCGTACGGGGCACCTCGAAAAAATGGATCCGTGCTAAACGTATCCACACACGGCGAGTACTTGAAATGTCTAGGATTCACAGAAGTGTCTTTGGTGGCTTCTATTAATGTGTCCAACGGCGTTGCGTTAAAAGTTTTAATGACGTCATGTTGTGTCGTAACTATTGCCAATTTTCGAGCATCCTGCATTGCCGGTTCGACCGGCTCTTGATTAAATGCCCAGACCGACAACGCGGTGCCGCTCATCAGGATAACTCTGTGGAACAAACCTTTGCTGGATTCGGATAGGAGATGGAAAGCAGCAGAACTGGCTCCGGCGCTCTCTCCGCAAATGGTCACATTCTCCTCGTCACCATTGAAGGCTGCTATGTTGTTTCGTATCCATTTTAAGGCGGCGACCTGATCTCTCAGTCCTAGATTAGTAATTTCATTTAAGCAGAGGAACCCCAGAACGCCCAATCGGTAGTTGACCGTTACGACTACGACGTTCTTGAGGACGAGGAATTGTGGGTCGTACAGGTTCTTAGCGCCCATGTAATAGGCTCCGCCGTGGAAGTAGACCATGACGGGCACTTTGCTCTGCGGTGGCACCGACTCTGGCGAAAATACATCGAGAAGAAGGCAATCTTCTCTTCCGAAGACGAGGAACCTCCTCCACTGAGGGCATCTTAGCTCGGGGTTGCGATGGATCGCTTCGTACACCCCCTTCCACTTTTGGGGTTCACTTGGTCGCTGGAAACACACATTCAAACGTTACGGATTTTAATAACTGACTTTATTTACTTGTATTGCATACGTGCTCTATGAGAACTACAGACGCAGAACGATGCATATGATGATCTATCGATTCTAGATTATTCCAATAATAATAATACCATAAAACGTTATTATAGCCGTTATCGTTGGCTTATTATTATTAATAGAGTATTGTTAAAAATATTCCACGATCGCTACATATTACATAACTGGGGAAGCCATTGGTGTAAACAAACTATTGTTTAATTTTTGTCATTATCGTTTGCGTGGACTCTGAGATTAATTATATAGATACGTTATAATTTATGTCTTATTTTACATATCTAAATCATAGCTTATTTACAAAAAGATAATTGCAGCAAATAAATATACAGATGTGCAGAAAACCTTAGTCGTTCAATTCCTATTTTAAATACTTCTATCTTTGAATAAATTAACAACCATTAAAAGAAAACAACGGATTTATTCTATGAATCGTTAATACGTTTATTTAAAACAGTAATAACAATGCAATAAACAGTTTTTATTATTATTAGTTATTATTAATAACGGTTTAAAATTCGAAATATATAGCCTTTTACAAGAATTGTCGGTGGTTGTCTCCCTCGCCGCTGCAAAGCGACCAAGCTTTGGACGGTATGTGGCGTATTTTTTGATGGTTGGTGGAGTATTTTTTTTAGATGTGTACTAGTCGCGTAAACTACAAACTAAATCAAATGCATGTCTAAGTTCTTTAAATAGAGTAGGCCCACATGTGGGACAATATTTACCCGAAACCTGTCGGCCACCGCGTACGGTATGTTATAATACCGGTTTTGTCCAAACAAGCCTCTCAATCCGCGCAACTTGCCTTGACTTATTTCCACAATCGGTGTCAGTAAGCTACACGCACACGCACAAAGCACTAGTGTTTCTAGGATTTGTATGTTCATTTTTGTTCACTTTATCATCAACATCAAATACCATTTTAATATTGTTTTAGTGAGAAGTTGCATAATTAATTAGTCTTTAATCAATATCACGTCAGAATGCCTCGTCAGTCTGTTTTCTTTCTTGCGGCGTTCCTTTGATTCGCCGTCGACCTTTCAACTCACATCCGACGATTTTTACTTTGAAGAATCCGCGAGCACTTTCCTCTCAAATATTTCAGATCACACGAATTATGTTAGTCGTTGGGAAACGTCGATAGCGTTGAATCATGTCGCACGTTCTACGGTAAGTGAGGTTTTTGCGAGCTTTCATCGGTACGTGACGAAAGAGTCTCTCTCATGAGCAGATTTCGCAAAACACGACAGACTGTTCACAATAGTTGGTACACCTCGTTCGTAATTCTTGCTCTCTACTCTATCGGGCGTGAACCGACAGTTTCGGGTGTTTTATTTGATCCGATGATCTGACAAACATCGGTCTCAGAAAATGCTCGTCACCAATATTATCAAAACTAAAGCTCGTCGAAGACACCCTTAGTTAATTCCACAAGGACCCGGGCAGTTTCGCCAAATACCAACTATTTAAATAAAACACTTTAACGGTTTAAAACGCGATATATTAGTTAAACTTATTGGAAAATGATTTTTAACTTCGGCCCGTGCCCACGGCTGCTGCATAGCATCCGAAACGTCGGACCGTAGTTAAAATAATTATCTAATAGGAAACTAACATATTTCGCGTTTTAAACCTTTTTAAAACTAACGTTCTAACATGTTAAGCCAAAGAAAGGCCTACTGCCTGTTAATATTCTCGTAATCTAATCTCGCGATCATGTTGTAAACTTCCCGGTGCGTTTAATGCATGTTCTTGCGAGTGTATTAAGTGTTTGTTGGATGTATTTATTTCAAATAGCATTCGACCAAAAGACGCGGTTAAAAGCCCACGAGTCCAGCCAGTTTACGCGGTTGTTTTCGCGGCGGTCCGAGAGTCGCAGGAGACACACCAGCGCCGCAATAAAATGAAAAAGCGACGCTTTTAATTCTGCTTTCCTCTTTGGCAAATGCGAGTAAAGTGCAACAATCGCGTCGAGCGGCAATTTGTTATAAAATGTAATTAACGTGGCCGACTGAAGCCGACCGGCGACCGGACTGCGGAGACCGGGCGGGAGCCGGGGGTAGGGGGGGCCGGTTAATCCGGGTAATAAAGAAAAATACCCGGCAAGCGGGTTAATTGTTATAAACTGGGCAAACATGCAAATTGGAAGAACTTCCTCGGCCTTTTAATTGCGAAGTTATCTCGTAGTTACGCTACGCTGCCTTCCGCTGCCTTCGGCTTTTCGAGGCACGGACTCGTTTCAATACCGGGAGGACGCCCGGGAAGGTTTCCTAGTCGTGGGAGGCCTTTCCCGGCTTAGGAAAGCGTAATAATTTGCCGGGGAAACGATAAATTGTTTCGTTCAGCGCTAACAAGTCTTGTCCATCACTTACCTTTATTCAATCTATTTTTTCAAGTTTAATTACTTGTCAAATGCACATCGATTACTTTGTTGGAATATTGAAGAGAACTTTCATTGCGTTCACCTTAACGTGACAAAGTGTATAATTCTTTATATGTATGGCTAAACTCATTACAAACCAATTACCGTAAGTTACCTTCAGTAAAGGATTGAAAAAAAAAAATATCGACACGAGCAAGACTTGAACCGGCCTCCACAGTGTTCCGTGCAGTTGCTTTAACTAAAGACATTATGTAAATTTAATAATGTCTTGAAAATATTCGTTTTCAAAGGATAATTTTTTAGATTAAATGTTTTATACTATCACTTGTATTGGGATCGCAAAACAACGCGGGCGTAGAAATGGAGCGAGTGAGATTTTTATTTACAAAGTAGTTATTGTTTGAGTTGTATTGAAATGACGGAAATAGACAGACAGAAGCAGAGGGCCGTCGGACGCTGTTGTTTGTCTTTTTGTTCGTTGAAAACTTTGAGTCCTATCGTATCGCATTTGCACTCCGCTAAGACTTCGGCCGGGCTGCACTCTGATATGATGCTGTCTTCTCACGCCAATGCAAATGAGGTCATTATAAACATTCGAATCGTGTTCTTTTAATTTTCTTTATATACTGCGCTCTCGTACCAACTGCCTTATCTATGCTGATGTTCTTGAATTACTGTTGACGGTCAATTTAAGAAACTGTTTTTCCGTCAATACAATAAGACAAAAGGGCGGTAATTTTATTAGTAAATAGAGTTTATCTTTTTACTTACATGATATAGCTTTGTTTTATATATCAATAAAGCAAAGCTATACTTATTATAGATGTTACCGAAAATCAATGAAATCCGTTTGTACATTTACTCTGAAATTATTGTTATTCCTTAAATGTACAATGTACAAAATAAACTATATTCGACTCATAACAATCGGGATATCAATGGACTTTGGGCTAGAAGCGATAATCCATATCATATTCAAGATAAAACAAACAAAAACAAATAAAAGAAAAATTTTATATTATACTTCAACACTTATATTCTAGATTACGAAGCTCTCATTATTAAGATAATCATATAAAATAACATGATTTTTTTCCTGGACGGTGATATTGAAACGAGTGCTCTGACAAAAATATTATTCTATTGCAGTTATAAAGCTTCAGTTTTATGCATTGCCTAAATGGCATCGGGGTTTAATAAATTTCCAAAATTACCAGTTACATAGATACACAAAAATACATTAAATTATACATTTTGAAATTCATCATGCATTCCTATGCAGTTGCCTTATATCCTGGCTCTACATTGTAAACGACACTTTATTGTAATACCTACGTAGATCTCTGATTTTTACAAAAATAATATAAAATCTATCGTAAAATAAATCCCCTATTTTTAGAGTTGAAACGCAAATGACACTCAATTAATATTAGCATACAAATGCTTATAACTTGATTTTTCTAAAATTGTATCTACGTAAATTTTTATTTAGAATTTTAGGTCAATAATACAAAGCAATCCGGTGTATTGCTTAAAAACAAACCGAGGCCACTTTTGTCCATAGACATCGTGGTCCTTTTTGCAAACTTTCATTTTTATTTCATACAAAATTGGTAACTTCACTTTATACAATTTTAACGTTATATTCTGTACGACTTAAAAAAACATATTGTTAAACGGTTCAAGGAAATGTTGTACCAAGACTAGATATAACACGTGTTTTTTCGTAACAAATAATTATTGTTCAATCATTACTTTTTAAATTTCAATTAGACCAGTGTGTTTTATAATATTTGAAATATAAACTATTTTGATTCTTTTGTTGAACTTGTAAGCAACATTTACTTGATATGGACATAGAATATCTACTGTTTTTATTTATTTTTACGACTGTAATTTACACTCAACATATTAAACTACCTACATTTAATACATAGAGGTACTAAAAATCAAACCTTATCGAGATCCATACTATAAAAAATTTAATATTGTGTGGATAAGTATATTAAATATATAAAAATAATAATAATAATATGAAAATATTATCAGAAGGATTAAAATATAAAAAAAACATTCTCTTCGTCTGTATAATAGCCGAAAGTATTGCTCGTTTTCTTCCGTTCCGTTTTATTGATACAGATACCAGTGACAGCCAATGCCATAAACAATATAATCGTCGAATCTAAATAAATGCTATATTAATATTGAATAGACATATTACACAATTAAATGCCCGTTTTCCTAACCCTGTACCGTTTCTCCTATTACTAAATGACTTAGTGGCACGATGTCTTTCGACCTAATGAAAACCGTAGTTTCTTCTCCTGTACTTGGTGTAGGTCTTGTTCCAAAGTCTGACAGATCGCTCGTCCCACATGGGCGCAGTGGTTAGATGTCGGTCGATCACCAGCGCAGTGGGGTTCCACGATCGACTGGGGCGCCATTTTACTGGCAAGAGAGATGAGGTACGCGGCGTCGGGTCACTGAAAAACAAAATACATTTTATTTATGTGCACAGCAACGCCTACCCAATATAAAATACTAGCTGTGTCAGCGATTTCGTCCGCATAGAATAGTCAAATTAGTTTGGGCATCCCACATTTTTTAGCTTAAGCTTTAAATTTGTAGATGAAGAGGAGGTTTTCCTCTTCATCTACAAATTTAAGCTGTTACCCACGCCGTCTGTCGCGTCCCGTCGTTCTTGCAAGTTAATTCTAAAAGACAGACTTATATTGCCACAGATATTTTTTAGATCCTATAGAGATGACTCATTCTTATGTACATATATTTTTTTTCTATCTTAAACCATTTTTGCAGCGATGGGAAACCCACTAAGATCAAATACCGCTGTAATGCCTAGTCGCAGCGCGATGCTTTTTGACCTATAGCCTCTTACATAAATGCTCTAACCAACACAAAAATATTTTGTCAATTCGAACCAGCAGTTCCTGATATTAGCGCACTCAAACAAACGAACAAATTCTTTAGCTTTATATATTAGTATAGATATTCCGTTTTGGGCTGCTCTAAAGGTCTAAATTTCCCAACGCAACCGCATTGACCCGCCACAGAGACCTCGTAAAGAGCAATAGACAGACTTGGCACATTTAATTGCGAAGGTGATAAAGCAAATGATGCATTTAAAATGCAGATCACGGACCTCTTATGATATCAAAATTTATTCCCACCTCCGTTAAATTCGCCATTTGTATGAGCAATCACGAATTTACAGATGTGACTATATAAATAGTTAATGCGGTTTTTTATTGTTCAAATAAGATTTATCAAAGAAATATGCATAGTAAGAATCCCTTATAAAATTTTTATTATTATTAATAAGTAAGTAAGTTGTCTTGAAGTAATTGACTGACGTATAGGAAGTGGTTACCTGCAGTGTGCAGTTCAAAATCCACGAGCAGTTAATACATATTATATTTAGTCGAAACATGAGGCAATTCACAACTCATACACAAAATATATTACGATTATTTCCACAAGATTTTACTACACGTTAGTAAAATTGTCTTATTTCATGTCCCGACACATCACCACATCACCATCACCCGACGCAGCAGATGTGGTTTCCGGGTAGAAAAGCTAAGTCTAAATAATTTATTTCGCGTCCTAAACCGTTAAGTGTTTTATTGAAATCTTCAAAACCGTCTTCAATAAAAGTAACTCGGTAACGTGTTATTTACATAATTAGTACACAAAGTAAAATTAAATTGATTTTAAGACAAATTACATAATTCCAACAACATGATGGAAAATTCTAAAAAGGTCATCTTAGGTATTAGATGTCGGTAAATAGATGTCGTGTAGTATTTACTGAAGGACGTATTTGCATAGACCTCGACCGCCCTTGTTGGTCTCTCTTTATCGTCTCAAGATTTTGAAAAAAAAACACTGACGTATAAAAACGGCATTTCTCTCGTTACTAAGCTCATTATTTAGTTTATAAATAAAGGGAAACAATTTCTTTGAAGTGCGCATACGCTGTCTGTTTACTTAGATCAATTTAGAAACTAATATGTCAGACGTAAGGACCATTTACTGCCAATTAATGGGCGCCAAGCTTTAGACGTAACATAAATATGTTAAATATAAACACTGAACAGGAAAAATACTAGTCACAATGTTTTTAATTTTATGGGTCCCACGACCACAACGAGGTGCCACTTCGTCATTTACGATCTATCGCTCTAGTACAATGGATTGTCAAGTCGTATTGACTATTTTTAGAATTTTGTAAAGATTTTGTAACTATGTCAAAACGTGGGTGACATTAGGCACGCAAAATGTTTCTTAGGCTAAAAGTTGCTCAAATGGATGCCTCAAATGTTGTACGTACCCATGCTTGGCGAAATTAGTCCAGAGCGTGACCATGCGCTGAATCATTTTGGTCTCCAAGTAGCGAGTGGGCAGGGGGAAGGTGTGGGGCTTGAAAAGGTAAAATAGTTCGTCGGCGTGCGACGCACCCTTCGTGAACGCGAATTGCGAGATGATCTTCGGCATGTTGATGTATCCGCTGTACTTGAACAAGTAGTAGTACATCGGCTGCTCGTTCGTCTTCGCGTACAGCTCCGACTCGATGACCGCCGGATATTTGAAATGCAGATCTGAGTATAAATTAACCACGTCCATTATTAAATCCTCTCTCCCCGATCGAAAGTAGTACTCGTTAATCTCCTGCACGGTCGCATTTTTACTCGATTCGGACGGAAATTCTAGATCCTTCTGCAGTATCTCTATCGGCTTCACTTTTAGACTGTTTCCGTAGTCTTTCGATACGAAATAGATTCCCTCTCGGTCGTTGTAGCCTATGATCATAGGCACTTTCGTGTAGTTGCCCGAGCCGATGACGTCGGCCGGATACTCGGTTATCACCGGCTCCACTCCGGGTATGATACTCTCGACGCACGGCGAAAAGAGCGTTTCTGCTGTTATATAGTTCTTATTCTTACCGTATTTTATACCGTTGATTAACTCTTCGACACTTTTCTCGGCCAAAGTGTTATAGATTTGATAAGGGTCCGTGCCGTTGTATCCGAATTCCTTGGCCAGATTGCTCGCCGTTACGATGGGGTCGTGCTGGAGGCCCCAAGGGGCTAAAGTGGAACCGCTCTGTAAGATCGCCCTGTGAAAGAGCCCTCTGGAAGCGGGCGAGATTATATGGTACGATACCGAGACCGAACCGGCGCTCTCACCGAACAGCGTGATATTATCAGGATCGCCACCGAAAGCCGATATATTATCCTTGATCCACCTCAACGCCGCTATCTGGTCTTTCAAGCCGGCGTTGCCGGGGGCCTCTCTGATGCCCAAGCAGAGGAAACCTTCGACATTCAGCCTATAGTTGATTCCGACGAATATGACATCGTTCTCGACGAAGAAGTCCGGGCCGTAGAGGAAAGCGGTCCCCGTTCCTTCGAAGAAGCATCCTCCGTGGATATAGACCATGACGGGTCGCCGTTTCCGAGGGTGCGTCGTCAGAGGCGTATAGATGTTTAACTTGAGACAATCCTGGTCACCGGCGACCACGGAACCTAATATCTTTTGGGGACATCGCACGTTCTCGTTGATCGCTTCGAAGATGCCTTTCCATTTCAGCGGTGGAAGCGGTGCCTGAAATTGGAATTTTCGTGAGTCACGGTCGCGTCCGGACATTTTCAAGTCACTACTGCTCTATGATATATTAAAAATAATGTTATTTTTAACTTCATGAAGAAGGCAGCATGTTTTTATATTCGATTACCTTTTTTATAAAATAATAAATTCTTCGTAATAAAGAGGTTATCTCATTAAAAATGAATAGCATATACTTCAATAACATTATAAATGCGTTTGTTGCACCGCTCTTATCGTTTATCATTGTAATGCAAACCAACGGCTAGAAAAAACAATAGTCGTATTGTGATCGCAAAATAGAAATACTCAATATATACGAAGAACTACTTGGAAAAATAAATATTACGTATTATTTTGTGACGTCATTATGCTAAATTATTTGATCATTTTGACCGAATGTTAACATTGAACAGGTCAACGCTTAAAAATGTACTACTTACTTCCAGCGTTAGGAAGGCTTAATTAGTTTTTATTGCGAAAATTAGTGTTTATCCAAAATCTGGTTCGGCAAGGACATTTATATTTTCTCAATTATTTTGCAAGTCAATAATTTTAAGACATCAACTTAATGTTTAAATTGTAAAGGATAAGATAATGATATTATTTTATTTAATGTAAATATTAAAAGATAGGATAATTGAGTTGTGTCCTAGACATTTAAACGAAACTAGTTTTTGGCGTCGAATTGCCGCGAATCAATATTAACGATAATGTTTAAAAAAAAATGTTGACGAACTGATTTGCAGAGCAACAGAACCTAAGTTACCTCACGTTCTGTTCGGTTTAAGTAGTTGGATATTATTCAAATGGCATACAATACTAATGTCTATTATATTGTCCATTATAAGTAGGCACAAGTAGTCAAATATATAAATAGTAATAATTTAATCATGGCTTTCCACTCCATCGATTGTAACTCACTCGAAATCTATTTGTTTCATCTACGCTTCCATACGGTATACCGAAATATTGGTAGAATTTTCCATTGTCGCTGATTCTTCCTCTCAACAGACCTTCGTTCACTCTGATCACTGGACTTGGCTCCTGCAGTAAATTGGCGCCAATGAACGCAACGAGGGCCACCCACTTTATCATTTTCACATGTCAGAAGACTAAAGAATATATTTATAACTAAGTAATTCGGTACCCACGGTCACTGCACAATAATTTACTTATAAATGAATAGCTAATTTTAATAATTATATTTCCAGTATTGAAATTAAACTTAAATCCTAATTTTGCTTAGGTTTTATATTTGAGCTAGAATACACTAGCGGCTACTTCGACAGAAGCGCGGTGAATATCAGCGCGGGGCGATCGCAAAGTAAAAAACGTTGTACGCGCTTCACTTGTAATAAATGACTGATTAAACTTTAAAGGCATTGAAATAAGACCGCGGACGTGCAAGGTCAGTCTTTAGGGTTATCTTGACTAAACGTATGTTAAGGGAAGCGGTGCTGAATTATTGTTACATAATATTATCAAACGGTGACCTGACGCATCGCTGCTTATAAACAAAAGGGCCACAACTCAAAATTAAGATTTTTGAGAGAGTACATTATAATTATTTATTTATTTTTTGTTAATATTTCAGCACTCGTACTTTTAATGCTTGTGTTTTATATGTCATTAGATGCGTATTTTAATGCTTTAAGTCGTGTTTAATTTTGCTTTGTGGTAACTGTAAGGAAGATGAGTAGAAGCACAAAGTCCCTTTTGCATATAAAATATTTGTTACGATTCAAATTTTATTTTCAATAAAAGGCCAGAAGTAAGAAAAAATAAAAGTGTATTATTAAAAATGTTCATCATACATATGTTGAGGAGATAATAATCTTACATTAAAAAGAATAACATAAAAATCCTTGCTTTTGAACTATGTAATTTTTAAAACAAATCAAAAACTCAACTTTTATTAAAAAAGTTGTTTTACCACCATAAAAAATAAGATAAAACAAAACATTAAAACTTCTAAAACCTCAACAGGCACAATTTTTAAAAAGACGGTTTCATGTTATTATTAATTAACAACTGCTACTTACTATTTTACGCTTAAGTAAGTCTGTCTGTAACAAATTTAACTATGTTTAAAGATTAGAATAAAAAGCTTCATAATACTTTGATATAAGAATACCCTGTTTTTTTTTTATTGGAACATTTAGTTTTAAGAATACAATTTTTTGTGTTTGTGGTAACTACGTTGTTAGAGTTGGGTTGTTTTGGTCAAAGTGGGAACTGACTTAAACTCTGGTGTCTCAGAAGTCTTAAAAAAGAGCTTGTTTGTTTTCTTAATCAAATTTTATATCTGCCATCTCAATTTTTCTCCATCTTCTGTAAGGTGTAGTTAAGCAGCCAACGAGTTTAAGTGAAGAAACTATAGGCTTTCTCTGACAGTATAAGGTGTTTTTTCTTAGTGTTTTAATAATGTTGAAGATTGGAAAGATTTAACGATTTGTAATATTTCTCCCAATATGGAGTGTATAGTACCTTGTTTTGGGTATCCCTTTATCAAATATTGTGTGTTAGGTTTTAGTTTTGGAAATTCTCATGAAAAAGGTAACTTTTTGAGATGTGGTTTGTCACAAAGTGATGTGGTTGCCGAGCGTTAGTCCGAACTAAAAATATGGGTTTTGATGAACTTATCATTGGGGATATAAAATGGGTTAGATAAAATTAAAAAGAGCCAATTTTATGGTGTTTTGGGAAATATTGAAATATGTTATTAGATAATTTTTATATAAAATAGATTTGGAAATGAATGTTGTATAAGAGGGTGTCTACCAATTGAGGCAGAGATGCAAGCGCAATGTTTATACTTACGCCTTTGTAGACAACGGCGGATCCAGGTCTTAGGCGGACCACGAAGGCGTATGTTACAGGCGTATGTTAGTACGTTTATGTATATTAATAAAATACCTACTTTTTACTAGTATCTATTGTTATCAAAATTAAATTTTGTGTTTTCATATGACTACGACTATGTAACCCTCTTCTGGCACGAAACCTGTATACGCCCTTGCTTGTAGAAAACATCATCTATTAGACAAGGCATTAAAAATATCAAGCAAAACAAAGATACAAAAGCTGGTAAACCAAACACTTTAGATTTTTAGAACAAGAACAATCAATTAAACAAAACACATTGCTTTGAATTCTTAGTAACAGTAAATAATAATATAATAATAATAGTTTTTCAATTTTTTTTCGATTTTTAAATTAAACAGTAAATAACAATCCAAATGTTTGTGGGAAGAGACGAGTAAATAAAGTTTAGACTTTAAACTAAATATTATTATCTAATTTCATGCACATGACTCGAAAAATACAGAGGCACTGTGTAATTGAATATTCATTCACACTGTCTCAGATCATAAATACAAGCAAGTACTAAGAATGAATATTAGAAAGAAATATTTACATTAGTGAAAGCTTAAATTAAGTAGGTAGGTCAATTTGCGAATTGCGTATAAAGAGGCCGTAAGTCAAAAGTAAGCCGATTGATGGGTGAAAAAAGACATCGATAACTGTTTGTAGGAGGTAGAACTAAACCAAATATATAGAATATATATAGTTGTATGATATTGTACTTGATGTATTACAGTCACAAGTATTGAATATTCATATATGTATATGTACTCATAATAAATCGAGTGAAATTCCGATGTCAGCGGATGTAAGGTAATAATCAGTTTACCAATAGGCTTTAGGTAATTAATTACACGTGTAAACTGTGCATCACCACCCGATGCAGTTGCATATAAATACATTTGAAATATCGTCATATAAACCACCCACGGTTAGTTCATAACGCTTAGGAGGAAACTTTGGATTTACACCCATTTTTTAAAGTTATACCAAAAACCATTAGGTAAATGATTTGAATTTTTAAGTTTTTAGGGGCCAAAATATAAGTACTTACCTGAAAATAATAGCTGTGTCAGCGACTTCGTCGACGTAGAACAGTAATTTTGGCCATCCGACCGTCGGCAGCGAGCTGCCGTTCCCGCATCAATCTTTAAAGATAGACATATAGTGTCGCGGATATTTCATCATTCTAGATCATTTAAAGAAGAATCAATCTTTTATACATACTTTGAGGTTTAGGTATCTTGAACTGGTGTCGCAGCGTACGCATCGGAAACCCACAGAGATATCCATCGTTCATTTCTCGTTTTTTACACATTTCCCGCTGTTTTCTCGCTCCTATTAGTCACAGTGCAATGTTTTATAGCCTATAACCTTCCTCGATTAATGCTCTAACTAATATTTTTTTTTTCAATTCGAACTAGTAGTTCCTGAGATTAGCGCGTTCAAAAACATACAAACAAACTCTTTCTATAAGTATATATTACAAAAATATAAATACTGTCTATAGTTTACGCGAGTAGTACACATTTAAATAAAACACTTTAACGGTTTAAAACGCGATATATTAGTCTGTCTATATAGCCGTGGTCACGGGTGTCTCCCCGTGACATCCGAAACGTCGGGCCGAAGTTAAAAATCATTTTCAAATAAGTTTAAATTAATATATCGCGTTTTAAACCGTTGAAATTGTTTTATTTAAATTACACATAAATAGTTAAAAATCAGAGCCTAAATAAATATAAACTCCTTACAAATTAATACAAGCAATTTGTCATTTGAACTTTGTCTTTAACAAAACGTACAGGTATTTAAAACTGGCATTAAAACTTAATAAACTAAATCTACCTATAACCATATTATAGTCAAAATATTATATAAGCTACAGAAATGAATAAGACAAGAATGAACCATTCAATAGATTCTGTTGATTAGGTACTGTGGAAAATTCTTAGAATTTCATTTTTGAAAATATGTTTAATAGATTATTCAAAAGATACTATAGCCTGTAGCTTTTAGAGTAGTATAATCTTCGAAATAAAGATAGTGACATGTTTTATGCCGCCTTAAATGTTAAACGCGACATTGGAGAGTCGAAAGAAACTCGAGTGACACAATTTGTAACGGAGCAGCATTGGCCATGAACCAAGTGTCAAGGAAATGTACCGCTTTAAGGAAATAGACAATCGTTAACAACTTGCATAACAGACTGTGTATTTTACCGTGACTTATAACGATCATTGTTTTACAATGACAGATATGTTTTGTAAACTAAATATCGAGTATTAATTGAAAAAAATGTACGCTGCTACACGCACAGAACTTAAACCGGCATAAAGTCAGCGTTTCCGTGCTGGTGACTCTTAATGCATATTGACGCTAACCATGTCCTACAAATTGAATCATTCAGTCGTAATTTTCGTGAAAGATTCGAAATTAACATCACGTTCACTGCTACAAACGTTCAAGGTGCTATAATAAAGTTAGGATTTTTTAATTCTTACTGTGCCACTTAATGTCATATCATTTGAAAGATGTACAAATATCTCCATAAATTAATCCATTCAGTGTTTTTGCGTTAAAGAGTAATAATTAATTTCAAGCTACAAGTTATAACACATTAGATCTAATTCTCTCTATTTCTTTTAAAAATATGAGCGCGCTGGTTTTAGATTTTAAGACTATAAAAATTAAAAACATTTTGCAAACGAATTTGAAATATTGATAAATTGCTAAATTAGATAAGCCGTTTCCGAAATAATTAAAAACGATGCAAAATTGGTGTTACATAGTTCCTGACATATAATGATGTACGTATGTAAAAGCATTTAAATACTGTCTATAGTTTACGCAAGTAAAAATAATTTCCAAATAAGTTTAACTAATATATCGCGTTTTAAACCGTTAAAGTGTTTTATTTAAATAAAAAGCATTTGTTTTGCATTTTATAATTTATTTAGTGTCAATACAGGCGTCTATACTTGGTGTAAGTCTCGTTCCAAAGAAGCAATGCCTCGTCGTTCCACAAAGGTTGTATACTGAGAGTGTTGTCAATAACTAGCTGACTAGTATTCCCCGGTTTAGCTGCTTCCCACGTAACTGGTAACAATGTGGACGTGCCAGGAGTAGGATTACTGAAAAAGTAAAACGTAAGTAGTGTTTGTAGCTTACGCGAGTAGTGCACAGCGCCCTGAATTTACAGTCACCCCGTGACCACGGCTGCTGCAAAGCATCCGAAACTTTAATTAATTCATTCTAAATTTTTAAGTTTTAAAGGAAAAAATGTCAACTTACGCATATTTCGCAAAATTTGTCCACATCATAGTCATTTTATCGATCATGTTCTTTTCTACTAGGGCTAATGGCGTCGTACCTTCTACGTGAAATAAATAAAATAATTCATCAGCATGTGACGCTCCTGAAAATGAACCGAAACCATACAATATTTTTACAAAATTAAGGAGACCACTGTACGAAAACTTGTACGAGTAGACCGGTTTGTCTGTATTCCTCAGCAATAACTCAGTCGTTGCGACCACGGGATATCTTATACCAGCATCGCCTTCATAGTTCACCAGCGAATCTGTAGTGAATTCTTCGTTATGTCTACCAGAATATTGTTTGCTAAATTTCTTAGATGTTTCTTCTTTAACATCATCATCGGGAAATTGTAAGTCTCGAGGTAGGGCGCTAAAGAAATTGAAACTAGCCTTAGTGGTTTTATTCTCTTTGCCGACAAATATATATCCTTCTTTATTGTTGAAACCGATGATAACGGGTACTTTGTTGAACCGGCCGCTCGATAGAAGAACATAGGGACTGTCAGTAAAGAATGGTTGTGAATCGGGAAGCGATTTTTCAATGCAAGGCACAAAAATGTTTTCCGACTGCACGATATCGCCCTTGGCTCTCGGGACCCTGGTACCTAGTAATTCTGCAGCCGTTTTTGTTTTAAATATGTTCAAAAGTTCGTATTCATCGGTTGTATTGTATCCCATTTGTTGTGCTAATTTAATAGCTATATATTTTGGCTCGAATTGGACTCCCCAGTACGATATGGCAGAACCGCTTTCTAAAATTGCTTTATGAAACAAATGTTTCGATGCCGGCGATAGTATATGATACAGGACTGAAACCGAACCGGCGCTTTCACCGAATATTGTGACGTTATCCGGATCACCACCGAAAGCACTGATATTTTCTTGAACCCAGCGGAGCGCCATCACTTGATCCTTCAAGCCCATATTACCTTGAGCTTCTTTGATTCCTAGACACAGAAAACCTAAAATTTCGAGTCTGTAATTGAACGTCACTAAGATTACATCTCGTTTGACCAAATAATCTGGGCCGTAAACGAGCGGTGATCCAGAACCGTCTCGGAAGCCTCCGCCATGAATGAACACCATAACCGGAACGGGCCTGCTTCTCCTCGTAGGAGTGTAGACATTCAGAGTTAGGCAGTCCTCGTCTCCAATAACTGACGATATAAACCTTTGTGGACATCGTACATTTTCATTAACAGCCGCGAAAACACCATTCCATTTCGGTGTTATTTCAGGAGCCTAGTAAATGACAAAACAGATAATTATTATAGAATTATTTGAAGCTACTTATATCTGATATATGATGCGATACCTGAAACCTTCGTGCATTAGCGTAGGGTATGCCAAGGTAGCGAAAATGGGAACCGTCTGAAGAGATTGTACCACGAACGAGTCCCGAGGAGATCCTGACCGGCAAAGTCGGCACACGCGCGGTCGACACGTTTAGTAACATCAACAATGACAAGAGTATCATGACTCTGAAAAATCTGAGAAACAACGTTCATATCAGTCATCATATTTAATTAAGAATTACATAAAAGTAATTAACGAACACCTTGTTTCTGGTTAAATATCGTTTTTCTTAGACGATTTTCTGTATAAATGCGTATTAGGTACTCACATGACGACGTCTTTTTCGAAGTAGTAGGTATGATAAACTTGGCGGAAATTGCCACTGTTTTCCATATGTCTTTTGCTATTTTAACGATATTAGTTGGAGTTCTATTCACCATTTACAAAGATAGTATGTTGTTGTAATGTAGATTATCATATGAAAGACACTTTGCAAAGCGTAACGTTTCGAATTACACTTCTCACTCTGGTATCTATGAGACGGATACATGTAATTGCAATATTGATACCTTATATACGAGTTTTTGCCAAATTATAATATATTTTCAATTATTTAAATTTATATACATCGGTCGTATTTATCGTAGCTTCTATACTGTTCAATTTATTAATTTAGTAATTTTTTGCTTTGCTTGGCTATAATAGGAGTGAAGTGCTTGTGACGTCGTCACAAACTGTTCCGTATATTGTGTACTGAGAGGCATAAATAATAAACTGTTGCGTAAAAGTTTAGACATCACAACTCTATAATGGAGATTCCCATTAGAGCAACAAAGTACGTACTAAAGGTAGTCAGTTTACGTGTTTCTTATTTACTGAACTCAATACACTTTTTTTCATTTGAAATGAATTGATGTGTTGAGAAAATATTTTAAACTCATCCTTATTGAAAGAGAAATAGACGTATATAATATTATAACTATAGAAAAAGTCGACGGTGAGTCGCAATTATGTTACAAAGATGCGGGTAATTATTATTGAAGAATCTCGGCGATTAACTTCGATATCCATGGAATGATTTCATGTAATTATTATTTCAATTATTGTTTAATTCATACTTTAAGTTTTTCATATAAAATTATTCCACATAAATTTACTAAAGAAGAAACATATTTGAAAACATTAATATTTTTTACATGTTATTGCACATGAAGGCACTATATAATTTAAAAATCGTCAGCGTTAAGTGCTGTTGCTCTACCGAGTCACAGCACAGCACAGAGCAACAGCACGGAACGCTGTCGATGCCATTTCAAGTCCTGCCCGAGTCGAAAATTTTTTTCAATTTATTTTCGATTTTTAAATTAACAAATATATTACAAATTTCTTACAAACAAATTGATAATAATTTGAGGATAATTTGATTTAAATAATGAAAAGCATGAATTCGTTTCCCAATAACAGGACACATTTTATTTTTTCCTCCTGTACTTTGTGTATGTTTGGTTCCAGAAAAGTATGGCTTCATCGTTCCATAAAGGTTCTTTAGAAAAGTCTGTATTGATCACTAGGATTTCTGGGTTTCCTATATTAATCGGCTTCCACTTCAAAGTAAACTCCTCCGATAAGCGAGGTGTAGGGTCTCTGTAATAAAGTTTACACAAAAAGTTAAAATTGCGTTTTTCATATAGAAATAAAGTCGGTCTACAGTTATTATTTTAATTTATAAATTTTATTAAGAAGGAATACTTTTACTTTGTAAGAAAGTTTTTCAGCCTTACTTAATAGATTTACTTAGGTTAATTTAACTCTATTTGTCTTTAATTAAAAGAGATCGTTAATATATCAGTTGAAAATAGCTCACTCGAATCTTGCAAAGTTTGTCCACATGGTTGTCATTTTATGGATGACATTTCGCTCAATAAACGACATGGGCAATGTGGCCTCCGGTTTGAATATATAAAACAGTTCATCGGCGTGAGTCGCGCCAGGATATCTGATAAACCCGAATAGCATCTTGACCAGGTTCATCCAACCGTCGCGAGCAAATTTGTAAACAAAGACTGGCTTCTCCATATGCCTCATCAGCATGTCTGCCGTAAAGATCACTGGAAACACTATGCCCGAATCACCTTCATATCTCGAAAGATCTTCTATTGTTATGTTCTTGCTATCCAGCTCTTTAAAATACAGTCTTTTAAATGTTTCGGCCGCTTCCAATTTGTCAGAATCCGTGGGAAACACTAAATCTCTCGGTAAAGAATCGAAGAAATTAAATCTGAATTTTGTTGTGTCGTTCTCCTTTCCCACGAACATAAAACCTTCAGCATTATTGTACCCGATGATCATTGGAACCTTATTGAATCTACCACGAGTTATTATATTATATGGACTATCTATAATCATTTGTTCCATGCCCGGTAGGACATTTTCGATGCATGGGACGAAAATATTTTCGGAGAGAATAGTATCTCCCTGGCGTCTAGGCACCCGAGTGCTTAATAGCTCTTTTGCCGTTTTCTTCGTAAACAGTTCTAGGACTTCGTATACGTCGTTTGTCTTAACGCCCATTTGTTCGGCGAGACTGAATGCGGTTCTCAAGGGTTCAAACTGTAGACTCCAGGGAGACATAGCTGAGCCACTTTCCATTATTGCTCTGTGGAATAATCGCTTCGACATCGGCGATACGACGTGATACAGTACAGAGGCTGACCCGGCGCTCTCGCCGAATAAAGTAATATTGTCAGGATCGCCACCGAACGCCCTGATATTTCTCTTTACCCACCGCAAAGCAGCCACTTGGTCTTTTAATCCGACGTTTCCGGGTGCTTCTTTTATGCCCAGACAAAGGAATCCTAATATTTCTAGGCGGTAGTTCAGCGTGACGAGAATCACATCGTTCCTTATAAGGTATTCGGGTCCATAAAGGAAAGGCGAGCCTGACCCGTCTCTGAAGCCTCCTCCGTGAATGTACACCATCACAGGATATCGCTTTTCAGTATTTCCAGCTGGGGTATAAACGTTTAACGTGAGACATTCTTCGTATCCAGTTATCCACGTCTTTGAAAATCTTTGCGTGCATCTTATGTGCTCGTCGATTGCGTCGTAAACGCCTTCCCACTTCGGGACGGTCTGCGGTGCCTGGAATTACGTTTAACACGTCAATTAGATGAGAATAGCGAGTCTGATAACATTTGCTTGAAAACTATTTTAACACAATGGCTAAAAACATGAACGAAACCTGCATTAAATTCTTCTTCGTCTCATTTAAATTACAGCTTAACCTGTCAAATAAGACCTATCTTTTTGCATAAAAACAATTGATTCAAGACAACTTTATTAGAATAATTGCTTTGAAAGTTTGTGACCTGATATTACCTGAAATCTCTGTGGGGCTACGGCATAAGGTACGCCAGTGTATCTCATATGCGATCCGTCCTGTGACACCGATCCTCGTATCAGCCCACCTTCCACTTGCACTGGCTCCGTGGGCTGCCGCACCAGGCGGGCAAGCCACAGCGTCCAGAGCACCACCCACCGACCGCTTCTTTTGGACATTTCAGGATCTAGTCTACACGCTCTCTAGTACTTCGTAGGTCCTTCGCATTACTATCATTTCGATGGCATTTCATTACATTTAAGTTGATTGGATGTCCGTCACTGGTACGTCCGAATAATATATATTCTGTGAAGAAGTAACTAAGATCAGAATTCGTTAATTTCTCCTACGTATAAATAAAAAATACTATTTCAATTTAACATAGAAATAACGTGTGAATAATAATAAAGTTTTTACCATTACATTTCAATAATTATCACGTATAACAAACATGGTTATTATAACAATAATTATTTATATTGCATGTAAGTAACTCTATTAACTACTTATTGCTTTGATTATTTATTTTGACAATAATATTAACTGTGAATCATTTACTGACGCATACTTATCTACCTAGTATTTTAATTATTTAAATAAAACACTTTAACGGTTTTAAACGCGTTACATATATACTTATTTGAAAATTATTTTTACCTTCGGCCCGACGTTCCGGATGCATTGCAGCCGTGGTCAGGGGGAGACTTCGGAAACGTCGGGCTGAAGTTAAAAATAACTTTAACTAATATATTATCGCGTTTTAAACCGTTAAAGTGTTTTATTTAAATGTGTACTACTCGCGTAAACTACAGACAGTATTTTTTATTGTATTATTTAACGCTAAGATCAGGTTTCTTAATCTGAAGTCGGCTCTAGCAGTCTCGTAATAAAGATGTAATCATATTACTGTAATTATAACGGAATGCTAATAAAGATTTCCCAGAAGCAAACCTATTGTGCCAGATGCTTAGTCGCTTCTACTTCCAGCACTATTTTATTCACACCTCGACATTTACGCCATAACTATTTTTTTACGTCGTAGCATCAATTAAGAATAATAATATATTTCGAGTTTTAATCATAACGCACTGGTATGACTTAACAAACATTTAACGGTTTGAACCGTAAAACTTTAGCATCGTGATCAAAGGTGTCACTATGTTTACATTGTCAATTCTCAGCCGGATCTTTAACGAGCACATTTATATTAATAAATACCTACTACTTACTAGATTTTTGATTGAATCCTTGTTATACACGAATTATCAATCACTTTAAAACTTCAGCGAAATCGTAAAAGCAACGAACGTGCGGGTCAACTTGTTCGCGTCATGCTATTGAATATCTTCCACTACACGCTAAGAGAAAACACCAACATTACCTAACGTCCGACCGATTTTATTCCTTATTATTAGGGGCGTTATGTTGATTTTTGTAACTGCATTTCACTAGCCAGCCAGTCTGACAGGTGGCTACTTAGGAAAGTTGATTCGTAGATTATTTACACTCGATATTCTCTATCCTTGTTTGTTTTGGAGGCAAATTGACACTGCTACCGCATACAGTGTTGAACAGTATTACAAAATGGCTAGGTAGATAGTTCATTTCAATTTAAGTAAATTACTAAACAGTTCTAAACGCAAAATATTTAAGTTAACTTATTCTAAATGCACGTACGGACAATATTTATCTAATGTACACATCCTTATAATAGATATAGAAATTGTTAGACATGTAACAAGTAATTGTTATAAGAAATAACTACTGTTCCCTTCAGTATATAACTAAATGAATTAGTAGCATGGACTTGAATTAATAAGAAACCTACTAAGCAAATTGCTAACAGTTTAATGTACTGCTTAATAAAAATAATAGTATATTGCATACATATATTTTCTTACTGTTTATTCAATTCAACTCGAATTATGCACTTAAAACAAAATTTACAGATATAACTTATTTATCGTTGAAACATTTAGCAAAACACAAATCCACGTCATTCCTATGCGTAAAATAAACTGCTAGGAGCGAAGACATTTTAAAACTTTGTAGAAAGAAAGCGGGAATAAAATAGATAAATGGAATTTATGAAATACGCAACGTGTTAAGCTCATGTCCGGGTAAATACGTTTTAACTACTTTAAGTTTTCACGATTATACAAATAGATAGCGTAACATTAGTGAGTGCTACCGTTTATCAACCGCACTCATATAAACTACATATACATAATTATTTTATTCGATATGACGTAGTCTCCTTGAACGACTAAACAGTGCCTAGCGTATTACAACGATGATAACGGAATTTGAACCTAAACAGCGCATTAATATTTACTATGTCAAAGACGGCCTGTGAGAACGCACTGCAGTGTACAAATAAAAAAATTAAATATAATCGACAAGTCGAAATATTTAATGTTCATGATCGATTATATGTTTTGAAGCATTGAAAGTGACGTAGCGAATACTAATGGAAGGAATTTGTATCAATTTTAATAGTGAAAAACGATAAGCGACAGGGCTCATTGATAAATGTGGAAGAGATAAAGGAGAGCGATAGCCGAATACGGTCTTCAGACATACCGTTGTCTAGGAACAGATGCTATATAGAACTGAATCATGGACTTGACAAGACAGACGGACAGGGTCTTGTAATATCAGCAATCATCGATTGGAAGTTTAATAGCAATTGGTTTCGTGACGCAAGTGAAGGACGAAGGTGCGTGCTCAAGGAAATTACGTTGATAACTATCGCGATATTATCAGTACGACAAAAAGTGTTGTCATTCTTCAGAGATAATGTGTGTAGCGAGTAGTGTGTGAAATGCGCAGGTGGTTAGTGTTGTGGTCGCTGTGGCTGGCCAGACTGGTGCGGCAGCCCACGGAACCAGTGCAACTTAAAGCAGGCCTTCTGCGTGGTTCGGTATCACCAGACGGAACGCACCTCCATTACAATGGGATACCCTACGCAGTGTATCCACAAAGATTTCAGGTATTTTGTGAGATGATATTGAATGAACTTAATATTGTGTTTTACATCAAATAAAATTATATTTACAGAGACCAGGCCCCGAGCCAAGCTGGAACGGCATGTTCGAAGCGATTCACGAACATATTCGATGTCCACAACGGATCGGTGAATCCTTAGTAGTAGGTCAAGAAGATTGCTTGACCCTTAACATATACTCCCCAGTTAAGGTCGATCCCAGCTCCAACTTACCCGTTATGGTGTTTATCCACGGTGGAGGTTTTTACGACGGATCGGGAAACAGCTTCCTATACGGACCGAATTATCTCGTCGCGAAGGGAGTTATACTAGTGACAATCAATTACAGATTGAACATTCAAGGCTTCGTCTGTCTAGGTATCAAAGAGGCCCCGGGCAACCTCGGATTGAAAGATCAAGCGGCCGCCTTGAAGTGGGTGCAAAGAAACATTCGTCCTTTTGGTGGAGATCCAGATAACGTTACCATATTCGGAGAAAGCGCCGGAGCATCTTCGGTGTCTTTTCATATACTCTCCAAAACGTCTAAGGGCTTGTTTCATAAGGCGATTTTGGAGAGCGGATCGTCTCTGACACCGTGGTCCCTACAATACAGGCCGATATATATGACAAGTCTATTAACGAAGGTCATGCTTCACAAAGCGAAAGATGCGCAGGAGCTGTACAATATTTTAATGAACAAAACTGATGCAGATTTAGTCGTGACAAGAGTTCCTCGAAAGGACGGTAATATTATTATATCCGAATGCCTGTACGTGCCCTGCGTGGAAACAGAGATCGAAGGGGAAGATCCCTTTATAACTGAACTGCCTTACGATATTTTGTCGAAAGGGACCTACAACAAAGTCCCGATAATGATAGGGTGGAATAGTAAAGAAGGTTACTTGTTCGCGGGAATGGAGAACGCGACGACGTTACCTAAAATAGATTTCCTGAAGTCTCTGCCGAAGGACTTGGAGATTCCATCGGAGCCAGAACGCTGCGAAGTGGCGAAGACGCTGCAGAATTTTTACATCGGCAACACATCCACGATAGAGAATTTGCTGGATCTAGCGAAGTTCCACGGCGAAGTGTTCTTCTCGTACCCGGTGTTGCAAGAAACAGAGTTCTATTTGCTGACGAATACTGAGCCGGTGTTCAGCTACCAATTCAAGTACGCTGGGTATAGAAATTTCGCGAAGTTGTCTTCCAGTGAGCCGTTCTCGAGTGCACCGGGAGCAACACACGCTGACGAAATGTTTTATTTGTTCAGTCAGTCTTTCATTCCCAGACTCTTCGAAAGCAAAATGATAGATAGAATGACAACTCTGTGGACTAATTTTGCAAAATATGGGTAAGTAAATAATCAATAAACTTATCTGAGAATTAAATAAAAATAAAAGATAATTTCTATCATATGTAAGTAGGTACAAATAGTTTGCTTCGTTTTTAGCGTCAAAGTTAGTCTAAGTTCAATAGAAATACACAATTCTCCTAACGCAGTTAAATACGGTAACCCGGAAAACGTCTAACCACAGAGTAATATTAAATCTAATACGCCTATCAACGGGCACGCATTAAGGATAAGTACTTGTATAGTACTAACTATCCGTCACGTTACAAATAACACGAATTATAGCAACATACACTTCGTAACATCTAATAAGCGGAAAATGTTTGCGAAAAAACACTCGAACAAGACAGGGTCACATTTGACTTACAAAAGGATTGCTACGTCATATAGACATCTGTATACATATGTTACACTCAAATACATAATTCAACAAGTCATGGGATGCTAGTTAGTTCTTTGTAAAATTAGTCTCGTTGACGATATTTTATATTGTTTCTTAATCTACATCTAAATTGATTCATCTGTTTTGGAGGTAGAACAAAGGCAATGTATACATATTGTACAATCAAACTTAATATAGAAGACTATTTTAGTATTCTTTAGCATTTCTCACAAAACATAAATAAAAAATATTATTGCACATTGATTACTTTATTACACAATATTCACTTTTAATATGACATCATGATTTAATTGTTCGTTTGCAATTAAGTTTTAAAGATCATTTAACTGCTTCATAACGCAAAGATCAATATTCAAAGGTCGTTATTGTTATGAGAAGTCAATTATGGTTGACGACTATGGTACTAAAATATTGCCCATTAAAATATTGTTATCTATTATTATTAACATAGATAGTTTATATAAACGCATAGTCATTGTCAATTGTCACTGTCAAGTTTAAAATTATTGTGTTGATATTTTTGTCATTCCTTTTAGGGAGCCAACGCCACAGACAACAGAGTTGCTTCCGCTAAAATGGCGACCGTCCACAGAGGCATCTCCGCATACATTTGTCATAGACTCAGAACTTAGCACAGAACCGCTGTGGAATAGCGAGTCTCTCAAATATCTAAGAAGAATCTATGCAAAGTATAGAAGAAAAAGAACTAGTGATTGATGGCTAAAATGATTATCTCTTCTTACTTCTTTGTTATAAGTAGCTTTGGAATCTATGGATACTTTTATGACAATTGTAGAAACAAACATAATAAGTTACTTTAAAGTCGGCCTTTTCGCTTCTCGAGTTTTCTTATAGGTAGCCTTTGGAATCTTTAATTAATCGATCAAATAACTTAATTTTAAGTAGACAAATGAAAATTTAATGATTTTAAATTAATATGTTTTGTAATAAACCCTAACAAACGCAAAATCTATAAAATTTTATTAAGTACTTATCTTTTGTATTTAATATACCTGTTTTTATTATTTGCATATGGAGCTGGGTAACGATGCAAAACCACGTAACAACATAAATTATTATCCATGTATAAGTATTTATCTTTTGATCTCTTGTAACAAAAAACTTTCAAGGTAAAGTAGTGTCTTATGATTTCATACTAGCTGTCCCCGCGGCTTCGTCCGCGTGTTTTTTTGGGTGACTTGAACGTTACTTAAAAGTTATTTTGGGCATCATATCTATTTTTGCAATCAACCTCTTCAACTATTTAAATCAGACCTGGTATGTACCCACGACGGCGTCCGCGTGACAGACCGTCACGTCTATCTTGCGAGTTATTCTTAAATGATGGATGTATACTATCGCAAATATTTTTGAATTAATTCTAACAGGAATCATTCTTACATACATTTTATTTTTTGGTTTACTTAAACTCGATTCACAGCGCTCGCATCGGAATCCTTCAAGGATGAATTATTTTATCCGTTTTTTCTGATTCCCACATTTCCCACTGTTTCTTCGTTCCTATTGATCACAGCATGATGTTTCATAGCCAAAAGTCTTTCTCGATAAATGCTTTAACCAAAACAAAGTAATAATTCAAATCGAACTAGTAGTTCCTGAGATAAACGCGTTCAAACAAAGAAACTCTACTCTTCAGCTTTATAATATTAGTATTAATTTTATAATATTACATAGTATATCGTCTATACTATTTGTTCTAAGGATATTGTTTTAAGTAATAAAAAAGTTAAAGAACTGTTCTAGAACAGTTGAGTAAAATTGATTTTGTTCTACGTTTGCTTAAAAGTATATCTTCGACGTGTGGATCTATTAGTATGGGTTTTGATTTCTATTTTTTAACCAGAAAGAAAACATAGTACTCTCCATTACACTACCTCTTCCACAGAGGAAAAATTGGAGGGTCGAGTGGCAATAATGTACTCGCTATTTTTTGCATAGTATGGCTGATAATCAATGGGTCGTGGAGTCTATTCCCGTTTCTACAAAAAAACTTTTTTTCTCAAACACGTTGCAATGGTCTGAAAATCTAGATAATAAATGGGTAATATGAATAGGTCGACAGCTTGTTGAGATATTACATGGCTGCGATATTTCAACTTCCATCTAGTGAAACCCACGTTTGTCTGTCCTCCTCTAACGTATATAAAATAACAGAAGTTTACTCTAAAGGAATACGTACTAGGAAGTCGTAATATAATAGTTAATTTTATTTAGCATTTTATCTTGTTTCTAACGCGATACGATAACTTATTTTAATCAAATATCATGTATTTTATGTTTACGAACAGTCACGGGTTATCGGGAAACTTCAAAGTCTATTGTGGCGAATATGTTATCTAACATAAAACTCAGAAATTAGTATTATTTGAGCAGATTTTATTAAATATCCATTTTCGACCTTTATTTTGACTAGCTTTCGTACTTTGCCTTGCCGTGAAAAACGATAAAAAACAAAACAATTTTTACTTTTGGCGTTCTGCGTGTACAATAGGCACGTGAGATATTTTTTTTCTTTTCTGCCTCTGCTTTCACTGCCGCTCACCCGGGTTTCTATAGTTTTATTGTGTGTACATTACATTATACTATATCCTCATTAAACGTATCGTATGTCAGATTTATGTTAATACACGATACCACTGTTTATTATAATTTTTACTACTATTCCTAATCATCATACGAACTGTTTTATCATAATTTCCTCGTTATAACTTCGCACTAAAACGTCCTCTAGGGTAAGAATGAGCCAACGAACGGGTATTATTAAAGATTCGCATAATAGAATGAATTTGTCTTACAAAATGAAAGGATTTTGCCGAAATCAGTGTCCCATCCGTTCATTTGAACCCGAAGGAGCGCTGAGCCCTTTTCAATGGCCCGACTGAATGACGGACTTAGCGAGTTTAATTTTCGCCTCTTTTGATGGATGACCGACTTCTTCGGCCGCCGTAAATAGAGCCACATTCTTAAGCTCCTCGTCCCGATCCCGCCTTTCCAATAAAATTGGAAAATTGCGTTTGCGAGGCTTCCCTTAACCGCAGTAATACTACCGGTATAGATAGAGACGAAACGAATGTTAAAATGTTGGGTGTCCCCAACATAGGCACAACACGATAATATTTATCGCACGGAAATCGAATCCCTCATTTCAGTCTTTCGAAATAATGTCCAATCGTTAGACAGGTCGGAAAGTTTTAATGAACAGTTAAAATGACGCGTTAAATAAATGAAGGCTGTAGTGCGGCATTAACAGGCGTGCCGGGAGATACCCGGATATACCGGGATTATGTTAAACACTACTCGGCCGGGATTACGGGCGTTCCCCCGGATTTACGGCGTTTTTCGATGCGTTCCCGGGATTTTAAGCCGCGTATTGAATAGTGCGGTTAATCTTTATGGGCCACGGATTACCGGCGAAGATGTATTGTTGTTGCTTCGCTCTGCTTAAATAAACTATAAATTGAATTGATTTCGCTTTGAATAGTTTGATTAACGACAAGCCGACTACTGATTGACGAACCTGTGGCATGCCACTTAGGCGCAGTTGCATGCCACTTAGGCGCAGTTGCATGCAAATAGTATATTTGCGACATGTGACTTAATAACCGTACTTGAACCAGCTACCTGTATAAAACAAGTCGTTTGCAAAGATTGTCAATGTAAAGGACTCGGTTGAATTACGACACCAAAATGTACCACTTTATAACGACAAGCTTTTGTCTCGAACTAAGCGTTTATTACTTAATTAAATTTTGTTCAGTATTAGACGTAAAATGAATTTAAATAATATTTTTCATAACAGAAAATTAACAAACATTAATTTGAGACTATAATATTGAGGTATACTAACTGCGTTGAGATTAAACTTCTATTACCAGAAAGATATAAAAAAAAATGTATAGAAGATTATCATAAAGAATTTACGAGATCTATAAAACGCTGTTTCGCAAAGATGAAATTTTTGTAAATTAAAACTCTTAAGAACGTCTAATTTTTCGATGAAAAAAGCCTTAAATCTAGATGGTTCGTAGCCGTATTTATTTTGTTCTGCTCGTTTAAATTATTGTAAATAATCATAACTTAGGACAACTCTTCTAAAAACAATATTATATTTTTGTGGCTTATGTCAAATGTACTCGTATCAAACTGCAAAATATTAAATCTTTTAAAAGCTGGCGTAAAGTCACTGAAATCCTTTTAACGCATACGTTACAGAGTCCTTTCTGTACATTAATGGTAATAGCCAGAACTTAACCCTTCGATAAACTCAAAACTGTTAGATTTACCGACCGACAATAACCTAAGACTATTTACTACAAATTTGTAAAAGGCTTAAGTCATAGTGTGTTGAGAATTCTGACGTTTTTTATGTTTTTTTTAAACGTTACGGTTGTACTGTGATATTAAGATATGATTATTCTTATATAATAAATACTTTATGAGCAAGGTAACACACATTTGACATTATTGACATAACGATACAAGTTTGACATATTGACACGGCTATGTCAGTGAGTTGACAATTGACAAAACTGATGGAATGGTCTCTGACAAGACAGAGTGAGCATACTCCGTATTTTTTTTATTAAGGGAATTCAATATTTAATATATTATCTGTTATATAATGTATAGACATACACTTGTCTATATATCATGTGACCAGGTTTTCAGTAATTATTAATTCCATTCAAATACGATAGACGACAAAATTTATATCCTTCAAAATATATTTTTTAAATAGTGTGATTTTTGCTTATTAAACATATTATCGCGCCATCTTGTTCCTCCCATAAACATATGATATTAGCTGACACCATTTAGAATGAAAAACAATTTTATTAAGAACAAGAAGAGTATTTAAATATATAAACTATATTTTCATATGGAGAACATATACTTAACTACAAAATGTTAAATCGATTGTTAATTATATTTAAAAAAATACCTTGACAGCTCAGTCACTCATATCATTTTTTAACTTAACTCCTGATTAATTTAAAGAGCAAATCGCTTCCGCGTCTAACTAACAGTGCGCCTGTTTGCGAACTACCTGCAAAAATGTCCTATTTCGGCCCACATTATTCACGATATCTACCTGCTAAAACCATAATAAATATCACAAAATGATATCTCGTGGTATTTGGAGTCCGACAGGGCGAGTTAGGCCCGCCCTTATCTGCGCTCGGCGGGTTCGCCCCATGTGTTAAAACGGCTCTTTAAAATATGGCTAACACTTTTGTCTAATCTTTATTGGGTCATAGCAGGCGCCTATTAATATTCTAAAGGGTTTAAGGCCTTCTTTATGACGTATGAGTTGCATATGGATTACCGAGGTCCAGCGCTGGGATTAGTATTATTATTATTAGTTACTTCGCCCATGTTATGCTTAATAAGAACAGAAAGTTAATGATACTTTTTGCATAAATAGTAGAAATTTTGTCTTTATTTTTTAACAACCAACAAATAATTTTTTATCTATGGTTTACGATTCTTAAATGTGATGTATCTTTCCATTCCGGTCGTAATCGCCTATTTCGTTTCCAACGCATATATTAAGATGATCTGTCTTCCTGCTGTCAGAGCGAGATAATTTGCTTTACAAGTAGCTACCAATGTGTAATTAGGGTCGACCTATATGTAATTACAAAAATAAATTACGAAACAGAACCTTTGCTACTTGCTAAATAATACACTTTTTG